GACAGATTGAATACAGACATACACACATATTAGATTAAACACAGACATACACACATATTAGGCAGATTAAACACAGACGCACACACATATTAGACAGATTGAACACAGACATACACACATATTAGACAGATTGAACACAGACATACACACACATTAGACAGATTGAACACAGACATACACATATTAGGCAGATTAAACACAGACATACACACACATTAGACATATTGAACACAGACATACACACACATTAGACAGATTGAACACAGACATACACACACATTAGACAAATTGAACACAGACATACACACACATTAGACAGATTGAACACAGACATACACACATATTAGACAGATTGAACACAGACATACACACACATTAGACAGATTGAACACAGACATACACACACATTAGACAGATTGAACACAGACATACACACACATATTAGACAGATTGAACATAGACATACACACATATTCGACAGATTGAACACAGACATACACACATATTAGACAGATTGAACGCAGACATACACACACATTAGACAGATTGAACACAGACATACACACATATTAGGCAGATTGAACACAGACATACACACATATTAGACAGATGGAACACAGACATACACACACATATTAGACAGATTGAACACAGACATGCACACATATTAGACAGATGGAACACAGACATACACACACATATTAGACAGATTGAACACAGACATGCACACACAATAGACAGATTGAACACAGACATACACACACATATTAGACAGATTGAACATAGACATACACACATATTAGACAGATTGAACACAGACATACACACATATTAGACAGATTGAACGCAGACATACACACACATTAGACAGATTGAACACAGATATACACACATATTAGGCAGATTAAACACAGACATACACACATATTAGACATATTGAACGCAGACATACACACATATTAGACAGATTGAACACAGACATACACACACATATTAGACAGACTGAACACAGACATACACACACAATAGACAGATTTAACACAGACATACACACACACATTAGACAGATTGAACGCAGACATACACACATATTAGACAGATTGAACACAGACATACACACATATTAGACAGATTGAACACAGACATGCACACATATTAGACAGATTGAACACAGACATACACACATATTAGACAGATTGAATACAGACACACACACATATTAGACAGATTGAACATAGACATACACACATATTAGACAGATTGAACAAAGACATACACACATATTAGACAGATTGAACACAGACATACACACACATCAGACAGATTGAACACAGACATACACACATATTAGACAAATTGAACACAGACATACACACACATTAGACAGATTGAACACAGACATACACACACATTAGACAGATTGAACACAGACATACACACACATTAGACAGATTGAACACAGACATACACACACATATTAGACAGATTGAACACAGACATACACACACATTAGACAGATTGAACACAGACATACACACACATTAGACAGATTGAACACAGACATACACACATTAGACAGATTGAATACAGACATACACACATATTAGACAGATTGAACACAGACATACACACATATTAGACAGATTGAATACAGACACACACACATATTAGACAGATTGAACATAGACATACACACATATTAGACAGATTGAACACAGACATACACACACATTAGACAGATTGAACACAGACATACACACATTAGACAGATTGAATACAGACATACACACATATTAGACAGATTGAACACAGACATACACACATATTAGACAGATTGAATACAGACACACACACATATTAGACAGATTGAACATAGACATACACACATATTAGACAGATTGAACACAGACATACACACATATTAGACAGATTGAACACAGACATACACACACATTAGACAGATTGAACACAGACATACACACACATATTAGACAGATTGAACACAGACATACACACACATATTAGACAGATTGAATACAGACATACACACATATTAGATTAAACACAGACATACACACATATTAGGCAGATTAAACACAGACACACACACATATTAGAAAGATTGAACACAGACATACACACATATTAGACAGATTGAACACAGACATACACACATATTAGACAGATTGAACACAGACATACACACACATTAGACAGATTGAACACAGACATACACACATATTAGACAGATTGAACACAGACATACACACACATTAGACAGATTGAACACAGACATACACACACATTAGACAGATTGAACACAGTGTGCTCAGCGAGGCCTGTGCGAACCCAGAGCGAGCACAGCCTTCGATAGCTCGGCACACGTGCTGCACAAAGACAAAGGTCCCCCGTGTAGCACTAACAGACTGTCGGGGCACGTGCTGTTAGCGAGCAGCACCGCTGAAGGCCGGCACGGTACACGAGGGGGTGGGTGGCCAGCACCACACCCGGCCGCCTTTGTCTCCCCAGTGGCGACGTTTGCACACCGCACCAGGTATTCATTTGAGGCTGAGTCGACCTAGGGGACGCCCAGGACCGGCTGATATGATCATCAGTGGAGTGGGAATCGAGCTCGGGTTCGTCGCGCATCTCGCTAATCACTGCGCCAGCGCTCCCCAGTACACAATGCGGACATAGACACACAGATAGACAGACAGAAAAAGATTAAAAATATACACAGACACATAGACAGACACACAGACACACACAGACACACACAAAGACACACACACAGACACACAGACAACAACAACCGCCATTTGCAACTAAGTGGCGGTGACGTCACCACGACGCTTGTGCCAGGCCATGTGCACCTTGAGGCCACGTGAAATGTCGAACGCCCGCGGGCAGGAGGTCACGGGGCAGACCCAGGTGCCACGGGTCGACTGACTGAGATGACTGGCTGATGCATCACCTGTGCCCCCTACTGTGCCAACCTGCTGTGCTTTAGCCACCCGGCGCTCCGCTCGTTGTTGTGAGCATCGCTCCTCCGCCCTCCGTTGTTGTTGGAGGGCGACTGCCTCCAACTGCCCAATAGCGTCCTTCATGAGCCTCCTCTACAGAGGCCGATCTTGACACCGCTGGTACCAGTCATCGGCAAGTCCACTCAGCACCACGTCCTCCTGTACCACATCACTCCATCTCTTCTCTAGCCCGTGCCGTGCCCGTTTAGCCCCCTCGATCCGGCCGAACAAAAGCTGTTTCGGCATGCGGTGGCTGGGCATGCGGGCTACATGACCCAGCCAACGCAGCCTTACCTGCCGGAAGAGCTCACCGATGGGACCTTGCCCAGATCTTTCAAGGATTTGTGAGCTCACACAATCCAGCCTGGTTAAACCCAGGATGGATCGTAGGCAGGCCAGCCTAAATGTTTCCAACTGGCGAAGATGCTCCATTAAGGGGGTCCACGTTTCGCAAGCGTAGAGATGGGAGGGAATGACCGTGGCCGAGAAGACCTGATGCTTAGTGCGGAGCGACAGACCAGGTAGCTTCCACACAGCGTTACGCAACCGATGAAAATATATTGCCACTCGACTGATTCGGAGTGAGACCTCTGCTGTTAAACTGGAGCCGGTCATAAGCACCCTGCCCAGGGTCTGATGGTACAAAATACCCAGGCAGGTGCTTAGTTTTGGTGGGGCTGATGGTGAGGCCCCATCTCTTAGTGGCACGCTCCAGTCTCAGCAGCAACGTCTCCAACTCCTCCTCTGAATGAGCAGCTATTACCAAATCATTGGCATACATAACGTGGTTGAGCAATAGGGAGCCATCCCTTGACCGCACCCAGGCATCGATCAACCTCCCATTATATCTGTACCAAATGGAGATTCCCCCGGTACAGCTATTGAAGGCTGCACGAACTACGTGCTCAAAATAGATGTTAAATAATGTGGGAGCTAGAGGACATCCCTATCGCACCCCAAGGTGTACAGGGAATGGCTCTGACTCCCGGCCACGTAGTTTTACCTGGGCCTGCTCACCATCATGAAGGTCCTTAATGATCGTGAGCAGAGGGTCAGGGACTCCAAAAGCACGAAGAACAACCCAGAGCCCAGGCCTACTGATGGTATCATAGGCCTTGACCAGGTCAATAAAGCAGAGATGTAGGTCTTGTTGGAATTCCCTACACCTCTGCTGTCGCAGACGGACAGAAAATATGGCATCTGTGCAGGACCACCCTTTCCTGAAACCGCATTGGGGCTCCTCAGCGTGCCATGTAAGGCGATGTTGAATAATCCTTGCCAGGACCTTTCCCGGCACACTGAGGAGTGAGATGCCCCTGTAGTTGTTACAGTCTGTGCGGTCCCCCTTCTTAAAGAGGGGGACCACCAGGGCATCCTTCCAATCCTGCGGAACCCGTCCAGTGGTCCAGACTGTTGTTATAATGTCATATAGGGCAGTCTGTGCACAAACGCCACCCTCCCTCAGCATTTCGCTTGGGAGATCATCTCTGCCCGCTGCCTTTCCTGGTCTCAGACCCCGGATCGCCTTCAGTACTTCCTCAACAGATGGCACCTCAGCCAGCCACTCACAGGGGGTGACCTCTTCCAATATTTGAGGCACTGCAGCCTCAGCAGGGTCATCCTCACTTTGTGCCACGATGTTTTCCTGGCGGAGGGATTTTCCCTCCCGCAGGACCTCACAGAAATGCTCAGCAAATCTGCAAACCTGTTCCTGGGGATCGGAGATTTGATCATCGTTTTTTCCCTAATGATGGTAATAGGTGTGGCGCTGCAGGTTACTTTTTTGATGGAGTTAAATAGAGATTTGTGATCGCGGCCCACTGAGGCAGACTCCATCTCCTCAGCAACCCGCAACCACCACCCATCCTTGCAGCGCCTCACGGCTCTCCGAACCTCCGAGCGAAGGCTGCGGTAAGACACACACACACAGACACACACAGATACAATCCGCACCATGGCGCATGACGTGCGTGTTACCTGCGAGTGGACCCGCGGCTGACAAAGCGAGGGAGCGAGCGAGGGAGCGCCTCTCTCCGTGGCTCGCCACAGCGGCTACTGCTGCTGCTGTCTGCGCGTCTTCTCCCTGCTCCCGAGTGGGGAGAGGAGGAGGGGGGGGAGCCAAGGGCCGCTGCCCGGACTGGCGATGAGCCGGGACGAGAGTCACTCGCCAGGGGGAGGGCGGGGGAGGAGCAGGGGGCGGGGAGCCGCTCACCGCTAGTCAGAGAAGTAAAGCAGCTCCCCAACTCTCCCCCCACTCTCACCCCACTCTCACCCCGACTCCCCCCACTCTCACCCCGACTCCCCCAACTCTCACCCCCGACTCCCCCCACACTCACCCCGACTCCCCCCACTCTCACCCCGACTCCCCCCACTCTCACCCCGACTCCCCCAACTCTCACCCCCGACTCCCCCCACACTCACCCCGACTCCCCCCACTCTCACCCCGACTCCCCCCACTCTCACCCCGACTCCCCCCACACTCACTCCGACTCCCCCCACTCTCACCCCGACTCCCCCCACTCTCCCCCCGACTCCCCCCACACTCACCCCGACTCCCCCCACACTCACCCCGACTCCCCCCACTCTCACCCCGACTCCCCCCACACTCACTCCGACTCCCCCCACTCTCACCCCGACTCCCCCCACTCTCACCCTGACTCCCCCCACACTCACCCCGACTCCCCCCACACTCACCCCGACTCCCCCCACTCTCACCCCGACTCCCCCCACACTCACTCCGACTCCCCCCACTCTCACCCCGACTACCCCCACTCTCACCCCGACTCCCCCCACTCTCACCCCGACTCCCCCCACTCTCACCCCGACTCCCCCCACTCTCACCCTGACTCCCCCCACACTCACCCCGACTCCCCCCACTCTCACCCCGACTCCCCCCACACTCACCCTGACTCCCCCCACACTCACTCCGACTCCCCCCACACTCACCCCGACTCCCCCCACACTCACCCCGACTCCCCCCACTCTCACCCCGACTCCCCCCACACTCACTCCGACTCCCCCACTCTCACCCCGACTCCCCCCACACTCACCCCGACTCCCCCCACTCTCACCCCGACTCCCCCCACTCTCACCCCGACTCCCCCCACACTCACTCCGACTCCCCCCACACTCACTCAGACTCCCCTCACTCTCACCCCGACTCCCCCCACTCTCACCCCGACTCCCCCCACTCTCCCCCCACTCTCACCCCACTCTCACCCCGACTCCCCCCACTCTCACCCCGACTCCCCCAACTCTCACCCCCGACTCCCCCCACACTCACCCCGACTCCCCCCACTCTCACCCCGACTCCCCCCACTCTCACTCCGACTCCCCCCACACTCACCCCGACTCCCCCCACCCTCACCCCGACTCCCCACACACTCACTCCGACTCCCCCCACTCTCACCTCGACTCCCCCCACTCTCACCCCGACTCCCCCCACACTCACCCCGACTCCCCCCACACTCACCCCGACTCCCCCCACACTCCCCCCGACTCCCCCCACTCTCACCCCGACTCCCCCCACACTCACCCCGACTCCCCCCACTCTCACCCCGACTCCCCCCACTCTCACCCCGACTCCCCCCACACTCACCCCGACTCCCCCCACACTCACCCCGACTCCCCCCACTCTCACCCCGACTCCCCCCACTCTCACCCCGACTCCCCCCACACTCACCCCGACTCCCCCCACTCTCACCCCGACTCCCCCCACTCTCACCCCGACTCCCCCCACTCTCACCCTGACTCCCCCCACACTCACCCCGACTCCCCCCACTCTCACCCCGACTCCCCCCACTCTCACCCCGACTCCCCCCACACTCACCCCGACTCCCCCCACACTCACCCCGACTCCCCCCACTCTCACCCTGACTCCCCCCACACTCACTCCGACTCCCCCCACCCTCACCCCGACTCCCCCCACACTCACCCCGACTCCCCCCACTCTCACCCCGACTCCCCCCACACTCACTCCGACTCCCCCCACTCTCACCCCGACTCCCCCCACACTCACCCCGACTCCCCCCACACTCACCCCGACTCCCCCCACTCTCACCCCGACTCCCCCCACACTCACTCCGACTCCCCCCACACTCACTCAGACTCCCCCCACTCTCACCCCGACTCCCCCCACTCTCACCCCGACTCCCCCCACTCTCACCCCGACTCCCCCCACACTCACCCCGACTCCCCCACACTCACCCCGACTCCCCCACTCTCACCCCGACTCAGCCTTAAATGAGTACCTGGTGCGGTGTAAACATCGGCACTGGTGAGACAAAGGCGGTCGGGCGTGGTGCTGATTCGTGGGGCCGCCCACCTCTTTGTGTGTCGTGCCGCCCTTTAGTAGTACTCGCTAACAGCGCTTGCCCCGAGTCTGTGCAAGGCTACACGGGGGATCTTTGTCTTTGTGGTCCACTGCACTGTGAACCCAAGTGACCTGGGTTCGATCCCTGGCCACGGCCCACGGTTGGCCCCGCCTCTTTCACCAGCGCGGTGAAGTTTGGTCAAACAACCGCTGTGACCCGCACGGAGTGGGGAGGCCTTCATCCAGCAGTGGATTGAGCTAAGAGCTGTAAACATTTGTTTAATAACCTGAGAATGCAAAACATGTTTCCAGACAACCCTCATGATGTGTGGCGGCAAGACGTCCCGTGGACAGCGCAGTCTGGGGTAGCGCTATGACGTCAATGGGATGGGAGTTATGGTCCGCATGTTAAACAGCTGTGGAAATAACCAGGGGACCCTATCAATCAACCCACACGCTCACCAAACCTCCCACCCACCCACCCGCACACCCAACCATCCACCAAACCTCCCACTCACCCGCACACCCAACCACCCACCAAAACACCCATCCACCAAACCACCCACCCGCACACCCACCAACTCACCCACCCACTCACCCAACAACCCACTGCTCACCCACAGATTAACTTAACCCACCCAACCAAACCACGCAGCCAAAAATCCACGCCGTGACCTCCTCCCACTCATCTCATTCGCTCGCCTGACTGCCACGTACCCTGCTAAACGTACCGGGAGAACCGCGCCTACTCACTGCACGCAGGCGCGCCACCTGAACCCCAGGTGTGTGGAGTGGTCAGGTTGAGCCCGTGAACGAGGATCTTGAGGCTGTATGACTCAAGAGCGGCGAGCCAACTCCCCCAACAGCTCTGGGCCTCAAGTATGGGGAAAATTGCCCGTGACACACACACAAAAAAACAAACCCCCAGGCTCTCGTTGAAAGTAAGATTCATGATGTTTGGTCTTCCGAATGGTTGGGCACCGATCCAAGCGGATGACGGAGTGAAGATGCGTGCCTTGAAACTCGGCTCAAGTAGCGAGACGCCACCACCACCTTCTACTCCCGTGCTGCGTTGGCCACTCAGGCGCCTGTGCACGGCTGGGGGTTGCGTTGTGCTGTGGAAGGAGACCGCGTGAAGGAAATGTCCACGAATACTGGCATGAGAAACAACTCCCCGTGCCTGTGAGCAAACGTTGGGGAATGATTTGAACCACGCTGTCGATTTTTTTTATTGTTTAAAGAACATTGTCACCGACAATGTTGATCTGTTGACAATGTTCCGAGCGTGCTGGATTCACGGTCGCTGCGTTGAGAATTCCACTTAAGGGTCGCCTTAGCCCATCGTCCCACCAGGCCCCATGCAACAAATTCCACTTTATGACAGGTCAACAGTGATTGCGTGCTTTGGGGAATACACTACCACCATGGCAGTGTGGGATTTCCACTTCCGATTCATTAATATTAATTACAGTTAAGCGAGACACTGTGACCTTTCAGCTTTGACAACAGATGGATTAACTTATTTCATGTATTTACTAACCAACATATTTAGCCACGTAAAAGTGCATCCCTGCAATAGCTTGCGCTCACTACTGCTAGCAGAAGCGCCTGCACGACAGGGAACTCTGGAGAGTCACTCGGGTCTTTGGCCTACTCTTCCAAGCTGCACAGAGTAGTTCTGTGGCGAGACTCGGGGCAAGCCCTTCGGGACGGTTCTCCGCTGCTCCACCGATCGGTGCCAAAGTCGTCACCGCACAACTCAGGACGACGCCTGCGCGACTCTCTGGGGTTCGTACGGGCGGATTGTGCGACATCCGTCGAAAAGCCGAGGCGACGCCCGTGGCCTGGCCAATGTCTGCACTGAGTACGGGGCGGTCGATTGACGGGACGGATGTGCGACGGTCAGACACGCGGCGTTGTGCTGTAAATTCAAACGGACAAACATTCGATTTGGGGTTTCCGCAGCGTCGTTGATGAAGTCGCCCTCCTCGATCCCCCGCGGCCTCCGTTCAACGACAGCGGTGAGCGAGCCAGCGAGCGGTGAGCGAGCAGTGAGAGAGCCAGCGAGCGGTGAGCGGTGAGAGGGCGGTGTGCGAGCCAGAGAGCGGTGAGAGAGCCAGCGAGCGGCGAGAGAGCCAGCGAGCGGTGAGCCAGCAAGCGGTGGCGGTCGCCACGGAGTTCGCCTTCAACGCCTCCACACCGCGACCCCAGCCGCTGTCTGGAGACGCCGGTGCCTCGTGGTGCAGCAGCCGTCCGCGTCGTGAAGCCCTGCGAGTGCGCGATGGACTTCCTTCACACTCCACCTGGCATCGTTCTTCCCACCCCATCTACTTGAGGCGTAATCGAGGCTAAGTGATATCTGATAAAGAAGTCCACACAAGACAGCACGTGTGCATAATGTCTTAAACGTTTTAATTGCCACAACTTTCATACCGCAAACGTGAGTATTTGCAATTTCCCTGTAAAAAAACGTTCACTTAAAACGCAATAAATAAATACAAAATTAAATGAGATGCCACCTTAGATGCGATTCACAAGTTCTCATGGTCCATTCCTAACCGAGATCCGCACGTTCCGACGGCGCGACAGCGGCGTGACCCGCTCACCACGGCCGCCCGGGCCCACGGGGCCGCAAGCGGCGCTCCGACTGGGGGCCCCGCTGTGGCACCGCGGTGGGCCTCCCGCTTGAACGTTTTACACATTTCATGAGATTTCGCGTGAGCGAGGCCGGCAGTGCTACGAGCTAAATCATCGGCCGCGAAACCCTCGCTTAGCCTCCACTGTGGCGGAGGAAGGTGCAGCCCTGCAACCGCTTGCTCACGGCCACTGCGGGCGCACGGAACCTCCGCTCGAGGGGGCTCTCGAGGGCCCCACTGAGGGGGTGTTTTTGGCCTACTTTTCCACGCGACTGTAACGGTTAATATGATTACTTGATAGTTTTTAATGTTACGATGAACTTACTTTGTATACACGCTCCAAGGTCCTTTATCGCACAGCCACGCTGTGCCAATTTGAGCCGAGGTTTATAACCCCGAGGACAGAGCTGAAAACTCACAGTAGGGCCGTGATGCCCGATTGAAATGTCATTTCAAGTGATCCGCTTCCTCCTGACGCGAGCGTTGTCTGTTCCCAAGTTCCAACGAAATGCGCTGCAGTCAACCCGAACGCATCACCGCCGTCATCGTGGGAAAAGGCCCACAGGATAGAACCAGAGTCACCATCGCCAGGATAGAACCAGTCACCATCGCCAGGATAGAACCAGTCACCATCGACAAGATATAACCAGAGTTACCATCGACAGGATAGAACCAGAGTCACCATCGGCAAGATAGAACCAGTCACCATCGACAGGATAGAACCAGCCACCATTGACAGGATAGAACCAGAGTCACCATCGGCAAGATAGAACCAGAGTGACCATCGCCAGGATAGAACCAGTCACCATCGCCAGGATAGAACCCGAGTCACCATCGACAGGATAGAACCAGAGTCACCATCGACAGGATAGAACCAGAGTCACCATCGGCAAGATAGAACCAGTCACCATCGCCAGGATAGAACCCGAGTCACCATCGACAGGATAGAACCAGTCACCATCGCCAGGATAGAACCAGAGTCACCATCCACAGGATAGAACCAGAGTCACCATCGGCAAGATAGAACCAGTCACCATCGCCAGGATAGAACCCGAGTCACCATCGACAGGATAGAACCAGAGTCACCATCGACAGGATAGAACCAGAGTCACCATTGGCAAGATAGAACCAGAGTGACCATCGACAGGATAAAACCAGAGTCACCATCGACAGGATAGAACCAGAATCACCATCGGCAAGATAGAACCAGAGTGACCATCGACAGGATAGAACCAGAGTCACCATCGACAGGATAGAACCAGAGTGACCATCGCCAGGATAGAACCAGAGTCACCATCGACAGGATAGAACCAGTCACCATCGACAAGATAGAACCAGAGTTACCATCGGCAAGATATAACCAGAGTCCACCATCGGCAAGATAGAACCAGTCACCATCGACAGGATAGAACCAGAGTCACCATCGGCAAGATAGAACCAGAGTGACCATCGACAGGATAGAACCAGAGTCACCATCGACAGGATAGAACCAGAGTCACCATCGGCAAGATAGAACCAGAGTGACCATCGACAGGATAGAACCAGAGTCACCATCGACAGGATAGAACCAGAGTGACCATCGCCAGGATAGAACCAGAGTCACCATCGACAGGATAGAACCAGTCACCATAGACAGGATAGAACCAGAGTTACCATCGGCAAGCTATAACCAGAGTCCACCATCGGCACGCCGTTCTTGCAGTCATCCCGCAATCGATCCACGTGCGTCCACACGCACAGACATTCTACTGGCTCGCTTCTATGTACTGTACATCAACACACATCAGAATTCACACTGTACACGACCCGATGAACTGTCGTGACTTGGGGTCACCATTCGACGCGAGACCACGTTGCGTGTCTACCCTACCGAGCACCCACCGGTGTGCAGTGGTTGTGCCCGCTCATGTGTTCACTCGTATTTCTTGCCGTTAGCTTCAAAAGTAAACGAGCAAGAGCATATCAGTTGCATAAAAGGAACTCGACCTCGGCATGCATGACGCCACGTACGTGTCGTGTGCGTGGGGACGACCGTCAATCGACGGATCCAGGGTTGCCTCTGCTGCGTACTTTGAGGCTGTCTCCGGAGTGACCGCACACAAGAAGATTGTTTAAAGGTGGCGGCTTGTGAGCAGATCTTTGATCCAAATTCGTTCATTTTGTCCAAAGGTGTAACCTGACGGGGTCAAACGCCGGGGCCAATTGGAATCCGACCGCCCACTCCCGAGATCGCGAACCGAACTGATGACCGACCGGCCACTCAAGGAGCCGTACGTCGATGTGCAATTTATAATCGCAGTAGTAGCAGCCTGGTGCTGCCACATCGTTTGGTCACGGCTGGCACGGAATGACAAAATAAAATAAAATTAAGAATTCGATGTCCCCAAGCGTCCGGCCTGCGCACCGCCTGTTCCCCCTCCGACGCGCCCTTTGTGGTTTCACAGATTTTGCCTTCTCAGCTTTCCACCCTAGCTCTCACCGCCACTACCCAGTGAACACGGAACACTTTTTGCCAACTTCGGTCCAACCACAGGCGTGGGCACCACCTTGCATGCTTACTCGGTAATTTTACTGCTCTGCTCGTTAAATTATTTTACAATGGTGAGAAAAAGTGAATTACTCTTCAGGTTTTTTTCTTTGATACAAATACAAAGCAAGCTCCACGAAACACACGCCTTGGTTTTCTTGGTAACCCTTAGGCAGGTTCGCACCAACTCAAAAATTCCAGGCGATCCGTCGCGTCCCGGCGCCCGGCTGATTTTTAATGCCCCTCCACATTCCATCTCAGCAAGCGAACGGATATTGTGAGGCTCTGAAAAGAAATGTGGTTTCCTCTTTAAGATCTTCCTATTTTGACGAGGATATCAATACGCAGGTAGCTTTGTAGAACGGACAATGTGATCGATAAGTCCTTTATGTTTGTAAGAATGCCTTTATGCTTCAGTGGATGAAAAGATAAATGAGCCACAGATGAGCACAGTTCTCATTAGGGCGCTCAGGTAAATACGTGGTGTGAATCGCACAACTTGCAGCTAATTTCTTCCAAAATAGGCGACCGAATCAATTAGTAAAATGTAAAAGGGGCAGCCGCTCACAGCCCTGTCATGTCCCGCTCTCAGCCCTGTCATGTCCCGCTCTCAGCCCTGCTCCACCACAGGGAGCTCTGGAGAGCCCCCCTTGAAGGGGGCATTTGTCTCCCTCGCTAATCTTTAACGAATTCCCCGGTGACACTTTTGAACTAAAGAATTGCGTTTGATCCAATTCTAAACCCAAGCAATCGTTCGCACCCCCAATACTCCTCCTGCTGCTTCCCCCCACATTTAGAAACATGTGTTTAGATTATTTGGCTGCTATTAATTTCCACATGATAAGTCACTTCGCTGAGCTATCATTTCCGGCCAGATCCCTTCTGAAAAAGAGCTACACATCTCAGTGGGCCTACCCTGGTAAAAATTAAGTTTAGTTTTAAATTTAGTTAACTTAAAACTGTGAGTGCCGTGCGGTCACACGACTGCTCGCAGGAGGCCTCCCCGAAACATTGACCACTTCTCATGATCATGCGATGTCACCCTGAGAGGGGCGAGGTGGGGGTCGATGGATTCTACAAGAAGCTCCCGGCACACAGAGCAAAACGTCAGACGTTGCGCCCACGGCGCTCGCACGCCCTCCACAGCAGGGCGTGCGAGTGCCGTGGGCGCCTCGTGACCACGACCCAGGGAGACCGACGACGGCTCCGAGGACTGCGCGGCAGTGTGGCGGCGCCACATCGCAGACTCTTCAGGTGCAGCCACGGCTCATGCTGGGGCCGGACGCCTCGCGTCCCACGGGGTAACGCTCACCGAGGGGTAACGGCCATTACCCCACGGTGCCTGTTACCCCACGGTGCGCAGGCGCGGTGAGTTACCCCATGGGGTCCGTGATGAAACAACAAAAAAGAAAATCCCCAATTACAGAGTGTGCCATTCATAGATACCCCACTGATATCAAATGGTCCTTTCTGCGGTTGATTGGATACCGTGAAAGCGATGGTCCCATATCTGAGAGAGGAGGAGTGATAAGAGAGTTAATGAGTCGTGCTATGACCATCCCTATGTCGGAATATTTAGAGAATTCCAAATAAAATTGCAACCGAGATCGGAATTCCTGAGAAAATTCCCAAACATTATAAAGAAGGCTCATTCAGGAGACGCGGTAGAATTGTGCACAGAAATCGTACAGAAAGCAAACGAGCGACACCAACCCGCGAGGAGGCCGGGGAGCATCGGCACCCAGAGACGCCGACGATTCCAACCGTCCAGAGACCCGGGAAGCGCGGCAAAGAAACCTCCCCAGAGATTGTAAACAACGTCCGGTCCCAGGGCTTGCAAAGCCCTGGGGTCTGCTGGGGACGTGGAAGGGGCCCGTGGAGGATCAGAGACACAGAGAGATGCGCCGGGGGTCAGGGTCGCTGCGATGGATGCTGCGTGGAGCGCCACGATCGCCGTGGCGATACCGCTTCCTCTAGGCTTTGCTACTGCTTTGCTCGTAATCATCGTCACGGGTTTTGTGCTCTGAAGAACTTTCAAGTATGACCGAAGGTAACCTGAAAAGTAAATTGCAGTTCACTCAACTTGTCTGACGATGATGACGCTTTCATGGTAACGTGCTGCCGGAATATTAGGGCGTAATAATATCATCATTATCATCGCTGTGCCGTCGATTACCCCCAAAAACGTTTCACAAAGCGCCAATTTAATGGACAGTCGCTACTTTTCGATTGTTGTGAACTTTTAAGAGTTGTTAATTCGGAAATGTTTTGTCGGGAAATGAAACGTTTTTGCCAAAAAATTAACGAGCAACGGTAATGACGGCGATGATGATGACGCTTTGCAAACGGGATGGTGCGATCGTTGCGGTGGTCATATCGTACAGTGTGTACCGTAGTGATGCCATGGTAACACGCTATTGCTGTAGTATCGCCGTAGTAACACGGTATTGCTGTCGTGACACGGTATCGCCAGTTACACGATACCGCTATAGTAAAACAGTATCGTAATAGTAAAGCAGTATCACCATAGTGATGCGATATTGCCGTAGTGACGCGATATCGCCATGGTGACGCGACATCGCCGTAGTGACGCGACATCGCCGTGGTGACGCGACATCGCCGTGGCGATGGCACATCGCCATGGTGACGCGCCATCGCCGTGGCGACGCGCCATCGCCGTGGCGACGCGACATCGCCGTGGCGACGCGACATCGCCGTGGTGACGCGACATCGCCGTGGTGACGCGACATCGCCGTGGTGACGCGACATCGCCGTGGCGATGGCACATCGCCATGGTGACGCGACATCGCCGTGGCGATGGGACATCGCCATGGTGACGCGACATCGCCGTGGTGACGCGACATCGCCGTGGTGACGCGACATCGCCATGGTGACGCGACATCGCCGTGTTGACGCGACATCGCCGTGGCGATGGGACATCGTCATGGTGACGCGACATCGCCATGGTGACGTGGTGTCGCGGCGACCCTACGACAGGACGTCTGGCTGAGACAAAACCCTAACAGTCAACGTCGCGATGAAGCTCGCTGTCAAGAGTAGCGTAGCGCTATCAAGAGTAGCATAGCGCTATCAAGAGTAGCGTGGTGTAGCGCTATCAAGAGTAGCGTAGCGCTATCAAGAGTAGCGTAGTGTAGCGCTATCAAGAGTCACGTAGCATAGCACTGTCAAGAGTAGTGTAGCGTAGCGCTGTCAAGAGTAGCATAGCGTAGCGCTATCAAGAGTAGCGTATCATACCGCTATCAAGAGTAGCGTTGCGCTATCAAGGGTAGCGTAGCGTAGCGCTATCAAGAGTCACGTAGCGATATCAAGAGTCACGTAGCGTAGCGCTATCAAGAGTCACGTAGCGTAGCGCTATCAAGAGTAGCGTAGCGCTGTCAAGAGTAGCGTAGCGATATCAAGAGTCACGTAGCGCTGTCAAGAGTAGCATAGCGCTGTCAAGAGTAGCGTAGCGATATCAAGAGTCACGTAGCGCTGTCAAGAGTAGCGTAGCGCTGTCAAGAGTCACGTAGCGATATCAAGAGTCACGTAGCATAGCGCTATCAAGAGTCATGTAGCGTAGCGCTATCAAGAGTCACGTAGCAATATCAAGAGTCATGTAGCGTAGCACTGTCAAGAGTAGCGTAGTGCTATCAAGAGTCACGTAGCGTAGTGCTATCAAGAGTCACGTAGCGATATCAAGAGTCACGTAGCGTAGAGCTATCAAGAGTCATGTAGCGTAGCGCTATCAAGAGTCACGTAGCGCTATCAAGAGTCGCGTAGCATAGCGCTATCAAGAGTAGCATAGTGCTATCAAGAGTCACGTAGCGATATCAAGAGTCACGTAGCGATATCAAGAGTCACGTAGCGTAGTGATATCAAGAGTCACACAGCGCTGTCAAGAGTAGCGTAGCGCTATCAAGAGTAGCGTAGCGCTATCAAGAGTCAGGTAGCGATATCAAGAGTCGCGTAGCGCTATCAAGAGTAGCGTAGCGCTATCAGGAGCCACGTAGCGCTGTCAAGAGTCACGTAGCGTAGCGCTATCAAGAGTAGCGTAGCGATATCAAGAGTCACGTAGCGCTGTCAAGAGTCACGTAGCGTAGTGCTATCAAGAGTAGCGTAGCGCTCTCAAGAGTCACGTAGCGATATTAAGAGAAACGTAGCGCTATCAAGAGTCACGTAGCGCTGTCAAGAGTAGCGTAGCGCTATCAAGAGTCACGTAGCGCTGTCAAGAGTAGCGTAGCGCTATCAAGAGTCACGTAGCGCTATCAAGAGTCACGTAGCGATATCAAGAGTGACGTAGCGCTATCAAGAGTCATGTAGCGCTATCAAGAGACACATAGCGCTATCAAGAGTCACGTATCGATATCAAGAGTCACGTAGCGATATCAAGAGTCACGTAGCGCTATCAAGAGTAGCGTAGCGCTATCAAGAGTCACGTAGCGCTATCAAGAGTCACGTAGCGCAATCAAGAGTCACGTAGCGCTATCAAGAGTAGCGTAGCGCTATCAAGAGTCACGTAGCGCTATCAAGAGTAGCGTAGCGCTGTCAAGAGTAGCGTAGTGATATCAAGAGTCACGTAGCAATATCAAGAGTCACGTAGCGATATGAAGAGTCACGTAGCGCTGTCAAGAGTAGCGTAGCGCTATCAAGAGTCACGTAGCGATATCAAGAGTCACGTAGCGCTATCAAGAGTCACGTAGCGATATCAAGAGTCACGTAGCAATATCAAGAGTCACGTAGCGATATCAAGAGTCACGTAGCGCTATCAAGAGTCACGTAGCGCTATCAAGAGTCACGTAGCGATATCAAGAGTCACGTAGCGCTATCAAGAGTCATGTAGCGCTATCAAGAGTCACGTAGCGCTGTCAAGAGTAGCGTAGTGATATCAAGAGTCACGTAGCAATATCAAGAGTCACGTAGCGATATCAAGAGTCACGTAGCGCTATCAAGAGTCACGTAGCGCTATCAAGAGTCAAGTAGCGATATCAAGAGTCACGTAGCGATATCAAGAGTCACGTAGGGATATCAAGAGTCACGTAGCGATATCAAGAGTAGCGTAGCGCTATGAAGAGTTACGTAGTGCTGTCAAGAGTCACGTAGCGCTATCAAGAGTCGCGTAGCGCTATCAAGAGTCACGTAGCGCTGTCAAGAGTAGCGTAGCGCTATCAAGAGTCACGTAGCGCTGTCAAGAGTAGCGTAGCGCTATCAAGAGTCACGTAGCGATATCAAGAGTAGCGTAGCGATATCAAGAGTCACGTAGCGTAGCGCTGTCAAGAGTAGCGTAGCGCTATCAAGAGTAGCATAGCGCTGTCAAGAGTAGCGTAGCGCTATCAAGAGTAGCGTAGCGCTATCAAGAGTCAGGTAGCGATATCAAGAGTCACGTAGCGTAGCGATATCAAGAGTCACGTAGTGCTGTAAAGAGTAGCGTAGCGCTATCAAGAGTAGCGTAGCGCTATCAAGAGTCACGTAGCGCTGTCAAGAGTAGCGTAGCGCTATCAAGAGTCACGTAGCGATATCAAGAGTAGCGTAGCGATATCAAGAGTCACGTAGCGTAGCGCTGTCAAGAGTAGCGTAGCGCTATCAAGAGTAGCATAGCGCTGTCAACAGTAGCCTAGCGCTATCAAGAGTAGCGTAGCGCTATCAAGAGTCAGGTAGCGATATCAAGAGTCACGTAGCGTAGCGATATCAAGAGTCACGTAGTGCTGTAAAGAGTAGCGTAGCGCTATCAAGAGTAGCGTAGCGCTATCAAGAGTAGCGTAGCGCTATCAAGAGTAGCGTAGCGCTATCAAGAGTAGCGTAGCGCTATCAAGAGCCAGGTAGCGATATCAAGAGTAGCGTAGCGTAGCGCTGTCAAGAGTAGCGTAGCGCTGTCCAGAGTCACGTAGCGATATCAAGAGTAGCGTAGCGCTGTCAAGAGTCATGCAGCGCTGTCAAGAGTCACGTAGCGTAGCGCTGTCAAGAGTCACGTAGCGCTGTCAAGAGTCACGTAGCGTAGCGCTGTCAAGAGTCACGTAGCAATATCAATAGTCACGTAGCGCTATCAAGAGTCACGTAGCGCTGTCAAGAGTCACGTAGCGTAGCGATATCAAGAGTCACGTAGCGCTATCAAGAGCAGCGTAGCGCTGTCAAGAGTAGCGTAGTGCTATCAAGAGTCACGTAGCGTAGCGATATCAAGAGTCACGTAGCGTAGCGCTGTCAAGAGTCATGTAGCGCTGTCAAGAGTCATGTAGCGTAGTTATATCAGAGTCACGTAGCGCTATCAAGAGCAGCGTAGCACTGTCAAGAGTAGCATAGTGCTATCAAGAGTCACATAGCGTAGCGCTATCAAGAGTCACGTAGCGATATTAAGAGTAGCGTAGCGCTATCAAGAGTCACGTAGCGCTATCAAGAGTAGCGTAGCGCTCTCAAGAGTCACGTAGCGCTATCAAGAGTAGAGTCACGTAGCGCTGTCAAGAGTCACGTAGCGCTATCAAGAGTCACGTAGCGATATTAAGAGTAGCGTAGCGTAGCGCTATCAAGAGTCACGTAGCACTATCAAGAGTCACGTAGCAATATCAAGAGTCACGTAGCGCTATCAAGAGTCACGTAGCGCTATCAAGAGTCACGTAGCGTAGCGATATCAAGAGTCACGTAGCAATATCAAGAGTCACGTAGCGATATCAAGAGTCACGTAGCGATATCAAGAGTCACGTAGCGCTGTCAAGAGTAGAGTAGCGTAGCGCTATCAAGAGTCACGTAGCGTAGCGCTATCAAGAGTCACGTAGCGCTATCAAGAGTCACGTAGCGTAGCGATATCAAGAGTCAGGTAGCAATATCAAGAGTCACGTAGCGCACCGCTATGAAGAGTCTTATAGCGTAGTGATATCAAGAGAGTCGCGGATGCAACTCATAGTGCACATCATGCTGGGTAGCAGAGCTCAACAGTTTGCCTGCCAAATGAAAACACAAAAACTTTTGGTTTCTGGCTCAGTTTTCCCCGTAAGGCTGTGTTCTCTTTTGCTGTTGTCATCTTGTCTACGGGGTTTGTGTTTTACATTCGCATGCAAGAAGACAGTTTGATAACGCGTTTGTCGCTCGGACGTTTGGGACGGCTGAGATTTTACAACAACAACAACAATGTACGCGGCGCATATTTCGTGCAGATCTTAAATAATTACAAAATAAACAAAAGGAATAGTAGGAGCAGCGGTGACGGAGATGCTCCGGGTGTTGTTTTGAACAGCGCCAGCACCCTAGACAATGACTGGGCTCTCGTGGCCGTCGCCCTGCTGCCTGGTTGTGTCGTACGCCCGGACCACCTCCGTCTGAGAGAGGACCCCGTTCTCCTCCTGCGAGAATGCGTAGCCATCTGAAAACGAGTCACGGGAACGAGGAACGTGTCACCTTGCGCGGTTAGCAGCGAAACCACCACGCTGGCGGATCTGGGCGAACTGCTGTAGCCGGACGTGAACAAAGGGGGTCAGGGAAGTCCGGGTTAAAGGTCAAGTCGGGCCGACGGTTAGAAGTAGGGTTGTCAAAAGCGATTGGTTCGTATTACCTGTAAGAGTAAAATAAGGCAGAAAAAAGATGGTTTCTGTTTTTTTACCGCACAAATACAAAAATCTATAGCAATAAACGTGGTTACGTTTAAAACGGACAAACGAAGGGAACCGCCGCTGTGGTGCAGCGGTCAGCAGGCGCACGGGACTTGCAATCCAGAGGTCGACGGTTCGATTCCATCTCCCGGCAGCGGCAGGGTGAATGGGTTCACTACAGTGAGCAGGTCCCCCAGTGGTGGGGTAAAGTGGAGGTGCTCCCACCTTGTCCAACACGCCTGGTCAGTGTGGAAGAGTTCAAATGCCCTCTCTCGAGCGCCCACTAGCGGAAGCTCTAATGCCAGCAGCAACACGAGCCAGGAATTGCAGCGCTGCACCGTGACCTCGTAATGAGAGCCGACGGCACACGCACTCCGCGGTGACTTCGGCCGCCACGCGGTTTGTACGCTCGCCCCTGCCGTTGGTCGGAACTGGTAAACCGATTCTGAAAACGGTTACCGGTTCGCCGGTTAACGGTGAACCGCCCCAGTTAGGAGTATGGCTCTTTCTAGGGAATGGCTTTGCCAGTTTGTTAGGGATAGGGGTAGTTTTATGGGATTACTGAGTGTGGTTAGAGAGTTGGGGTGGGACTAAGGTCTGGCGTGGTTAAGCTTGGGGGTTAGTGATAGGGGTAGGAGTGTGGTCTGGATGGTTCATGTGGAGAGTGTTAGGGGTAGAAGTGTGGTCTGGGTGGTTCATGTGGAGAGTGTTAGGGGTAGGAGTGTGGTCTGGATGGTTCATGTGGAGAGTGTTAGGGGTAGGAGTGTGGTCTGGGTGGTTCATGTGAAGAGTGTTAGGGGTAGGAGTCTGGTCTGAGTGGTTCATGTGGAGAGTGTTAGGGGTAGGAGTGTGGTCTGAGTGGTTCATGTGGAGAGTGTTAGAGATAGGAGTGTGGTCTGAGTGGTTCATGTGGAGAGTGTTAGGGGTAGGAGTGTGGTCTGGGTGGTTCATGTGGAGAGTGTTAGGGGTAGGAGTGTGGTCTGGGTGGTTCATGTGGAGAGTGTTAGGGGTAGGAGTGTGGTCTGGATGGTTCATGTGGAGAGTGTTAGGGGTAGGAGTTTGGCCTGAGTGGTTCATGTGGAGAGTGTTAGGGGTAGGAGTGTGGTCTGGGTGGTTCATGTGGAGAGTGTTAGGGGTAGGAGTGTGGTCTGAGTGGTTCATGTGGAGAGTGTTAGGGGTAGGAGTGTGGTCTGAGTGGTTCATGTGGAGAGTGTTAGGGGTAGGAGTGTGGTCTGGGTGGTTCATGTGGAGAGTGTTAGGGGTAGGAGTGTGGTCTGGGTGGTTCATGTGGAGAGTGTTAGGGGTAAGAGTGTGGTCTGGATGGTTCATGTGGAGAGTGTTAGGGTAGGAGTGTGGTCTGGGTGGTTCATGTGGAGAGTGTTAGGGATAGGAGTGTGGTCTGGGGGGTTCATGTGGAGAGTGTTAGGGGTAGGAGTGTGGTCTGGGTGGTTCATGTGGAGAGTGTTAGCGGCAGGGCAAGCTTTGGGTTGAGTCGATCAGCTGGGGCTCACCGTAGTGGGAGTTTCGACATTGCTAGTGTGCCAGCCACTCAAAGACCAACGCTGCCCCTAGACGTTCGTTGAAACCCGCTCACGCTATCACCCTTGGCCGCGACAGCGTCAATAACGAAGCCGACAATGATAACGAGGATAGCCACGATAACGATGACAAACGAGGACACTGCACGGCACTCACGCATGAAGTCTCGTCGTACGGACGACTTGGTGTTGCCGAATTCTGGCGAGGTCTTCTTGAAAGCGTTCCGCAGCAGGTGTGCCCTCTCCGTGAAGCTGCTCGTGGGAACCAGAGAGGTGGGGAGTAAAACAGTGCCCGCCAGCAGCACCGCCAGCAGCGTCATGAGCGCCGCCGCGTCTCCTCCCCTTGGCTTCTCGCGCCGCCGAGACGCCGGGCAACGCCGTAAAACCAAAAGCGTCTCGGAGGCGGCGCCGTCAGCGGGCGCAGGAGAAGGGCGACGTGTGACACGGCACACAAGCGTGCGCGCTCTCAAACAAGATCATCATAAATCCGCAGCACTACTGCAGTGATTTTTTGCAGTATATTCTGTCAAAATCTCCGCTGCATTTTTGCGGGCGCGCCGGCGCGTGGAGCCGGCGTTTCCGGCTCCACGCACCGAGGAACTTCTCCGAGGACTAAAGCCAAAATTTGAGGTCACGGCACGCGGAGCGAAACGCCGGACATCGTGCCGCGTAGCGCCTCCGCGAAGACCAAACGCGCTCAGGGGGAATTCACCGGCTCGTCGAATCGGGAGCCATATGTGCGCACAATTCGTGGAATTGCGGAATGGCGTGGATTGCTACAAAAACCTGCCGTGGTGAAGTCCGTTGACAAACGGAGCGAGCGCGCGGGCGCACGTTTCTCTTTGCTCCACGCGCGTGCGTGCTGTTCGGCACGAGCACCGCCTACACGAGCAGCGGGCGTTCTAGCAAGAGAGGAAGAGGCAAGCAAAGAGAGACGCGGTGCTCCTCCTGTAGAGCCACCCCACACTGACGGTGCGTTACCCTGGGTGTCGCCCGACGCCAATTTGAAGGCGGCTTAATGAGAGAGAAAAAAAAATACTTTGAAGCCTGTCGCATCACTCGGTCTGCACTGCTCCAGTTAGGTCACGCTTGGGTCACCTTCGTCGTCATGCCGACTCACGCGTGTGGCACCGCGGTGACGCCACCGCAAAGCGTTACGGTTCATTGTTTTTTTTGGTCAGATCGCCTCAATGTAGAAAATGTGTCGGACACCCTCCACCACCCGACAAAGCCAAATAGACGTGCCAATTTAGTCCGGCTTCACCGGTGTGTGGTTGGAGAGCGATCCCACGGCGCTAAACGTTGGGCACGACGTTTCGCTGGGACCATCACTAGGCAGCGAAAACGTTGCAATAATTTTTTTTGCGTGCAAGTCACTGGTGACCGGGCTGAGACCATCAACTCACCGCACCAGAGAGGAAACCGTAATCACATGCGGCTGCTGAAACCTGGACCCAGGACGCCTGCGGTGTTGGCCGCTCATCCCCGAAGTCGCTTGAAAGTCTTTTTCCCCCTTTGTGGTGTCGCGGCCGCCTCGGCGTACAAGCGGCTGCGAGACAAAGCTACGGCTATGCTTGGGGCCTGCATTCTCGTGAGACAGCGCGATGGCTCTACTTGGGGCCTGTGTTCTCGTGTGCTGGCGCACGCAGAGGAGCAACTCAGGGAGACAGGAGCTCGCTCGGCGGAGAGGTAGATGGAAGGAGCCGGAGAGGAAATGGAAGACGTCAAGCAAGCAAGCGGAAGAATAAAAGGTGGGGCGGAAATAAATATACAGCTCGGGTTGTCGCGATACGATACGGCATTCATTTTAACTACGACGATTATTATCATCGCAAAGTCACTACATCGTAACTTTTGCAATCTCATCGTTTTGATTTTGCCCTGAGCTGTCCTTTCACTGAGACTAAAGAGTTCTTCAAGACACAAGTTCATTCAAACCGAGCCTGCCGTAAGCACTTTAACCGCAGCAACTTTACAACCGGCAACGGCTGCCCAACGCACTCACAGGGAGCGGCTGCGCCCCGACGCTCCCAGCGGCAGGGACTCGGAGGTCCGGGATCTCCGCTCCCGCACCCCCAGGGCGAATATGGAGAGCGTGGGCCGAGCGGGTCGTTTGCTCCGTGGTACTGGGGCGGACTGTGGATCTCTGTCGAGGCTGTCTGGGAGCTTTAAAGTCCCTGCCCAAAAAATTATTCCTCTGTTAGAACTCGGCCACTGCTGAGCTCCCGTTGATGTAAAAGCTCCTTGAGATGTTACGGTGAAAGGCGCTACGAGAGAAGCTGCAATTATTGCTATTTTGGTGTTAGCGAGCGGCGCACCTCCTCTGCGTTTTGTCGAGTATATTTGTATCAGGCCTGAACGTGTTTGTCCCGCTGTGATGGGCTTCTTCTCACGATTCGAATTGGCCATTGAGGAGCATCTACCATAGATTAAGTTCCAAGCGTTTTAGCCGTCTAATCAGTTGCTCACCATTTGCAGATAAGAGCTGGATTTTAATCGATCCTGCCTGAGTAGGTATCGCCGCCGTAGCAGCAGCATCAGGCGATGATAATCAGGATATAACAGAATGTACCGTTTGGCACGTATCGCTGTACCGCCGTACCGCGGCAACCCTGACAGGAACACACAAAGCGAAAGGGAAACACAACAATCCATTTCATCACCTTGCCCTGTTACGCGACAGGCGCGTCAGCGCCTCACGACAAGGAGTAACTTCTTTAGTTACGGAGGGCAACCGTACGACCAGTTGGGTTTGGCGGGCGGGCGGGCGGGCGGGCGAGCGGGCGTGCGGGCGGGCGGGCGGGCGGGGTGGGTGGGCGTGTGCAGGAACAAACAAAAGGTAAGGGGGGATGGGATGGGAGGGTACACGCGGAGACCGTTAACACAGCACATACGGCGCACGCACGCGTGACACACATGCGACACGCATGTAACACGCAGACTGCAGCCGTCCGTGAAACGTAGCGCCCTCGCAATAGCCCTGCGCACTACGAACAGTGAAGAGTGCCAAAGATGTCTCTTCGTCAACCCAGAGCCATCGTCTGCCACTGCCGCCTATGGAGGAGAACGCCCTCCAATCAAATCAGCCGGAATCCCCGCCCCATCTCATCGGATTCTCTGAAGCCAAGCAGGAATGAGCCTGGCAAGCGCTTGGATTACGCTGTCCAATGACACGTCGTTCCTGCCGATGCCGGAGTCAATGCTGTTGGCAGTGATCTAAACCGACGGGAGGCAATGGTGACTGCAAAATCAAACCCCTGTGGGGGAATTTGTTTGCAATGGCGGTGGTAAGGAGATGTTAACTGCGTCGCCTGGTATACAGGTCGTGGGTCTATCTCGAGTTTGTATGTTGTCTCCCCCACCATTGGATGGGGAGTGGAAGGGAAGAGAAGGGATGGGAAGGGAGGGGAAGGAAGGGGGAGGGATGGGAGGGGATGGGATGGGAGTGAGGTGCAGCGGTGGGGGCATGCACGTGCCTCTTGTTGAGGATCGAGGTGAGCATGATGCGGTCCGACTTCTGTGCGCGTGCCTCACTCTCCTGCACCTCCTCCACCAGCGACTGGAAGCACGAGCGGCGGACGCTGCACACGCGGACGGGGGGGCGGTGAGAGTGACGACGAGGGCGGGGGCGAGGGCCTCGAGAGCTCACTGACGAGGTGATGAGATGACGAGGCGACGAGCTGACGAAGCGACGAGTTGACAAGGTGAGCGCCACGGTCGTAGGAGCGGTCAGCTCCCAAAATAAATAATTAAGCAACGTTTAAATAAATAACTATGCTTTTAAAAGCAGTGGTGCTATTCTGGCCATGCAACCCAAACTACAGACCACGTAGTAAACTACTGCGGCCCGTGCCCCTTCAACAGAGGAGGAAGAGCGACACGACACAAACTCTCTGCTAAAGCTCTCTCGTCGTGGTCAGCAGCACACCTCGACACCGGCACCTTGCTCTCGAGCGCTGCCGCCGCTGCTGCCATCGTGCGCAGGGATAGACTCCAACTTACACTTTCCACACGGCGTCCGGGACGAGGCACGTGATGGGGATGAGGATGAGAGCCATCCAGAACACGCCGCTCTTCAGCATCATGCTCGCCTGGCCCAGTCAGAACAGAAACAGCAGCAGCAGCAGTTGCATCACGCACGCCCCCACGCACGCAGCAATCCGTTCCCAAGAAGGGTCATTGCCCGAAACATCACCTATAGGATATTATATTTCCTTTTAAGGCCACAGCGTGGCTGGTGAACATGCGATGCTGCTGCGTTGGCAGCAGCATCGCTACCGGAAAATTCACCGATATGTTCCGGGTAACTTTCACATCGCAGAGACGTTCACCTATCCGACAGGTCCACCTCAAGTCTCCAGCGAGTGGGACAAGCAGTGCTGTACAGCACAGGCACCCCCTCACTCTACGTGGTAGCGGTAGTCGTAGTAGTAGACGCCTTGCAAGACAAAGGCGCCCTGCCGAGTAGCACACACAGCACAAACAACGTTGTATCACGTCGGACCACGGTGCTCAAGTAGTAACTCATTAAATCTTGACTTACAGCTTTTGTGACTGCAGCAAATCATATTCTTGGGTCTTTCGGTAAAGTCACGTAGATAGGTTCAAAGAAAATAACAAAAAAAACTACGATATTTTGATCGCAACGCAAGCAATCGTCATCAGGAAAAAAAAGGTCATAGTTTTTGGTAATTTTCTTTGAACCTATCTATGTGACTTTACCGAAAGACCCAAAAATATAGGAACTCATTTACACGTTTTGTTCACGTGACAAACCTTACTAACCTGGCTTTTACGTGATCTGACCCAAAACACTTTATTAGGAATAATGCCATTACCTCGGTCAAAACGACCGCTGCTAATTTTAACCCAGATGTGAGGATGACGATTGTGACGATGTCCCTTACCTGGCCGCTCATGTCGGGAGCAAGTGGGATGGCCGGCCACAGCAGGGAGTAGATGCCGAAAAAGACGACCCACAGGGCGATGCTGCCCCACACGGCGATGTGGCTCAGCTGGGGACACAAGGAGGAGATGGTGTCACTCTCACCCCCAGCCAGGGGGTGAGCATGACACTCACGGTGCCACGCGGCTCCCCACCACGCTCATCATTAAAGCGTTGTCCTTTCCGTGCAGTGCTTCCATTGAGCTGGCCATGTGGAGCTAATAGACTAGGACGGCTGATCTGCAGCACTAAAGCCGTGCTGCTGCCACTGCTGTACGTGTCGGATTCATTGGGTTTATCACCCAATTCAACGGGGCAGTTCAACCTGTGTAGGCCCCAGGCCTTCCTCTTTAGGGTTTACGTACAAATGGGTGAGTCCAGGGGTCGGCAACCTGCGGCTCTTTAAACATTTCCTGTTCCGATGACGTACGCAGACGTACGTACATGTGTGTGTGTATGTCCACACACACATGTAAGTGTGTATGTACACACACATGTACACACACATGTACGCACGTGTACGTACATGAACGTACACGTGTGCACGTCATCAGTTTTTCTTCCGATTCTGTTACGATGACGTCCACGTACGGAATCGGAAGAAAAACTAAAATAGAATAACTTTGTCGGTACCGAGGCTCCCACAAGGCCATGCGGAAGGGCGTGCGGCACAGTTTGGCGCAGTTATCATAGAACGGCGGTGGTCGTGTCGCCACGGTTCCCCGCGGTGGTTAACAACGTCTTTAAAACCAATGGCGTTGCTGCTACGCCTCTCTAAGTAAAATGAACGCCGAGCTGTTTGCCGAACGCTGAGCCGCTGATGGCAGAGTTCCAGTGCAGATGGCGGCAATGCTGACAAATGACCTGGGATTACAGGCAGCAGGCAACAGTAACATCACACCCGGCTTGAGAAAATCTGGCAGCACCCTACTGAAAACGCCTCTTGAGCCTCAAGTGAGGCTTTACTGGCTAGACACGTGCACACTCATCGTAACAACAACACCACCGACGGGGGTGACGACGGCGGTAGCTACACAGTACCGAGGTGGGAAAGCATGAGAAGAAAGACGTCACTCACCCTGGTCCACGCTGTGGTCTCCAGGCCGGCTTTCAAGCAAACTGTGATCACCACCAGCTGGAACACAGCAGCAGGAGCAGAAGGATTTTGGCAACGTTTTGACCCCTAAAGCAGTGTACACACGACCTATTCGATTTCAACTGATCTTTAAATGTGAACCGCATATCACACGATGCGCGTCACACGGAGCGTGTGATATGGCGCGTGTTATACGAGTAATGCACCCGCAGTATTAATTGGTGCGGCCGTCAGAGTCGAACGGCGAGCGCCCTTGCGACGAGCGGCAAGCGAACGTGCCGCCGCTCGGCAACGCGGTCGTCCAAACCGGCGGAGGGGCTTGGCCGTACGTCACCACGAGACGCGGCCTTGCCGGGGTGCGAACTCGTGACCTTCCGACCACGAGCCGTGTGCGGGCCCCATTTCACACGCACTCATCCGTGTGGAGGCGAGGCTGACGGCAAACAACGTAGCCGCAATTGGCCAAACACCCTAAAGCCGGAGGATGACCCGCGACTCTCTTAATACAAACCTACATTGGGATCATGTGCGGCATTGTGGCAAGACCCTCCCGAGTCTTGAGACCCGCCGAGGCTCACGGCAATGGCGAGGGGTTTTTGACGAGCACATTCACCGCGCACATGCCACTCACCGCACGCTCACCGCACATTCACCGCGCACATGCCACCCACCGCACGCTCACCGTGCACATGCCACTCACTGCACGCTCACCGCACATTCACCGCGCACATGCCACTCAGCACGCTCACCGCACATTCACCGCGCATATGCCACTCACTGCACGTTCACCGCACACTCACCGCGCGCGTGCCGCTCACCGCACATTCACCGCGCGCGTGCCACTCACCGCGCGCGTGCCACTTACCGCACGCTCACCGCACATTCACCACGCACATGCCACTCACTGCACGCTCACCGGACATTCACCGTGCACATGTCACTCACCGCACGCTCACCGCACATTCACCGCGCGCGTGCCACTCACCTCACCATGCGCATAAAACTCAGTGCACACTCACCGTGTAAACAATGTTGCCCAGGAAGAGGTAATCTGGAGTATTTCCGCTTGAAAACAAAATATCTAGACGAGAAACAAAGGGCACGACACGGCGGGGGTGTCTCAGTGTTACTCGGTTCTTGTGCGTGCCGGAAGCACCGCACTCGGGAGTGAGACACCCAACGTGGAGGCGTGCTACCCACTGCCATGACAACAGAGAGAGAATTTTGATTTAAAGCTTTCGTGACTGCAGCGATTCATATTCTTGGTTCTTTCGGTAAAGTCACGTTGAAGGGAAACAATAAAATAAAAATATAAATATAAAACAAAAAACTTCTCACGACGTTTGGACAGCATCAAGAGAGAGAGAGGCCTTCAGGAGAGAGAGAGAGGCCTTCAGGAGAGAGAGAGGCCTTCAGGAGAGAGAGGCCTTCAGGAGAGAGGCCATCAGGAGAGAGAGAGGCCTTCAGGAGAGAGAGAGGCCTTCAGGAGAGAGAGGCCTTCAGGAGAGAGAGAGGCTATCAGGAGAGAGAGAGGCCTTCAGGAGAGAGCGAGGCCTTCAGGAGAGCGAGAGGCCTTCAGGAGAGCGAGAGGCCTTCAGGAGAGAGGCCTTTCAGGAGAGAGTGGCCTTCAGGAGAGAGAGAGGCCATCAGGAGAGAGAGGCCTTCAGGAGAGAGAGAGGCCTTCAGGAGAGAGAGGCCTTCAGGAGAGAGAGGCCTTCAGGAGAGAGGGGACTTCAAGAGAGAGAGAGGCCATCAGGAGAGAGAGGCCTTCAGGAGAGAGAGAGGCATTCAGGAGAGAGAGGCCTTCAGGAGAGAGAAAGGCCTTCAGGAGAGAGAGAGGCCATCAGGAGAGAGAGAGGCCTTCAGGAGAGAGAGAGGCCTTCAGGAGAGAGAGAGGCCATCAAGAGAGAGAGGCCATCAGGAGAGAGAGAGGCCTTCAGGAGAGAGGCCATCAGGAGAGAGCGAGGCCTTCAGGAGAGTGAGAGGCCTTCAGGAGAGAGCGGTCTTCAGGAGAGAGATAGGCCTTCAGGACAGAGAGGCCTTCAGGAGAGAGAGGCCTTCAGGAGAGAGAGGGCTTCAGGAGAGAGAGGCCATCAGGAGAGAGGCCTTCAGGAGAGAGAGAGGCCTTCAGGAGAGAGAGGCCTTCAGGAGAGAGAGAGGCCTTCAGGAGAGAGAGAGGCCATCAAGAGAGAGAGGCCTTCAGGAGAGAGAGGCCATCTGGAGAGAGAGAGGCCTTCAGGAGAGAGAGAGAGGCCTTCAGTAGAGAGAGGCCTTCAGGAGAGAGGCCTTCAGGAGAGAGAGGCCTTCAGGAGAGAGAGGCCTTCAGGAGAGAGAGAGAGGCCTTCAGGAGAGAGAGAGGCTTTCAGGAGAGAGAGAGGCCATCAGGAGAGAGGCCTTCAGGAGAGAGGCCATCAGGAGAGAGAGAGGCCTTCAGGACAGAGATAGGCCTTCAGAAGAGAGAGGCCTTCAGGAGAGAGAGAGGCCATCAGGAGAGAGAGAGGCCTTCAGGAGAGAGCGAGGCCTTCAGGAGAGCGAGAGGCCTTCAGGAGAGAGAGAGGCCTTCAGGAGAGAGAGGCCTTCAGGAGAGAGAGGCCATCAGGAGAGAGAGAGGCCTTCAGGAGAGAGAGGCCTTCAGGAGAGAGAGGTCTTCAGGAGAGAGAGGCCTTCAGGAGAGAGAGGCCTTCAGGAGAGAGGCCATCAGGAGAGAGAGATGCCTTCAGGAGAGAGAGAGGCATTCAGGAGAGAGAGGCCTTCAGGAGAGAGGCCTTCAGGAGAGAGAGGCCATCAGGAGAGAGGCCTTCAGGAGAGAGGCCTTCAGGAGAGAGAGGCCATCAAGAGAGAGAGGCCATCAGGAGAGAGAGAGGCCTTCAGGAGAGAGAGGCCTTCAAGAGAGAGCGAGGCCTTCAGGAGAGAGAGGCCTTCAGGAGAGAGAGAGGCCATCAGGAGAGAGAGAGGCTTTCAGGAGAGAGAGGCCTTCAGGAGAGAGAGGCCTTCAGGAGAGAGAGAGTCCTTCAGGAGAGAGAGAGGCCTTCAGGAGAGAGAGAGAGGCCATCAGGAGAGAGGCCTTCAGGAGAGAGAGGCCTTCAGGAGAGAGAGAGGCCTTCAGGAGAGAGAGGAGAGAGGCCTTCAGGAGAGAAAGGCCTTCAGGAGAGAGAGAGGCCTTCAGGAGAGAGAGGCCTTCAGGAGAGAGAGAGGCCTTCAGGAGAGAGAGAGGCCATCAGGAGAGAGAGGCCTTCAGGAGAGAGAGAGGCCTTCAGGACAGAGAGAGGCCATCAGGAGAGTGAGAGGCCTTCAGGAGAGAGAGAGGCCTTCAGGAGAGAGAGAGGCCTTCAGGAGAGAGAGAGGCCATCAGGAGAGAGAGAGGCCTTCAGGAGAGAGAGAGGCCTTCAGGAGAGAGAGAGGCCTTCAGGAGAGAGAGAGGCCTTCAGGAGAGAGAGAGGCCTTCAGGAGAGAGAGGCCATCAGGAGAGAGAGAGGCCTTCAGGAGAGAGAGGCCATCAGGAGAGAGAGGCCATCAGGAGAGAGAGGCCTTCAGGAGAGAGAGAGGCCTTCAGGAGAGAGAGAGGCCATCAGGAGAGAGAGAGGCCTTCAGGAGAGAGAGAGGCCTTCAGGAGAGAGAGGCCATCAGGAGAGAGAGAGGCCTTCAGGAGAGAGAGGCCTTCAGGAGAGAGAGAGGCCTTCAGGAGAGAGAGGCCTTCAGGAGAGAGAGGCCATCAGGAGAGAGAGGCCTTCAGGAGAGAGAGAGGCCTTCAGGAGAGAGAGAGAGGCCATCAGGAGAGAGAGGCCTTCAGGAGAGAGAGGCCTTCAGGAGAGAGAGAGGCCTTCAGGAGAGAGAGAGGCCTTCAGGAGAGAGAGAGGCCTTCAGGAGAGAGAGAGGCCATCAGGAGAGAGAGAGGCCTTCAGGAGAGAGAGAGAGGCCTTCAGGAGAGAGAGGCCTTCAGGAGAGAGAGAGGCCTTCAGGAGAGGCACCTGAAGCAGAGAGAGTGAGGTGTTGCTCTTCCTCATTCTCCGTTGAAGGCGCGCAGACCACGGTGGTTTGCTCCATTGTGTGGGTGGCACGGCCAAAGCTTGTCGGTGCTTATGAACGAGTGCTATGATGGTATGAGGACCGGCTGTCAATGCCCTGCTGAGAGCCTCTCCACACGCTGCTGACAGTGAGAGATTTGTATCCATACTTTACCGCGCTAGTCAGTGTAGGTTGGTGGAGGTGGAGGGGAGTGCACAGCAGCCTAACACCTCTGCCACCGCCGCCACCACCTCCACCGCCACCACCGCCGCCACAGGCATAGCGCGTACTGATTGCGCTACGTTAATGTTGTTGTTCTTAAAGTCTCACCTCTTCTCTGTCGCCCATTCTCTTCCTCTTCCCTCACCCCTCCACTCCTTCCCGTCCCTCCCCTGTAACCCTCTCGTGATCTCTAAGTACCCGTCTCTATCGCTGCTGTCCCTCGTTCCTCAACCCATGTAGCATGCCCCTGTCCACGACACCATTCAATTCTGTTGTCGTTTTGTCAGCGATATCAACCGCTTTGAGTGCTGGCGCTCTCTATGAATGTAAATCAGATTGTCGTTGTTGTCGTTGTTGTGACGGCAGGTTGAGTGGAGATAGGAACCGTCAAGAAGCGCGTCCTGGGGGCCGCAGTTTGCGCACCGCGTGACCTCACCGTGCTCGACGGCCTTGAGAGGGATCCAGAACAAGACGACGGAGTGGAAGAGGCCGTTGAGGCAGTGAATCCAGAAGATCTGAAGGGCACGAGACGAGGCGCGACGGTCAGTCGTCGCGCGACAGACAAGGTCGCCACGTTGGCCTGCGATGCGTCTCCCATGACTCGTAGAACCTTACTTTTTCCCAAACGGAGGCACTTATATATGTGTAGTGGGTTGTATGGAGATGGAGTCTTCTTAGGGGGCAACACGTATTTATTTAACAATAACACAGAGGGTCCCCAACACGAAGGGGTAATGGCCCCTTCTATCCAACAACCTAAGGAGGTACGGCCTCCGGGCTAACGTGCCCGGAGGCCGTATCTAACCACTGGGGCTAACCACTCTCAGCCCTCCGGCTAGCGGGACTTAGGGGAGGCTGACCCGACCCAGCCAAGGTCCTTGGGTCTCGACCACTGGCCCACTCAGACCCGGCCCTGAGAAGGATGTCGGTTTGGGGGATCCGACCCGACTCTTGGGTCTTCAGCTTGACGCGGACTGACTCGAGCCGCCGTGGGGTCCGGCTTTTATGGGGCTCCCAGGGTCACTCCGCCCCTGGCCACGCCCATCATCTGGAACATTCTGGAGGGACGTAGATTGTTGCGCAATCCCCCAGCCCCCACTGGGGGCCTGGGGTGTCCCCCTCTGTTTCCTAACCGCCCCCGAGATTGCCTGACCCACGAGTCCTACTTAGTACAGACCGGACCCGCTATTGCCCCCTGTTGGGCGCTGATGGGACTTACATGTTTAACCGTAGTGGTGGTGGCGTATTACGCCCGACAATTACCCACCACATTTTAATTACGTGATTATATACACACACATGTAAAAATAAAACAAAATTTACGAAATTGTGGGTGCATGAAGAGCAATAATATTTCTGGGGCTGTGAATGTTTGCGTCCCGGTCTCAGAGCGAGTGGTGCGAGCCGTGCTCCGTCCCTCACCCGGGAGTTGAACTCCTCTGCATTCTGCGATTGCTTGTAGAGCGCCGGGAATCGCAGCATGCTGTCCTGGCTACACGAGCGCTCGAAGATGCCCAGCACAAACGGAGGCAGCGCCGTGAACATCTGGAGGCAGTCGAAACAACGGTCGTGACAGTGAATATCTGGTGGCAGTCGAAACAACGGTCGTGACAGTGAATATCTGGAGGCAGTCGGAACAACGGTCGCAACGCGCGCATTACACAGAAGCTTGTCATCTGTGAAGAAGTGTGTATGCAGAAGATGCAAATAGTATTACGGTAGCAGAGGGTAGGAAAGTTGTTAGAAATTCACAATGGAATGTGGCAAGAATGTTTTATGGACGTAGCAAGAATGCTTTATGGACGTAGCGCAGGAGGTCGTGGTGGGTGGGACGTGGTGGGTGGGACGCGGTGTACGGGACGGAGGAGGATGGGGCCAGCGACTGGGAGGTAGCGATGAGTGGGACTGCGGCCGCTCGCTCGCAAGCTCCTCGCTCACCACATTGTAGAGGCCGATGGTCCAGCGCTCAAACAGGATCTGGCCCGAAAATCCATTGGTGAAGGCAAACCAGAGCTTCACGCGGACAGGAGCGTAGGGAAACGACACGCGCAACAGACACAGCTAGGACAGCGGCCAAGGTACGCCCTCTCTCGCTCGCTCTCCATTCAACATGCACTTGGACGGGCAGGTCGAGTCACGGGCGGCTAACACCCACACTCACACCCAGGATCTCAGCTCGATGCTCTGACCCCTGCGCTACTTATCAAAAACATCTTCCATCAAGCACAGACCAATACGCCACTGCAGACTCAAGTTATAGACGACCACCGCACCACCACCGCCACACAACCACTACCACTGCTCCCTCTACAGCATCATCTCCACACAACCACGACCACCGATCACTCTACAGCATCACCACCACAAAACCACTACCACCGATCACTCAAGAGGATCACCGCCAAACAACCACAACCAACAATCCATAACATAACAAGCGATTCGCCACAAGACCTTTCCATTCAAATCCCGCCAGCCTCACGGCCATCTCCTCTAAAGTGTGGCCACCGCAAGGGCGTTGCTGCGGGCGCCCGGGGCGGCACACCTCGATGATGTAGAGCACCACGTTCTTGTAGAAGGAGTACAGGATGCACTTGGCGACGCGCGTGTAGCTCCAAGCCCCGTGCACCAGCAGCAGCTTCTTCAGGTGGCAGAACTGTGACACGCCCACATCGCAGACACCACCAGAGCTGTGACACGCCCACATCGCAGACACCACCAGGGCTGTGACACGCCCACAACGCAGACACCACCAGAACTGTGACACGCGCACAACGCAGACACCACCAGGGCTGTGACACGCGCACAACGCAGACACCACCAGGGCTGTGACACGCGCACAACGCAGACACCACCAGGGCTGTGACACGCGCACAACGCAGACACCACCAGGGCTGTGACACGCGCACAATGCAGACACCACCAGGGCTGTGACACGCCCACAACGCAGACACCACCAGAGCTGTGACACGCGCACAACGCAGACACCACCAGGGCTGTGACACACGCACAACGCAGACACCACCAGAGCTGTGACACGCGCACAACGCAGACACCACCAGAGCTGTCGTGAGTGGCTGGAGTGGGTCGGTGAGTGGCTGGAGTAAGAACCGGGACTGGGTGTTTCGCTGCTACAACGGGAACCGAATTATAACTCTCGCCGAGTCTGTGCTGCACCAGGCACCCTTAGTCAGATCGTGGAGGTCGTGGCAACGGCGACCGTAGTCTAAACTAAACTATTTCTTTATCTTACCAGGTAAGGCCCATTGAGCAGTGTAGCACTCTTTCCGAAGCGACCTCAATGGTAGCTCAATGAAGTGACTTATCACGTGGAAAGTTATAGGAGCCAAATTCTCTAAACGAGAGAAAAACCAAAGGACCAAAGGGAGAGAGACACGCAAACTTCATATATACAGCAGCAGGCTTCAGGGTCGGGATCGAACCCACGATCTCCTGTGTACCAGGTGAAGTTGTTAATATCTTGCCACTGAGAGAGAGAGATATGCAAACTCCAAATATACAGCAGCAGGCACCAGGATCGGGATCGAACCCACGACCTCCTGCACACCAGGCGAGGGAGTTAACATCTCACCACAGAGAGAGACATGCAAACTCCAAATATACAGCAACAGGCGTCAGGGTCGGGATCAAACCCACGACCTCCTGTATACCAGGCGAGGCAGTTAACATCTTGGCAACGCGGCGCCCCGCAACCGTAGTAGCGGCATTCAAGTAACGAGGTGGTAACCGACTGCCGGCGAGCGATCGAGCGAGCGACGCCACCTGCGCGATGGAGTAGTCAGAGGAGTTGACGGCCTGCAGGCCCTCGTTGCCGCTGATGCCGACGCCGACGTGCGCCGTCTTGATCATGCCCACGTCGTTGGCGCCGTCGCCCACGGCCAGCGTGATGGCCGCGCGGACCTTCTTCTTCACCGCGTCCACAATCTCCGACTTCTGCAGCGGCGACACGCTGCGGCACGCACGCGGGACACGAAGAGAGCGGGGCGGGCGGGCGGGGGGGGGCCCCGTTAGGAGGCGAGGTTCTCGCAACCCCCAAAGGGACGCGGCGCTCGTAACCCTATTCCGCCGGCACGCCGAGCCACGTGATGCCAGCCTGGGGCCCTCGCGGTACGGGTGTATTATCCGCTGGCGCACCTGAGCCGAGCCGCAGCTGGGCCCTCGTGACGCGAGTGTGGTTTTCCCACCGGCTATTCGCCGTGCCGAGGTGGCGCCGCCCGAGCCTCACCGACAGCAGATGACGGCTCGGCAGGAGAGCGCCAGCTGCAGGAAGTCGTTGCGCAGCTCGGGGTCGAGGGCGTAGACGAGAGACTTGCCGTCCACGATGAGCGCCAAGTCGTTCTCGCGGTTCACCTGCTCGCCAAGATCCTCCAGCTGCGCCGTCAGCTCGGCGCGCGTCGCCTGCACGAGGTGTGACGCACGGCGCTGTGACGGTGTGACGTGTGATGGCGTGATGGTGTGACATAAGGAACTATGACAGGGTGACGGTGTGACAGGGTGACGGTGTGACAGGGTGACGGTGTGACGGTGTGACAGTGTGACGGTGTGACAGGGTGACGGTGTGACAGGGTGACGGTGTGACAGGGTGAAGGTGTGACGGTGTGACAGGGTGACGGTGTGACAGGGTGAAGGTGTGACAGGGTGACGGTGTGACGGTGTGACAGGGTGATGGTGTGACAGGGTGATGGTGTGACAGGGTGACGGTGTGACAGGGTGAAGGTGTGACGGTGTGACAGGGTGACGGTGTGACAGGGTGACGGTGTGACGGTGTGACAGGGTGACGGTGTGACAGGGTGACGGTGTGACAGGGTGACGGTGTGACAGGGTGACGGTGTGACGGTGTGACAGGGTGATGGTGTGACGGTGTGACAGGGTGGCGGTGTGACAGGGTGACGGTGTAACGGTGTGGCAGGGTGACGGTGTGACAGGGTGACGGTGTGACAGGGTGACGATGTGACAGCGTGACGGTGTGACGGTGTGACAGGGTAACGGTGTCAAAGGGTGATGGTGTGACGGTGTGACGGTGTGACAGGGTGACGGTGTGACAGGGTGACGATGTGACGGTGTGACAGTGTGACAGTGTGACAGGGTGACGGTGTGACAGGGTGACGATGTGACAGGGTGATGGTGTGACGGTGTGACAGTGTGACGGTGTGATGGTGTGACAGGGTGACGATGTGACGGTGTGACAGTGTGACAGTGTGACAGGGTGACGGTGTGACGGTGTGACAGGGTGACGGTGTGACGGTGTGACGGTGTGACAGGGTGACGATGTGACAGGGTGATGGTGTGACGGTATGACAGGGTGACGGTGTGACGGTGTGACAGGGTGACGATGTGACAGGGTGATGGTGTGACGGTATGACAGGGTGACGGTGTGACGGTGTGACAGGGTGACGGTGTGACAGGGTGACGGTGTGACAGCGTGACGCTGTGACAGGGTGACGGTGTGACGGTGTGACAGGGTGACGGTGTGACGGTGTGACAGGGTGACGGTGTGACAGGGTGACGGTGTGACGGTGTGATAGGGTGACGGTGTGACGGTGTGGCAGGGTGACGGTGTGACAGGGTGACGGTGTGACAGGGTGACGATGTGACAGCGTGACGGTGTGACAGCGTGACGGTGTGACGGTGTGACAGGGTAACGGTGTCAAAGGGTGATGGTGTGACGGTGTGACAGTGTGACGGTGTGACGGTGTGACAGGGTGACGATGTGACGGTGTGACAGTGTGACAGTGTGACAGGGTGACGGTGTGACGGTGTGACAGGGTGACGGTGTGACGGTGTGACGGTGTGACAGGGTGATGATGTGACAGGGTGATGGTGTGATGGTATGACAGGGTGACGGTGTGACGCTGTGACAGGGTGATGGTGTGACAGGGTGACGGTGTGACAGGGTGACGGTGTGACAAGGTGATGGTGTGACAGGGTGATCGTGTGACAGGGTGACGGTGTGACAGGGTGACGGTGTGACAGGGTGACGGTGTGACGGTGTGACAGGGTGACGATGTGACAGCGTGACGGTGTGACAGGGTGACGGTGTGACAGGGTGATGGTGTGACGGTATGACAGGGTGACGGTGTGACAGGGTGACGGTGTGACAGGGTGACGGTGTGACAGTGTGACAGGGTGACGGTGTGACAGGGTGACGGTGTGACGGTGTGACAGGGTGACGGTGTGACAGCGTGACAGTGTGAAGGTGTCACAGGGTGACGGTGTGACAGGGTGACGGTGTGACAGGGTGACGGTGTGACAGGGTGACAGGGTGACGATGTGACAACGTGACGGTGTGACAGGGTGATGGTGTGACAGGGTGATGGTGTGACAGGGTGACGGTGTGACGGTGTGACAGGGTGACGATGTGACAGCGTGACGGTGTGACAGGGTGACGGTGTGACAGGGTGATGGTGTGACGGTATGACAGGGTGACGGTGTGACAGGGTGACGGTGTGACAGGGTGACGGTGTGACAGTGTGACAGGGTGACGGTGTGACAGGGTGACGGTGTGACGGTGTGACAGGGTGACGGTGTGACAGCGTGACAGTGTGAAGGTGTCACAGGGTGACGGTGTGACAGGGTGACGGTGTGACAGGGTGACGGTGTGACAGGGTGACAGGATGACGGTGTGACAGGGTGACGGTGTGACGGTGTGACAGGGTGACGATGTGACAACGTGACGGTGTGACAGGGTGATGGTGTGACAGGGTGATGGTGTGACGGTGTGACAGGGTGACGGTGTGACAGGGTGACGGTGTGACGGTATGACAGGGTGATGGTGTGACAGGGTGATGGTGTGATGGTGTGACAGGGTGACGGTATGACAGGGTGACGGTGTGACAGGGTGACGGTGTGACGGTGTGACAGGGTGACGGTGTGACGGTGTGACGATTTGACGGTATTACTGTGTGACAGGGTGAGGGTGTGACAAGGTGACTGGGTGACGGTGTAATGGTGTGATGGCGTTGGTAATAATGGTGGTGTTGGTGGTGTTCATGGTGGTGTTGGTGATTATAGTGTTGATGGTGATGGTGGTGTTGATGGTGATGGTGGTGTTGATGGTGATGGTGGTGTTGATTGTGGTGTTGATGGTGGTGTTGATGGTGGTGATGATAGTGTTGATGCTGGTGGTGATGATGATGATGGTGGTTGTGATGGTGTTGGTGGTGATGGTCGTGATGGTGGTGTTGGCGGTATTGATGATGTTGATGACGGTGGTGGTGATGGTGGTGTTGATGATGGTGGCAACAATGGTATTAGCGGTAGTATCAATAAAGGTGAAGGTGGTGATAACGACGATGGGCTCACATCCTTGGAACTCTCGTTGATGATGACGAGGCCCATGTCCTGGTTAAGCAGGCGGGTAGAGTAACCTGTGGCACACACAGGCTGGGGATTACGCTCTTGCCGTGTCAGCGGTGAGCGCACCGGCAGCGTTCACCAGGGTGGCCGCTGGCCTCCAAGCACCAAACCTTCACCAAACCTTCGCCAAACCTTCACCAAACCTTCAACAAACCTTCAACAAACCCTCACTAAACCTTCACCAAACCTTCACCAAACCGTCACTAACCTTCAACAAACCTTCAACAAACCTTCAACAAACCCTCACTAAACCTTCACCAAACCTTCACCAAACCGTCACTAACGGTCAACAAACCTTCGCCAAACCTTCAACAAACCCTCACCAAACTCTCACCAAACCTTCACCAAACCTTAACCAAACCTTCACCAAACCTTCGCCAAACCTTCAACAAACCTTCAATAAACCCTCACTAAACCTTCACCAAACCTTTGCCAAACCTTCAACAAACCTTCAACAAACCTTCACCAAACCCTCACCAAACCTTCACCAGACCTTCGCCAAACCTTCAACAAACCTTCAATAAACCCTCACTAAACCTTCACCAAACCTTTGCCAAACCTTCAACAAACCTTCAACAAACCTTCACCAAACCCTCACCAAACCTTCACCAGACCTTCAACAAACCGTCACTAACCTTCAACAAACCTTAACCAAATCTTCGCCAAACCTTCAACAAAGCTTCACCAAACCCTCACTAAACCTTCACCAAACCGTCACTAACCTTCAACAAACCTTCACCAAACCTTCACCAAACCTTCAACAAACCGTCACTAACCTTCAACAAACCTTCAACAAACCTTCACCAGACCTTCAACAAACCGTCACTAACCTTCAACAAACCTTAACCAAATCTTCGCCAAACCTTCAGCAAACCTTCACCAAACCCTCAATAAACCTTCACCAAACCGTCACTAACCTTCAACAAACCTTCAACAAACCTTCACCAAACCTTCAACAAACCTTCAACAAACCCTCACCAAACCTTCACCAAACCTTTAACAAACCGTCACTAACCTTCATCAAACGTTCAACAAACCTTCAACAAACCCTCACCAAACCTTCACCAAACCTTCAACAAACCGTCACTAACCTTCAACAAACGTTCAACAAACCTTCAACAAACCCTCACTAAACCTTCACCAAACCATCAACAAACCCTCACCAAACCTTAACCAAACCTTCACCAAACCCTCACTAAACCTTCACCAAACCTTCACCAAACTCGCTCACGCTCGACCAGGTCTGACCCCTGCGGGGAGACTTCATGATACCATCTCATCTTATCTGATGTAATATAATTGTTTACATAGCAGTGCAAGACACTGCTGTGTAAACAATTATAATATTGTGCGTAAGCCGATAGTACAGAAGGTGGTGTAGTTATAGGTCGAAGTATGGAGAACAGGCGGGAGTGGTTATGGAGGGGTTTGGGTAGTGGTAGTGATAGTGGTAGGGGTAGTGATAGAGGTAGTGATAGGGGTAGTGATAGTGGTAGGGGTAGTGATAGGGGTAGTGATAGGGGTAGTGATAGGGGTAGGGATAGTGATTGGGGTAGTGATAGGGGTAGTGATAGTGGTAGTGATAGTGTTAGTGATAGGGGTAGTGATAGGGGTAGTGATAGGGGTAGTGCTAGGGGTAGTGATAGGGATAGTGATAGGGGTAGTGATAGGGGTAGTGATAGTGATAGGGTTAGTGATAGGGGTAGTGATAGGGGTAGAGCTAGGGGTAGTGATAGGGATAGTGATAGGGGAAGTGATAGGGGTAGTGATAGGGGTAGTGATAGGGGGTAGGGGTAGTGAGTAGTGATAGGGGTAGTGATAGGGGTAGTGATAGTGGTAGTGATATGGGTAGTGATAGGGGTAGTGATAGTGGTAGTGATAGTGGTAGTGATAGGGGTAGTGGTAGGGGTAGTGGTAGGGGTAGTGATAGACGTAGTGATAGTGGTAGCGATAAGGGTAGCAATAGGGGAAGCGATAGGGGTAGCGGTAGTGATAGGGGAAGTGATAGTGGTAGTGATAGGGGTAGTGGTAGGGAGAGTGGTAGGGGTAGCGCTAGGGGTAGCGATAGGGGTAGCGGTAGGGGTAGCTGCAGGGGTAGTGGTAGTGATAGTGGTAGTGATAGGGGTAGTGATAGCGGTAGTGATAGGGGTAGTGATAGGGGTAGTGATAGGTGTAGGGGTAGTGATAGGGGTAGTGATAGGTGTAGGGGTAGTGATAGGGGTAGTGATAGGTGTAGGGGTAGTGATAGGGGTAGTGATAGGTGTAGGGGTAGTGATAGGGGTAGTGATAGGTGTAGGGGTAGTAATAAGGGTAGGCCTGCTCGTAGCTAGAGGGCAGTGGCAGGACGATGATGGGCAAGGGGAGAATAGATGGGGGTTGTGGTAAGGGTGGAACGGAAGCTGCAGGTTGTTGTAGTGAAGATAATCGCTCTGTGTGGTGCAGGGGGAGTTGGTTCCGGTGGAGGGGAGTGAGAGGGGAGCGAGAGGGGAGAGAGAGGGGAGAGAGGGGGGAGCGAGGGGGGAGAGAGAGTGGAGAGAGGAGAACGCGCTTCGTTTGAGCTCCCCGTTGTAACTTTATAAATCTAACATACCCTCTTCTAATTAATTTCTTTTCTTCAAATTTTTATTCATCAGGAGTAAGTATTCTGCCTTTTGCACACACAAGTAGTATTTTTTGTGTGTTGCTCATTTTTCTTTACTGTTTTTTAAACTAAACAGTTTCAGGGTGAGGCCAAAGCCTTTTGAAACACGGTGGTGTTTCTTAGGCGATGGGCTCAATCCCATAGCGAATTAAAGCATCGTTTTCATACTTTACAGCTATTTTTTATACTCTACTTATTGTTCCTTTATTCTTCTGCTTATGTTTTTAATCTCAGTTTACGAATCTCAAACTATTTGAGATTTGTTAAAACTTACATTTTGTGTGAGCCACGTGGAGGTATCCACACTGTAGCGCAGAAATCTAAGGCCACAAAAGCAATTGTTTACTTTGAGGCTAAAGCAATCTATTAGTTAATGATTCCCTAACACACTGCGTTTTTTTGTTTGCCTCCACGAGTGTGCAAGGACTGTAAGTAATATTTATTTAACGATGAGTGAATGTATTTAATAAACACATTTTTCCCTTAAATAGATGTTTGCAAAATACATTCATTTATTTAACACGCAAATTTATTATTAGATATCACTATCAAATTATTTTTTCATTTACTGCTTCATAATTTATTCAATAAAAATAGTTTATTGAATAAATAAATATATCTCTTTCCTTTCTTTTTTTCCTTTCATTAGTTTCTTAAACGAGGATTCTTTATTCATCCTCAGTTTACATTCTCTCAAGGGGAGCTCTGTACAGAAGCGCAGCACCACAGTCAGGTAGAAATTGAAGGCAGCAGGAACAAAATGGCCACCTACGCAAAGGTCGCAGCTGCCAATCTGCGTGGAGTCACGAGGCCCCCCACTAGGGCCTCTGCTCCAAGGCCAACCCCCCCGAGCGCGCAGCGACCCCTGCCTCTGCGCGAGAACGGCATCCGCTGTTACGCCTCGAGTTCCGTCACGATCGAGACGTACGTCGAGGCCCTGGCCACCATCGTCCCGCCAGCCACCATCACCCACGCCCCGAAGGTCAGCGGGAAAGCCGTCTTCTTCCTGACGACGAAGAAAGTGGCCGATGCGGCCGTCGAGAAGGGGATGACCGTGGGGGGACTCCACGTCCAGCTGGAACCCATCGCTTCGGTGGCGGCGCGAATAGTCGTTTCGAACGTGCCGCCCAACATCCCCGACAAGGCCGTGTTGGAGCACGTGTCCAAGCTGGGCACCATCGTGGTGCCAGTACGTGCCCTGGCACTGGGGTGCAGAAACCCTGCTCTCAATCACATTTTATCTTTCAAGAGGCAGGTGCACGTCCTGCTGACTCCCGGACAGCAGGAAGAGGGCTCGTTTGTCATTGTCAATGCAGGCATTGCCCATAGACTGTTTTATGCCAAAGATTCCATCAGATGCAATCTTTGCAAAGAAGAGGGGCACTTCCGAAGGGATTGCCCTAAACCGACGACGGCGAGGGTCGGAGAAAAGAGCGGGGAGGAGGGAGGCAGAGCAAGGGGGGCAAAGCAGCAAGAGCCCCCATTACAACAAGCCCCCCAACAGCCCACACCGGACCCGCCAGCCACGCAGCCTCCTACACCTGAAGTCGTGGCCCCAACTTCGCCGCCTCAAGCGACAAATTGCAAGAGGAAGAATACAGAAGGACCCGGATCTAAAGGGTCAGATTCAGAGGAGGAACCCCTCCCAGACCTCGAACAGGAAGAAGCGGTGAAACCCCCCACACCAGGGGAGGAAGCAGAACAGCTGCCAGCAGAAGTCGACCATCATCAGAGACTTCTACGGCAGCCTGTTCTCCCCTGAAGAAACATCGGAACCAGCCCAGGCGGAGGCATGGAGTGGTCTACCCACCCTGGGGGAAGACGGGAAAGAGCTGCTAGAGCAAAAGCTCACCAGGACTGACCTTGACGCAGCTGTAAGAGGACTGGCCCCAAATAAATCCTCAGGGTTAGACGGCCTAACAGGGGAATTTTACGCCGCTTTTTGGCCATCCCTGCGGGAGGACTACAGAGAGGTGCTGGAGGAAGCCTCAGTCACTGGGGTGATGCCTCAGTCTTGGAGGAGGGCGGTGCTCACTCTGCTTCCCAAGAACGGAGACCTGAGGCACCTACAAAACTGGCGTCCGGTCTCCCTCCTGAACACAGACTACGAAATATTGACGAAGGCTCTCTCCCTGCGACTGAAAGGGGTGATTGCACAAGTCGTACACGGGGACCAGTCCTACACCATCTCCGGACGAACCATCCACGACGGCATCTTCCTGGTCAGGGACCTCATCGCGGTGTCCCAGAGGTTGAGCATCCCAATCGCGTTTCTGGCTCTTGACCAGGAAAAGGCTTTTGACAGAGTGGACCACAAGTACCTGCTGGGAACCCTCAAGACCTTGGGTTTTGGGGATGCCTTTGTCCGAATGATCCGCCTACTCTACACCAAGGCGGAGTGCATGATCAAGATCAACAGCGCCCTCACTGCCCCAGTCAAATTCGAGCGAGGAGTGAGACAGGGATGCCCATTGTCGGGCCAACTTTATGCCCTGGTATTAGAGCCTTTCCTGAATCTCATAAGGCGGAGACTCAGCGGCCTGGTGCTGAGGGAACCAAGCGTCAAATTGGTCCTGACGGTATACGCCGACGACGTCCTCCTCATCCTGCGCTCCCTGGCTGATGTCGCCCTGCTGCATGAGTGCCAGGAGGTAGATCTTTTCGAAAGCCTCCTCATCAAAAATGAACTGGCAAAAGTGCAGCGGCCTGCTGGTTGGAGCGTGGGACATGACCGAGTGTCCCGAGAAGGCAAAAGCCATCAATTGGAGCACAACATCACTGCACCACCTGGGGGTGTTCCTCGGACCAGAGGAGGAACCACCGCAGAGGAACTGGGTCGAGCTGGAGGAGAAGGTGAAGGAGAGGCTGGCCACCTGGAGTCGCCTGTGCAACTTCCTCACCTTCAGGACAAAGACGTTGGTGGTGAACCAGCTGGTGACGTCCATGCTGTGGCACCGACTCTTCTCCCTGCACCCCCCCATGAGCCTCGTCAACGCACTTCAGAAGCGAGTCCTCGACTTCTTCTGGTCGGGTGGAGGACATCGGGTCGCGGCTGGAGTCCTGGCCCTGCCACTGGACGACGGCGGTCACGGGCTGGTGTGCGTGCGGAGTCAGCTGGCCACCTTCCGACTGCAGGCAGCGCAAAAGTTCCTGCACGCCGCCCCTGCACCGGCCTGGAGCGTCACGGCCTCCTTCCTCCTGAAACAGCTGGAGGGTCTGCAGTGCTCCAAGCAACTATTCTACATGGACCTGCAGGGCCTCCCACTGGGACAGCTGCCACCCTTCTACAGAAGCGTCCTGCAGACATGGAGCTCCCTCGCCGTCAGGAGGCTGAACCAACCGCGATCGGCCGAGGATCTGGTCTTCGAACCGATCCTCAGGAACCCACAGACAAAGCTGCCATCCACCACCACCACCCCTGGCATGGAGAGGCGCCTCGCCAACGCACGGCTCACCAGGATGGGAGATCTGGTGGAGCCTGAAACACGGGGCCGGTGGCTCGGACCAGCAGACGTGGCCGCAAAGACAGGGCTGCAGTCGCTCCGGGTGGCTGCCCGGATCCTGGCCGAAGCCAAGGGGGCCTTCTCAGCGGCAGCGGGGAGAACGCCCCCCATCGGCGTTGGGGATGACGAGGCCCCTCTCGATCCCCCTCCACCGGAGCTCTCAGTCGTGCCACTGCATCGCCAATGCCGACAAACGAAGGCGGATCACAACCTGTGCCGGCTAGAAGACCTACCGGAGGTGGCCTTCGCAAATGTAAAGAGGAAGGTGCTCTACTCCTACATGGTCCGGTTCCACCAACAGGACACCCTGAGGAGCCACAAGGACCATGCCTAGAGGAAAGCCCTGCCCTGCGTCTCTCCGGAGAGGCCTCGCTGGAGGCAACTCTACTGCAGACCGACGTACAACCGCATCGGCGACCTCAGCTGGAGCATCGCCCACGGCACCGTCACCACCAACGTCTCCCTGGCGCGCTTCACCGACACGTCCCCGGAGTGCCGGTTCTGCGGTAAAGTGGAGACGGTGGCGCACCAATACGTGGAGTGCAAGAGCCTGGACTCGCTGTTCAAGGTCCTGAGAAACATCCTCCTAAGGTTCAGCCTCCACTTCTCCCCGACGGTCCTCATCTTTGGATACCCGAAGGGCGATGGACCCCAACATCTTCAGGGGCTGGTCAACGTGCTCTTCGGCTACGCCAAGCTCGCCATATACAGGGCGAGGAAGGTGGCCCTGGAGGGGCAACGTCCGGCCAGCAGCCTGGGCATCTTCCGCGCTCTGGTCGGAGCCAGGGTGTGGCTGGAGTTCCGCCACGCGCGGCTGACCCACGCCGTGCCGGCCTTCAAGGAGCAGTGGGCGCTGGAGGAGGCCGTGTGCTCAGTGGCAGATGACGGAGAGCTCTGCATGCAGATCTGAGCTACCCGTCGGAGGCCGTTTGACTGTGGGAAGGGCTGCGTGCAGATGCAGCACTTGTCGTAGTTATAAAGAAAAAAGAGAGAGCGAGAGAGAGCCAAATGGAGTAGGAAGAGAGGGGGCAGAGAGAGAGGGGGGGCAGAGAGGGGGTAGAGAGAGAGGAGAGGCAGAGGGGGGGGTAGAGAGAGAAGGGGGGCAGAGAGGGGGGTAGAGAGAGAGGGAAGGGGAAAGAAAAAATAACATTTTTTTGGGTCTTTCATTTAAAAGGGGGGGGGGTTACATGAAGCAAAGCATTAAAAAAAAACAAAAAAATGAAATGATGAACGGAGCAAAGTGCCAACTACACTGAGCATCTTCTTGTTTCTTCTGATCGTAAAAAAAAGAGAGGGAAGCGAGGGGAGAGAGAGGGGAGAGAGAGGGGAGAGAGAGGGGAGAGAGGGGAGAGAGAGGGGAGAGGGGAGAGAGAGGGGTGCGAGAGGGGAGAGAGAGGGGAGAGAGAGGGGAGAGAGAGGGGAGAGAGGTGAGAGAGAGGGGAGAGAGAGGGGTGCGAGAGGGGAGAGAGAGGGAAGCGCGTGACCCACGTGCGCCAGTAGGGAGCTTCCCTATACCGACTGCGCTCACATGGATTCTAACAAGGATGCACAACCAGCAAAGCAACAACCGATGATTTACATTTGTGGAGAGTGCCATACCGAAAATGAAATTAAGGCAAGGGATCCAATCCGATGCCGAGAGTGTGGATACAGGATATGTACAAGAAAAGAACCAAAAGATTGGTTGTGTTTGATGCACGTTGAGCGCAATGTCAAGGAGACGTCTGGATTTCAATGGCTGTCGACAGAAGTTATGTTGTTTTTTTGTGTATGCCAGATGCGGTCCATTATTTTTCTTTCCTGTATTTGCGTGAATAAAATTTTTGTTGTAAATCTTGTACTTTGGTTTGATCAGTAATATTGAATGCGTATTCTCTCGTTTTACTACATTTTACAAAATAAGCAAACTTAGTTTTTCGGATGAAGATTACATGAAGGTTTTCTCAGCAGTTTCAGGCTTTGTTTTAGGATTGGTTAATATGATAGTTGCAGTCTGCATTGTATATGAAACCACTGCTTTAAACCAGATGCCTTATAATAAACGTTTTGCAGAACAAAAAAAAAGAGAGGGGAGAGAGAGGGGTGCGAGAGGGGAGAGAGAGGGGAGAGAGAGGGGAGAGAGAGGGGAGAGGAGAGAGAGGGGAGAGAGAGGGGAGAGAGAGGGGAGAGAGAGGAGAGAGAGAGGGGAGAGAGGGGAGCGAGGGGGGAGCGAGACCGGGCGCAGGGCGAGGGAGGCACAGAGAGGGGCGGTTGAAGCTGGGAGCGTAGAGGGCAGCTTGGGACAGAGTAAGATACAGCGGGGCAACACAATGGAGGGATTTGTAGACTCCAGTGAAAAGTTGAAACAGACGGCGACAGTAAACACAAATCCAGCGAAGTTGGAGAGCCGAGCCGAAGTGTGGGAACTGTGGGGGGGGGGGGGGGGGAGGTTAAAGACGCTGCTGGCTGCGTGGCAGTGCCGGGCGAACCGATGTTGATGGCCGTCTCCTGCTTGTCTCCCGTGAGCACCCAGATGCGGATGTTAGCACGGATGAGCGTGGCGATCGTCTCGGGGACTCCGTCCTGCAGCTTATCTTCGATCGCCGTTGCGCCCAGCAGCAGCAGATCCTACGGGGCGCACGTCACACACGCCACACACGCCACGCTCACCACACACGCCACATACGCCACGCTAACCACACACGCCACGCTCACCACACATACAACGCTCACCACACACGGCACATTCACCACACACTCCACGCTCACCACACACGCCACTCACGCCACACTTACCACACGCCACACACGCCACGCTCACCACACACGCCACGCTCACCACACACGCCACGCTCACCACACACACCACGCTCACCACACACGGCACATTCACCACACACGCCACACTCACCCCCCCCACCCTCCCGGTGCCCAGGTGAGTACTCTGTGATGAACGACATCAACGGCCATGAGTGGCGATTCCCCGTCACCCGCGGGGTCCCCGTCACCCGCGGGGTCCCCGTCACCCGCGGGGTCCCCGTCACCCGCGGGGTCCCCGTCACCCACGGGGTCCCCCTCACCCGCGGGTTCCCCGTCACCTGCGGGGTCCCCGTCACCCGCGGGGTCCCCGTCACCTGCGGGGTCGCCCCCCTTACTGGACGTCTGTGAAAAGGAGCTTCGGAGCTCATGGGATCCTTCCAGGATGACTAAAGAGACGATTCCGATAGAGAGATTGAGACCGTGGCAGCGGCGGCGGCGGTGCGGGAGGGGCACCTTCTCGATGGTCTCGAAGCAGGCCTCGAGGCGGGCGGAGCGCTCGTGCAGCGCCGTGCTCGCCTCGCGGTACTCGCCCAGCCACGCCTCGAACTCCGCCTCCGATAGCCCCCGCTCCGCAAAGCACAGCGTGCGCAGGCCTGCCGAGAGGCACCGCCGCCATCGTGGCTGTCATCACCGTCGTCGTCGTCTTCAGTACAATCATCACCACCATCATGACCGTCATCGCAGTCATCATCGATATAATCATCACCATCGCCATCATCATCATCATTGCCATGATCGCTATCATCATCACCATCGTCATCATCATCGTCATTGCCATCATCGCTATCATCATCGCCATCACCATCGCCATGATCGCTATCATCATCGCCATCACTACCATCATAACCGTCATCATCGTCATCGCCATCACTACCATTGTCATCATTACCATCACTACCATCATCATCACCGTCATTGCCATTATTACCATCACTACCATGATCGCCATCATCGCCATCATCACAGTCATCTGCGCTGCAGGTAGCTCGGTTCGATTCCATCTCCCAGCTTGGCGATTAAAAAAATGGGTGGACACCGCTGGGGGTGGACACCGCTGGGGGTGGACACCGCTGGGTGGACAACCGGCGGTCCAAATGGTGGCACGCACAAGAATCGGACGGCAGGCCGCTTACGGCGGGGTAGAGCGTGGGGTAGAGCGTGGGGTAGAGCGTGGGGTAGAGCGTGGGGTAGAGCGTGGGGTAGAGCGTGGGGTAGAGCGTGGGGTAGAGCGTGAGGTAGAGCGTGGGGTAGAGCGTGGGGTAGAGCGTGGGGTAGAGCGTGGGGTAGAGCGTGGGGTAGAGCGTGGGGTAGAGCGTGGGGTAGAGCGTGGGGTAGAGCGTGGGGTAGAGGTGGGAAAAGACTGTCCCGAGAGGCTCTGCAGGGCTCCCCGGGTACATATGTGTTGGTGTATGTACATTGAACATATTTCGCACCATACGTAGCCAACCGTGTCAGTGCGAGGCCGCCGCTGCTGCCCTCTCACCTTCGCTGGCGCACTCCTCCAGGTGCTGCAACGTGGTCTCCTTGTAGAGCGCGCTCGAGGCCAGGCGATCATAGATCACGTTGTCCTGCAACGCAGAACCGACCGCTCTTTGAGGCCACGGCGGGCCGCTCCGGCCTGCCGGCACCGTACCCGGTAGCGGTGGCGGGCCTCGCTTGGGCCGTCACGACCTCACAACGCGGCCAACAACGGCGGATGACACAACGACCGTTTGTAACAACGCTGACGGATCCCCAACAGAACGAGAGTGATGGAGCCGGCATCACTCACGGATCCCGAGAGGCTGCGAGGGCATTAAGACGACCGGCCTACAGAAGTGACTTTCATGCCGAACCACTCCACCGTCTCAGCCGGGACATTCTCCGGACTCGCTCTCCGGAGGGTGCTGCCAGGTTTGTGCAGGAGGGGCCAATTATTGCCGCGCGTTACATCCCAGGTGAAGTCGTTTGTCGTTGACGTTTTTTCCAATTTGGCAAACGTGGACGGTGAAGCCAGCGCACGATGGCCAGCTCTTGCGAACGACGACGCGACATCCTTTTACGTGACGCCCTGAAGTGGGCGGCGAGCGTCTGCCTCTTTAATTTTCACTCATTTGTATTTATCCACTTCACTTTTTTACGCGGTTTCTTGCGCACGGTTGCACTTTATCAAGCGCGCGGCTACATATTCTGCTCAGTCGGTGTTAGTGACTGAGGGCGTGATGGGTTGTTGTTACCTTTCATGTTTCTGCATCCCCCCTGTAGCGTTCCCCTTCCATTGAAATATGCACTGATGCCTACTTTATGAAGGGCAACATTATCACGTAAAATAAAGAGTGATTGATCTGCCCAGTTAATATGAACCGCTGTATTAATTGGGGTGGCCCACTGAGCAATGTAGCTCTAATTCAGATGCGACCTTGCCACAAATGATATCTCAACGAAGTGGATTATCACGTGGAAATTCATAACAGCCAAATACTCTAAACGCTTGTTTACTCTAAATGTGGAAGGAAAAACCAGAAGACCTCCAGAAAAATCCACGCAGCCACGGGGAGAGTGAGAGGCTCGCAAACTCCAAATATACAGCAGGCGCCAGGGTCGGGATAGAACCCACGACCTCCTGTATAGCAGGGGAGGTAGTTAACATCTCCTAGCCACCGTGGCGCCCACTGTGAGTAGAGGGCCACGCTCACCGCTCCCTTGCAGTAGAGCTTGAGGCTCCCGCTGGGCGTCCTCACGATCACCGACATCCGCTTGCGATTGCTGCAGCGGCATGCAGGGCGACGCATGCACACACAGGTGAGTGGGTGGGTTAGTGGGTGGGTGGGTGATTCAGTGGGTGGGTTAGTGGGTGGGTTAGTGGGTGGGTGATTCAGTGGGTGGGTTAGTGGGTGAGTGATTCAGTGGGTGGTTTAGCGGGTGGGTGATTCAGTGGGTGGGTTAGTGGGTGGGTTAGCGGGTGGGTGATTCAGTGGGTGGGTTAGTGGGTGGGTGATTCAGTGGGTGGGTTAGTGGGTGGGTGATTCAGTGGGTGGGTTAGTGGGTGGGTTGGTGTGTGGGTGAATCAGTGGGTGGGTTAGTGGGTGGGTGATTCAGTGGGTGGGTTAGTGGGTGGGTGATTCAGTGGGTGGGTTAGTGGGTGGGTTAGTGGGTGGGTGAATCAGTGGGTGGGTTAGTGGGTGGGTGATTCAGTGGGTGGGTTAGTGGGTGGGTGATTCAGTGGGTGGGTTAGTGGGTGGTTGATTCAGTGGGTGGGTTAGTGGGTGGGTTAGTGGGTGGGTGATTCAGTGGGTGGGTTAGTGGGTGGGTGATTCAGTGGGTGGTTTAGCGGGTGGGTGATTCAGTGGGTGGGTTAGTGGGTGGGTTAGTGGGTGGGTGAATCAGTGGGTGGCTTAGTGGGTGAGTGATTCAGTGGGTGGGTTAGTGGGTAGGTGAATCGGTGGATGGGAGAGTCAGTGAGTGGATGGGTAGGTGGTTGAATGAGTAAATGAGTGAGTGGGTGGGTTTCAATAGGTGGGTGGGTGGTTTTAGATAGTGGGTGGGTGGGTTTGGGCGGGTGGTCCATGTCAAAGTGGCAGTCCTCCTGTGACAGACTGAGTGCTCGTTCATGTCACAGACAGACCTGGAGAACTCCAGCACATTGAGGAGCTTGTAGGTCTCCTCCTTGCCCAGCTGAAACGAGAAATGTGGTGGATACAGCATCACAAGTGGCGTTGGCACCATGATTGACCAAAATGGCCAGTGACAGGGGGACTGGTAGGTCATGGAAATTTGAGCGGCACCCTAACATCACACTCATACTGGCAGGACATCACGCCCGAATTGAGGGATGGATGGATGGTTGCGTCCAAAGGACGTGTGGGGGTGCTGGTACAAATATCGAAATAAAGATCGATCGATTCTTGGGGTAAGCCACCCACGCCTGCAGCTTAGCCGGCGCGGAACGCGGTGGGCGCAGTGGAGGAGAGGGGACGAACGTACGGCGTCAATGATGATGGAGTCGGGCGTGCGTCCGCAGAACGTGAACCCCATGTCTTTGGCCGCTCGCACCAGCGCGCTCTCGTCTGCACTCGGTCGCACGCGACGCACACGAGCACGTCAAACCAACGCGGCTATCCACCGCGTGTACGCGAGGCTCGGCCGGGACAAGTGGAAAAGTGGCAGCCCCTCCCACCGTTCCATGGCCACGCCCACTCAACCAATAGTCCCTCCCACTCGGGTAGCCCCTCCCACTCGGGTGGCCCCTCCCTACTCGGGTTGTCCCTCCCACTCGGGTAGCCCCTCCCACTCCTCAGGCAGCCCCTCTCACTCCCCAGGCAGCCCCTCCCACTCCCCAGGTAGTCCCTCCCACTCCCCAGGTAGCCCCTCCCACTCCCCAGGTCGCCCCTCTCACTCCCCAAGTAGCCCCACACACGACTAAGGTAGCCCCTCCCCTGCCCTGGGTAGCCCCTCCCACTCCCCAGGTAGCCCCCCCACGAAACAGGTAGCCCCACCCTTTACCATTTGTTTGCTCATGCCACTGCTGGTAGAAGGGACTGCACTAGAGGGAGCCCCGCTCTAGAGGGGAGCTGGCTTATTCTTCAACACTGGCCAGGCACCTTGGAAGGGGCGGGAGGAGCACCCACACTTTGCCACACCACGCGCGACCTGCCGATCGACGAAGTGTGATGTACCCTGTTATACTGCTGGGTAGACGGGGACAGAGGTTCCAAATGTGTTAACTGCCTCACCGGGAGATCTATTCGAACCGGCGACCTCTGGATTGCAAGTCCAGGTCGTTAAGCATGACGCCACGGCAGCGGACAGTGGCCACATTCAAGGACAAGATCCGCGGTGTTGTTTGAAAAACGCTTCAGGACACCGGGGACTTTCTGAAATCACCAGGCCCATTCCAGCCAACCCACCCACCCACTCACCAACCCATCCACCCACTCACCAACCCATCCACTCACTCACCAACCCACGCACCAACCTACCCACTCACTCACCAACCCACCAACCCACGCACCAACCCATCCACTCACTCACGAATCCACCAACCCACGCACCAACCCACCCACTCACTCACCAACCCACCAACCCACGCACCAACCCATCCACTCACTCACCAACCCACCAACCCACGCACCAACCCATCCACTAACTCACGAATCCACCAACCCACGCACCAACCCACCCACTCACTCACCAACCCACCAACCCACGCACCAACCCACCCACTCACTCACCAACCCACCAACCCATGCACCAACCCACGCACCAACCCACCCACTCACTCACCAATCCACCAACCCACGCACCAACCCACCCACTCACTCACCAACCCATCCACTCACTCACCAACCCACGCACCAACCCACCCACTCACTCACCAACCCACCAACCCACGCACCAACCCACCCACTCACTCACCAACCCACACCCACCCACTCACCAACCCACTCACCCACTCACCAACCCAACCACTCACTCACCAACCCACTCGCCCACCCACTCACCAACCCACTCACCGACCTACTCACTCATCAACCCACTCACCAACCCACGCACCAACCCATCCACTCACTCACCAACCCACACACCAACCCACCCACTCACTCACCAACCTACCAACCCACGCACCAACCCACCCACTCACTCACCAACCCACCCACTCACTCACCAACCCACGCACCAACCCACCCACTCACTCACCAACCCACTCACCCACTCACCAACCCACCCACTCACCAACCCACACCTACCCACTCACCAACCCACCCACTCACCAACCCACCCACTCACTCACCAACCCACCAACCCACGCACCAACCCACCCACTCACTCACCAACCCACACCTACCCACTCACCAACCCACCCACTCACCAACCCACTCACCCACTCACTCACCAACCCACCCACCAACTAACCAACCCAACCAACCACCCACCCACCCACCAACCCACCCACCCACTCACCAACTCACCCAACAACCCACCCACTAACCAACCAAACCAACCAACCACCCAACCAACTACCCACCCACCCACTCACCAACCCACCCACCAACCAACCAACCAACCCACCAACCAACCACCCAACCACGACCATGGGGTGTACGCGGCGCTCACCGGGGGACGTGGCCTGGTAGATGATGCTTCCCTCGGAGCGCTCGGGAATCACTGTATGGCACACGGCCATCATGGTGAGGAAATCCCGGATCACCGCACTCGTGGGCTGAAGTCAAACGGCACACCACCACGGAGGGAGACCAAGCGGCAGGGTTAATGCCGTGTCTCTCGTTTTAAAACAATTAAACTATTTTTTATTTCAAACTCGACAAAAACTATTTTTATTTTACCAGGTAAGGCCCACTGAGCGAAGTAGCTCTTCTTCAGAAGCGACCTGGCCACAAGTGATAGCTCACCCAAGTGGATTATCATCACGTGGAAGTGTAGAGCAGCCAAATACTCTGACCGCGTGTTGTTGATTCTCAATGAGGGAACCATGGGCAGAAAGAGACACCGCAAACTCCAGCAGTCGGCAGGGTTCGGATAGAACCCACAACCAGGGGTGTAAGGAACTATTTAACCATGCGGTTTATGACATGTCACTCGTGACGTGTGGTTAGTAGCATGTGGTTAGTGGCGTGTGATTAGTGGCGTGTGGTTAGTGGCGTGTGGTTAGTGGCGTGTGATTAGTAGCGTGCGGTTTATGGCATGTCACTCGTGACGTGTGGTTAGTGGCGTGTGGTTAGTGGTTTGTGGTTAGTGGCGTGCAGTTCATTGCATGTGGTTCGTGGATAGTGGCATGTGGTTAGTGGCGTGTGGCATGTGGTTAGTGGCGTGTGGCATGTGGTTAGTGGCGTGTGGCATGTGGTTAGTGGCGTGTGGCATGTGGTTAGTGGCGTGTGGTTTGTGGTTAGTGGCGTGTGGTTAGTGGCATGTGGTTAGTGGCATGTGGCATGTGGTGTGTGGTTAGTGGTTAGTGGCGTGTGGTTAATGGCGTGTGGTTTGTGGTTAGTGGCGTGTAGTTAGTGGCATGTGGTTAGTGGCGTGTGGCATGTGGTTAGTGGCATGTGGTTAGTGGCGTGTAGTTAGTGGCATGTGGTTAGTGGCGTGTGGCATGTGGTTAGTGGCGTGTGGTTTGTGGTTAGTGGCGTGTGGTTAGTGGCATGTGGTTAGTGGCGTATGGTTAGTGGCGTGTGGTTAGTGGCATGTGGTTAGTGGCGTGTGGTTCGTGGCGTGTGAGCGGCTCACGTGATTGCACTGCAAGTTGTCCATAACGGCCGTACAGACGCCATCCTTGATGCTCTCAAGCGACGCCGCCTCGTTCCTGCGTGCCATCGAGAGAGACGGAAAATCTTTATTTACGCCGGAGGCAATTGGATGAGCTATGATGTCCAGGAGGGGTACGGGGTCAGAACGTTACAACAATACAAAAACACGGTAGGAGTGCAAAGTATAGGAAAGGTAAAAAAATCACAAAAAAAGTAAAACTAAACTCTTTTTATTTCACCAGGAAAGGCCCCACTGAGCTACGTACAGTGAGGGAAAGAAGTATTTGATCCCCTGCTGATTTTGTACGTTTGCCCACTGACAAAGAAATTATCAGTCTATAATTTTAATGGTAGGTTTATTTTAACAGTGAGAGACAGAATAACAAGAAAATCCAGAAAAACGCATGTCAAAAATGTTATAAATTGATTTGCATTTTAATGAGGGAAATAAGTATTTGACCCCCTCTCAATCAGAAAGATTTCTGGCTCCCAGGTGTCTTTTATAGAGGTAGCGAGCTGAGATTAGGAGCACACTCTTAAAGGGAGTGCTCCTAATCTCAGCTTGTTACCTGTATAAAAGACACCTGTCCACAGAAGCAATCAATCAATCAGATTCCAAACTCTCCACCATGGCCAAGACCAAAGAGCTCTCCAAGGATGTCAGGGACAAGATTGTAGACCTACACAAGGCTGGAATGGGCTACAAGACCATTGCCAAGGAACTGTCAATCTCCCTCGGCCTGGGGCTCCATGCAAGATCACACCTCGTTGAGTTGCAATGATCATGAGAACGGTGAGGAATCAGCCCAGAACTACACGGGAGGATCTTGTCAATGATCTCAAGGCAGCTGGGACCATAGTCACCAATAAAACAAATGGTAACGCACTACGCCGTGAAGGACTGAAATCCTGCAGCGCCGGCAAGGTCCCCCTGCTCAAGAAAGCACATATACATGCCCGTCTGAAGTTTGCCAATGAACATCTGAATGATTCAGAGGACAACTGGGTGAAAGTGTTGTGGTCAGATGAGAACAAAATGGAGCTCTTTGGCATCAACTCAACTCGCCGTGTTTGGAGGAGGAGGAATGCTGCCTATGACCCTAAGAACACCATCCTCACCGTCAAATATGGAGGTGGAACCATTATGCTTTGGGGGTGTATTTCTGCTAAGGGGACTGGACAACTTCACCGAATCAAAGGGACGATGGACGGGGCCATGTACCGTCAAATCTTGGGTGAGAACCTCCTTCCCTCAGCCAGGGCATTGAAAATGGGTCGTGGATGGGTATCCCAGCATGACAATGACCCAAAACACACGGCCAAGGCAACAAAGGAGTGGCTCAAGAAGAAGCACATTAAGGTACTGAAGTGGCCTAGCCAGTCTCCAGACCTTAATCCCATAGAAAATCTGTGGAGGGCGCTGAAGGTTCGAGTTGCCAAACGTCAGCCTCGAAACCTTAATGACTTGGAGAAGATCTGCAAAGAGGAGTGGGACAAAATCCCTCCTGAGATGTGTGCAAACCTGGTGGCCAACTACAAGAAACGTCTGACCTCTGTGATTGCCAACAAGGGTTTTGCCACCAAGTTTTGCAGAGGGGTCAAATACTTATTTCCCTCATTAAAATGCAAATCAATTGATAACATTTTTGACATGCGTTTTTCTGGATTTTGTTGTTGTTACTCTCTCTCTCACTGTTCAAATAAACCTACCATTAAAATTAGACTGATCATTTCTTTGTCAGCAGGGGATCAAAACTTTTTTCCCTCACTGTAGCTGTTTTTCAAAAGTGACTTGGCCACAAATGATAGCTCAACGAAGTGGCTTATTATCACGTGGAAATTCATAGCAGCAACATAATGTAAACAATCTAGACGCACGTTTCTACAAACATTCCAATTGGGAATTAAAACAACGACAACAACAACGCCACGGTGGCCGACTTGGTGAGCCTTCGTCTACCCTTGCCCCAACTACAGCGTCGGCTCGGCAAGTCGCGGGCAACAGCCCCCGCGACCGCTCGCGGGCCGCACCGCTGGCAGAAGGGCCTCCAATGGAGAGGCCTCTCTGGAGGGTGTTTTGGCCTACTCTTCCACACTGGCCGGACATCTCGGTAGAGGTGGGAGCACCCACACTTTATCCCACAAACATGTGACCTGTCGGTCGACCAACTGTGGTAGAACCCATTTGTATTGCTTGGTGGATTTAGGAAACTTGCACCGTTGTTCCGACTGGCGCGCTGGGAGATGGAGTCGAACCGGCGACCTCTGGATTGCAAATCTGATTAACAAAAAAATATAAAAAATTATTGTCTTTATTTATCCCCAAAAGCCTCTCCCAAGTGCCTTGCATCACGATGTTTGGCCAATTCGTTTTTAACGTTTTCCATCAAAGGTTGAAAGCGTCGATGTGTCAGTTCGGTCACATTGACCGAACATTGGGTAAATAAAAGTCGTTGCTAAAAGGATTCTCCTCGGCATCCATGTCCTGGAGGCTTGTGTGCCGGAGGCCTTCCCTTGTCTTTAGTTTCTTTTAACTAAAACTCTTGAGCGACGTTCAACAGCACAGAAGCAAAATCAAAACGAGCGTGGCCGAGATGCCGGAGAAAAGGCGACAGACTCCCCAGTATCTCCACGTGGGCCGTGGAGGGTCAGAGGGATGAGACTCATATGGTACGGGGGAGTGTCGCGGCTAGCGCGCTGCGCTACAAACCTCGGTGCCCCGAGTTAGATTCCTGCTCATGGTCAACACCGGTGGCGATTATCTGAACTGGTCCTGATCCACTGGTCAACTCAGCCACAAATGAGTACCTGGTGCGGAATGTAAACATTGCCACTTCGGGAGACAACGGCGGTTAGGTGCGGTGGTGGCCACCCATCCCCTCGCGTGCCGTGCCGGCCTTCACAGGTGCCGCTCGCTAACAGCACTTGCCCCAACAGTCTTTTCAGGCTATACGTGCCACCACATGCCCAGCCATCGCACGGCGAAGCAGATTCCGTTTGGCCGGATAGAGGGTGAGGGTGAGTAGGACGCTACAGGGCAGGTGGAAGCAGCGACCCTCCAACAACAGCGATGGACAGAGGAGCGACGCTCACAACAACGAGCGGAGTGCCAGGTGGCTAAAACACGCCAAGTTGACACAGCAGGGAGCACAGGTCGTGTTGCATCTCCCAGTCGTCTCAGTCGGTGAACCGATAACACCTGGGGCTGTCCCGTGACCTCCTGCCAGCGAGCCTTCAACGCTTTACATGACAGCTTCGAGGTGCACTTAACATGGCACGAGTGCCGTGACGGCGTCACCGCCTACGTAGTGGCACTTGTAATTGTCATCATTGTGCGGCTTGACAGAGCTGGCTCAAAGCGGTCATTATAGTTGTGTGTGTGTGTGGCAGTGCCACGGTCCGTTCCCGCACGGATCAAGCCAGCAGCGAGAGACGTACCCGTACATCACGCCGGCCACGGAGCACTTCTTGAACTGCATGATGTTGCAGGTGAGGGTTCCAGTTTTGTCCGAAAAAATGTACTTAACCTGAGGGTGGCAGCGCACACACACACACACGGCACGCACGCACACGACACGCACACAGCACGCACACGGCACGTACACACACAGCACGCACGCACACGGCACGTACACACATGGCACGCACGCATGCACATCCACGGCACGCATGCACACGGCACGCATGCACACAGCACACACACACACGGCACGCACACAGCATGCATGCACACACACGACACGCACACACAGCATGCACGCACACGGCATGCACGCACACGGCACGTACACACATGGCACGCACGCATGCACATCCACGACATGCACGCACACGGCACACACGCACACGGCACGTACACACATGGCACGCACGCACGCACATCCACGGCACGCACGCACATGGCACACACGCACACACACACACGGCACGCACACACAGCATGCACGCACACACACGACACGCACACATCCACGCAGCACACACACGGCACGCACACACACACACACGGCGCACGTACACGGCACACACGCACACCGCAGCACACACACAAACACACGGCATGCACACAGCGCTCACACACGGTACGCACACACACACACGGCACGCACACACGGTACGCACGGCACACACACGGCACACACATGCGGCACACACACACACACACGGCGTACACACAGCACACACGCACACACACACACACACTGCTGCATCGATTCACATTTATCTTTGTAATTTTATTTTATTTTATTCCGTTGCTTCCCCAAATTCTGTTGCGATTGCGCTGCGGGCGTCAGCGTCGCCAGGCCAAAGACTCTCGCAGAGTGGAACAACTTCTCTGAGGCGTAATTTGGTGGTCACATTGGAAGTGGCAAAGCAGAAAAACAAATCGCAAGGGCAATGTACTGCTTCAAAGTCAAAGGAGAAACCGAATTTATTATAATCGTCGTGTCTTGAAAATGGATATCGTATCGCATTACGAAATCTGATAGCCATAATGAATAATGACTAATAATAATGACTAATAATAATGACTAATAATAATGACGAATAATAATAATGACAAATAATAATACTCTTTGGTTCTATTCGGTAAAGTCACGTAGGTAAAAAATAAAACAACAAAAATCACAACGTTTCGACCTTTAAGCTGTGTGCGAGGAAACAAGGTGCCTTGACAAAGGAATTAGCATAAAAAATAGCATTTGATTGGCCGACTTAGCATGATGAACGATGTAGAGGTGGTGTACATGCGGGTGAACATGCCGGTTGGCGAGGGGGGGAGGGGGAGTTTACCTATTGATGGTGTGAAAAGGGAATTTTTTAGAGCTGCGAAAGTTTGGGGTACCACTACTTTGTCAAGGCACCTTGTTTCCTCGCACACAGCTTAAAGGTCGCGGTCTGAGCGTGGCTGTGTTTCACTCCAGCGCTGTCCTCGAGACAGTCTGCTCCCTTCACCTGATGAAGGCCGCTGTGTTGTGGCCGAAACGTCGTGATTTTTGTTGTTTTATTTTTTACCTACGTGACTTTACCGAATAGAACCAAAGAGTATGGATCCTTGCAGTCACGAAAGCTTTAAATCTAGAAATAATAATGACTAATAATAATGACTAATAATAATGACGAATAATAATGACTAATAATAATAATGAAGTGTCACTTTTTAATACAATGGCGGCGTCGTTCATGCACAGCAGCACAACCGTGAAAACCTACGGAAAGTAAATACAAGTAGAGACCCCAGTTGCCAGCTTCAAACTCACCCACCCACTCAACCCACCCACTCACTCATCCACCCACCCACTCACTCAACCCACCCACTCAACCCACCCACTCAACCACCCACCCACCCACTCAACCACCCACCCACCCAACCCACACACTCAAACCACCCACTCATCCACCCACCCACCCACTCAACCCACCCACCCACTCAACCCACCCACTCAACCCACCCACTCATCCACCCACCCACTCATCCACCCACCCACCCACCCACTCAACCACCCACCCACTCAACCACCCACCCACTCATCCACCCACCCACTCAACCACCCACCCACTCAACCCACCCACTCAACCCACCCACTCAACCACCCACCCACTCAACCACCCACCCACTCAACCACCCAACCACTCAACCACCCACCCACTCACCAACCCACCCACCCAGCCCACCCATCCATCCACTCACCAACCCAAAAACCAAGCCCCCAGCATGCGCCCACTCGCCCTCACGAACCTGTCCCAGCTCCTCGTTGAGGTTGGAGGTGCGTGCCATGGCGGGCGTGTCGCTCTCCGCGTGGTACATCTCGGCGTCCTGCGAAGTCAATCGCACGCGCGGGGCGGCAGCGCTCGCGCCAAAAAGTGCCGGGGTTCGATGCCCCACTCGGACGCCTCTCCGTGCGTCGTTTGTACGTTCTTGAACGCGGAAAAGTGAACGCGGCGGCTTCGAGTTTGATGTGCAACCGGGCGAGAACCCAAGAGAACAGGACGAGCGCCATTGTCTAGCGTGATCCGGGGGCATCGGTGCATCAGGAGCGGGGCGATGATCGCCGCCGTGGGGGCAGAATCCCGGCGGAGGAACCTGCGGCGTCATTTTAGCCAAATCGGAGCCCGACGCCATCGCACGACGGCCGGCTCTTGCCAGTGACGTTTAACGTCCGCTGTGAAGCGGGCGGCGCGTGGCGGCGGTGGCGGTATCGTGACGGCTATTGCACACTGGCAACAATAACCGGGGCGGGGATTTGAACTGTGACCGTCGACGAGCACTGGGCCACGGCGTCACCGTGAGAGCCAGCGTGACGAGTTTGAGTTTGTATTGAGTTTGAATTGAATTTGTATTGATGTTATGAATCATAACGTTGCAAACTCCTACACGTTACGATCGTATTGCCAGCAAACAGTATCTGCAAGCGCCTGACGATGATGCCTATGACGATGCTGATGATGATGCTGCTGATGCTACTTATGCTGCTGACGAAGACAATGATGATGCTGATGATGACGATGATGACGCTGATGATGCTGATGATGACGATTATGATGATAATGGTGATGCTGATGCCGAGGATGATGCTACTGATTCTGCTGATGCTACTGATGCTGCTGATGATGCTATTGATCCTGTTGATAAAGACGATAATGATGCTGATGATGATGACGCTGATGCTTATGCTGCTACTGATGCTGCTGATGATGCTATTGATGCTGCTGATGAAGACGATAATGATGATGCTGATGATGCTAATGATGACACTGATGATGCTGAAATCGATCTCGGGGGGCCTCACCCAGTTGATGAAGAGCGCCTGAGTGAACTTGACCACCTCGAGCGTGACGAGGAGGCTGATGGGGATCAGGTTGTTGTAGAGGATGATGAACGTCAGGAAATTATAGCCAAAGTTCACCGCTTTCACGTCTGCATGTGCAAACACACGTCAACAAAACACACGCAAAGACAAAGATCCCCCGTGTAGCCTTCAACAGACTGCGGGGGCAAGTGCTGTTGGGATGGGTGGCCAACACCACCACGCCTTTGTCTCCCAAGTGGCGATATTTACAGACTGCACAAGGTACTCATTTGAGGCTGAGTCTCCCTCAGAGGACGGGATGACATTCATCACCGATATTCGTCGCGAGCGGGAAACTAACCACTGCGCCATTGCTCCTGCACAAGCAGAGATGAAGATCCCAAGGAGAGCCATTACCAACGGACTGTTGGAGCAAGAGCTGTCAGCGAGCTCGTACACACACGCGCACGCAAACACGCGGGCAAACAAGGGCACGTCACCAGGTGACGTGGCGGTGATGTCACCCCGATAACCGTGCCAGGATAGGTTGGGTGTGAGGACGGGCGGGTGGGCGCTCACCCATGAAGCCCAGGTACCAGTCGCCCTTGCTGTGCTCTCGGTTCCACACCTCGGCGCCGATCGAGCTGATGAGCGCCATGGCGAGGAGGATGACGAAGAGGATGAGGATCTGCACATTGGTCACCTTGTCCATGTTCGACCTCTTCAGCGGCGCGCTCGTCGAGTTCTGAGATCACGCACGCACGCACACACACGCACGCACACGCAAGCACACGCACGTACACACACACGCACATAACATAACCGCCATTCGCCACTAAGTGGCGGTGACGTCACCACAACGCTTGTGCCAGGCTATGTGCACGTTGAGGCCAGGTGAAGTGTCGAACACCCGCTGGCAGGAGGTCACGGGGCAGACCCAGGTGCCACGGGTGGACTTACTAAGATGACTGGCTGATGCACCACCTATGCCCCCTACTGAGCCAACTTGCTATGCTTTAGCCACCCGGCGCTCCGCTCATTGTTGTGAGCGTCGCTCATCCGCCCTCCGTTGTTGTTGGAGAACAACTACCTCCAACTGCCCAGTAGTGTCCTTCACGAGCCTCCTCCACAGAGGCCGATCTTGACACCGCTGGTACCAGTCATCGGCAAGTCCACTCAGCTCCACATCCTCCTGTACCACATCACTCCATCTCTTTTCCAGCCCGTGCCACGCCCGTTTAGCCCCCTCTATCTGGCCGAACAAAAGCTGGTTAGGCATGCGGTGACTAGGCATGCGGGCTACATGACCCACCCAACGCAGCCTTGCCTGCCGGAGGATCATAGGCAGGCCAACCTAAATGTTTATAACCGGAGAAGATGCTCCATTAGGGGGGTCCACGTTTCGCAAGCGTAGAGAAGGGAGGGAATGGACTATGGCCGAGAAGACCTGAAGCTTCGTGCGGAGCGACAGACCAGGTAGCTTCCACACAGCGTTATGCAACCGATGAAAAGATAATGCCGCTCGACTGATTCGAAGTGAGACCTCTGCTGTCAAACCAGAGCCGGTTATGAGCACACTGCCCAGGTATGGGAAACTCTCCACTCTCTCCACAACTGCCCCATCACCAGCAGAGGTGTAGGGAATTCCAACAAGACCTATATCTCTGCTTTATTGACCTGTTCAAGGCCTAGGATATCATCAGTAGGCCTGGGCTCTGGGTTGTTCTTCGTGCTTTCAGAATCCCTGACTCTCTGCTCACGATCATTAAGGACCTTCATGATGGTGAGCGGGTTCAGGTAAAACTACGTGGCCAGGAGTCGGAACCATTCCCTGTTCACCTTGGGGTGCGACGGGGATGTCCCCTGGCTCCCACATTATTTAACATCTATTTCGACCACGTAGTTCGTGAAGCCTTCGATTGTTGTACTGGAGGAATTTCCATCTGGTGCAGATACAATGAGAGGCTGATCGATGCCTACGTGCGGTCAAGGGATGGCTCCCTATTGCTCAACCACGTTATGTATGCCGATGATTTGGTAATTGTTGCTCACTCAGAGGAGGAGTTGGAGACGTTGCTGCTGAACCTGGAGCTTGCCGCTAAGAGGCGGTGCCTTACCATCAGCCCGACCAAAACTAAGCACCTGCCTGGGTACTTTGTACGGACACTCCACCCCCACATACGAACACACACACATGCACGTACGTACGCACACACACGCACACACAAGCGCACATGCGCATACACACACGCGCACATGCGCATACACACACACGCGCACAGGCGCATACACACACACAAAGATCTCTCGTGTAGCCTTAACAGACTGTTGGGGCAAGTACTGTAAGCGAGCACCTCTGAAAACCGGCATGGCACACGAGGGGGTGGGTGGCCACCACCATGCCGGGCCGCCTTTGTCTCCCTAGTGGTGATGTTTACATATTGCACCAGGTACCAGGTACTCTTTTTGAGGCTGATTTGACCAAGAGGAGGCCCAGGACCGGTTAAGATAGGTATCACTAATGGTGGCCTTGAGCAGGAATCAAACTCGGGTCGCTGGGTTTGCAGCACAGTGAGCTAACCGCTCCGCCACCGCCCCCCACGAGAAAACACACATACAGGCACGGGGCCGGCGGAGACACCACTCGGCACCGGCGTGCGTGGCGAGGGTGGCGTGCGTGGCGAGGGTGACGTGGGTGACGTGGGTGGCCTGGATAGTGCTGGTGAAGTGGGTGGCGTGAGTGACGAGGGCGTGGGGGTACCTGCATGAGCTTGGTATCGTGGCCCGTGTAGACGGTGACGCCCACCACCCACTGGGTGTTCCTCAGCTGAGCGCCACGCAGCAGCACCTGGTCTGGCCCCAGCGGCTGCGGACTGCACCCACAGAGCCACGCGGACCACACCCTCACCACCCGCACAGGCACCGAAAGCTCCGAGAGTGAGTGGCGAGGGTGGCGAGGGTGGGTGGCGAGGGTGGCGTGGGTGGCGTGGCTGACCTGTGCCCGTCCAGGTTGATGTTGCCCATGAAGTCGTAGAGGAAGCGGTTTGGAGGCTCGCACTCGATGCGGCCGCTTGCTGCGGCCGGCTGCTCGGCGGAGACGCCGCCGCTCGTCAGTGCCAGGCCCTGCGGCGCGAGGGACACGCGGGGCAGCGGCACGCACACTCAACGCGCCCCTCGCTCGCTCTCAGCCCTTCACTCGCTCGCTCACCCTTTCTCTCATTCATTAACGCACTCACTCACTGTCTCACTCATTCGTTCACTCGCTCGCTTACCCTGTTTCTTATTCATTCACCTGCTCACTCACCATCTCTCTCATTCATTCACTCGCTCGCTCACCCTCTCTCTCATTCGTTCACTCACTCACCAACCCAACACATTCACTCAGTAAATTATCCACTTACTTGCTCACTTATTACTCACTCACTCACCCACCGAATCACTTAATCACCCATCGCCCCCATGCTCTCACTCAGCAACGCACCTCTGATGAGCACGCCGGCTACGTACGGTGCAAAAAAAGTTGAATATGCACACGTACACGCAGTCACCAGCTTGCTCACTTGGCAGCTCATTCACTCACACCACAGGTGACTCAGCGGCTCTGCCCATGGGTAAACACCCTCAACGTGGGAACGCGCCGGCAGCGCAAGCTGGCGAAGCCTCCCGCCACCCCTCCCGTTCCTCTCTCGTCATCTACCCCCCCACTCACCACCGCGCCGCCCTGCCTTCAAGTCGTCAAACAACATTCTTCTAGCTCTGCCGCTCAGCTTCTCCCTCCGCGTCCCCGGCCCCGCCGCAGCTTCCTCAGCAGGGCTCTCGCCTCCGAGCGAGCATCGCCACTCCTCATGCCTCCCCACGCGGTGTCTCTAAGTCGGCGTTCCCTCCCCCGCTCAACCTGCCTGGACTCTCACCGTCCACCAGGGAGCGAGAGAGCGCCGTAGTGACGGCACCGCGGTGCTGCGCGTGCCCCCGGATGTGCAGTGGAGCACAGACCAAGGTGCAATGTTAAAGCACCAATACCAACGGCCGCCATTCACCACTAAGTGACGTCGCCACGGCATCCGTGCCGGGCCAGGTGCACTTTGAGGCCACGTACGTGAAGTGTCGATGGCTCGCCGACGGGATGCCACGGGGCGGACCCAGGTGCCACTGGTTGACCGACTGAGATGACTGGAAGATGCATCAGCTGTACCCCCTACTGTGCCAACTTGCTGCGTTTTAGCCACCGGGCGCTCCGCTCGTTGTTGTGAGCGTTGCTGCTCTGCCCGCGGCTGTTGTTGGAGGGCGACTGCCTCCAACTGCCCAGTAGCGTCTCCTCCACAGAGGCCGATCTTGACACCGCTCGGCATGTCCACTCAGCTCTACATCTTCCTGTACTGCATCAGTCCATCTCTTCTCCAGCCCGTGCTGAGCCTGTTTTTAGCCCCCTCCATCTGGCCAAACATAAGATGGCTTGGGCATGCGGGCTACGTGACCCAGCCAACGGAACGTTGTAAAAGTCCGATTACCTCGCACGTACATGCCAAGGCATGTGACGCTTTCATTCTGCCCTATGTTACACTGGCCCTGGGTGGCTCAAAGGTCTTGAGCGACACCGCTGAGAACCTAGGTTCGACTCCAGACTTCAGCCGCCTACGAGTAGTAACGAGTCCGTCGCCAACCCAGGCTCCGACCTCAACGCCGGGCTAAAAACAGCCGTGCCTGTACGGACACGACTCTGCCTCCCTCTACACGAGCAAAATCAGCGCGGCCACGGTGGCGGGTGGCCACAGCACAGCGGTGACACCACGCGCATGCACGGATGTGCAATACAAGCATTGCGGCAACGCTTAACCGCAGACGCAACCCCGCGGTTTTCCGTGGGCTGATGTGCGGGTGTACCGATGGGTTTTGCGCGGTGCGCTGCGACGGGTACCTGTCTGATTTTGAGGTTGGTTTCTCCGTCCAAGCTCGAGGTTTCGATGTAACACATCCCTTGGGGCTCACTGCGCCAGACGACGTCACCACACCGATGCAGCAAAACAAATTAACCAAACGCTTGACACGCGCTCACCAGGAACACGGTGACTTTTCAAGGAGAAAAAAACAACCGTACTCGACATCATGTGTTCAGAATGCGGCTTGCTTCACCGCAGCGCTGCAGCGATTAGCTCCGCCGTCCCCTGGCCATGGAATGCTGCCGGGAGCTGCCAGGAAACGAACAAAAACCTTCCCCAGCTGCGCTCTCTAGCAGCGCCACGCCGCTCAAACGCACAAGCTCCTATCGATCCCGGGGCCTAATGGGCCGCCCAATGTGTCAACCGTTAACTAACCCTGGCGGCACACCTCCACCGATCTTAGGCGCTGCGATACCTGGCCTCCCCTAAGCGCTGCGTTACGCTCTTCAAACTCTCTCCACGCACTGCGCTTCGGCAAGCGAAGAGGTGCGTGCGTGCTCCGTAGGCGTGAGATTTTATATGAACCTACGATTGGATCAAATGTTGCGTACCGGCTGCTGATAGCAATGATATCGATGATGGCGCCGCCGATAACGATGAGAGTGATGCCGCCGCTGATGACTACGATGACGGTAACCACGGGGATGGCGATGTTGATGCGGCCACCGAAATCGACACACGCTCAACCATGTCATATCCACGTACGGCTCTTGTGTCAATCCACGCTGAACGAGGGCCTCCCCACGCTATGGGGCTTAGAAGACCAAACTTCACTGCGCAAGTTCAGCATTTGTTCAGTGAAGGTGGGGGGGGGGGCATAGACGTACAGGACAACAATGGATTCTGCCATTCTGCCGTCTGCTGCTGACGTCGCCCCGCGGCCTGTAGCGCCTGTTCTCCGTGTGGTGGTCACCCATCCGAGCACTGCCCAGGCCCAAACCCCGCTTAGCTTCCGAGACGCGACGAGACCGGCCGAATGGATCGCCGTGGCGACCGTGACGCAGCGACTCCCTCTGTCACCTGGAGGAGAGGAGGATGAGGTCCGCCGGCAGGTGCTGCCCATTGGTGACCTTGACGAGGTCGCCCACCGCCACCTGGAGGGAGGGAGGGAGGCTGTCGTAATGCCCACGGGGCAGAGTGAGCCGCGGCCGTGAGGCCGTTCAGCGTGCGGTCCGCAGGGACTGCAGCCCACGACTTTCTATGTTGAGGGCCACCCTTAACATATAATAAACACGGTGGCTAGGAGATATTAACTACTTTGCTTGGTATACAGGAGGTCGTCGGTTCCCATCCGTAAAGGATGTCATTCCTGACTTACAGTACCCCGGTGTTTACAAATTGAGTTGTACCTGTGGTGACTGCTATATCGGGGAGACGAAACGACATATTTATAACCGAATTCGCGAGCACAAATCAGATTTGAAACAGGGCAGAACGAATTATTTGGCAGTGGCTGATCATTGTTTCAACACAGCGGGTTCTCATGACATTGTTTTCTCCGATACCAAAAGTACCATGCAAACCTCCCGGTTATTACCAAAGATTTGTCCATGAAGCCATCCAGATATACAAACATAGAAACAACTTCAACCGAGAGGATGGTTTAAATTGAGCAACCATTGGAAAGATGTAATCAACCAAGTAAAACTTTAGATGCCTTATAATTGCACAGCCATTTCCATTTCTTCCAGTGTGTTGTACTCGCTCTCGTGCAGTTGCACCACCGCTCCCCCCGAACCCCCTGCAGCATAACAAAAGGCGGCTTAACTTAGCCCTCCCCCTCCCCACCCACGTCCCTTCCTGGCTCCTCCCCCCCCCCCTTAACCTGTATATAATCTCGGGTGTCTCAGAGCTCTTCACTTGATACAGCTATTTTGCTGTGATGATGGCGACAACGATGATGACAAGGATGATGACAATAACAGCGACAACGACGATGACGACAATGATGGCGACAATGATGATGACGATGTACTGGTGGCAACAGCCACGCACGGCCGTGCGAGTTTATCCACACCGTTGTAGGACAGAAGGTTTCGATAGAACCCGATCCGAGGCGTGCGTGTCCAATGTAATTGTCATCCATTAGCCAGGCCACATACATTAAAATTTAATGTCGCTAATTCCCCCACCCCGCCCCCATTGAAAGGGGAGTAGTCAGGAGCACCCGGCCGCGCGGAACGGCGGAGCGTGTCGGTGCGCAGCATCACGCGATCAGCTGCCTGACAAAGCACAAAGAATCCCCCCCCCATCACCCCCACCACTACCACCCGTTTAGCCGTCTGTAGGGGACAAGTGCTGTCTGTAATTGGCGGGGTTCTCATCGATTCGAGGTACTGCAAAACCCAGTCGCTTCGCTGTCTCTTTCCGTTCCTCCTCCTCCGTGCGTACCGTCTCGGTTTTGCTCATTCTCTCTCCTAGCCCCCCCCCCCCTCCTCTTCACTGAAACACACTGCCCTTGCATGTCAATCACCCTGTCGCACTGCCTTCCACTCCTCTCTTAAAACCCACTTATTATTTCTTGCCCCACCCTTCCTTCTCCCCTTGTTGTCCTCTCCACTCATATTAACGCCTCCTTCCCTTTCCCCAACTCCCCATGGCCACCCATCATCAATCCACTCATCTCATTTCTATCTTCCTTTATTCCACGCAATGTCACCACCACCACCACAAATCCCATCCCACTCGCCTCGTTTCATCTCACCAACCATCTTGTACCACAGTTAGTTCACCGTACCGCGCCTTAGTTAAGGCGCTTTATGAATGTATGATGATAAGATAAGAGAGGGAGAACGTCGCACGATGGCGGAAGAGGCAAGAGAACTACGGGTGCCTTGGGGGGCGGACTGTATCATCATTATTATTATTATTACTACTACGACTACTACTGCTACACAAGTGACAAAACCCAGGACATTGAAAGAGCAGTCTTCTTCGTGTCGTACATCTGCTGATGCTGATGCAGAGCAACGACTCTCACATTCAGGAGGTGAAGCCGGATAACCGTGTCGGGAGCAAGCGGAGCATATAATCGCCGCGATGTCCCCGTCTTCGTATTCGTGGGTCGGAGCGTCGCGTTGTTGTACGTCGTGCGGTCTGTTCACGATGACCTCAGCCGCACGATACTGGAGAGTTTTTAATTTTACATTTGCGGATCATCAGGATATCCGCCTGCTGCCACAGTTTGTGCAGTGGATGCGGTTTAGGGAGGACCATGAGCAGCTTCGGGGAACATCGAACCAGGACGTTTAAAGTTCCAGGAAGACTTAAAGAGATTTCCCAGCACAGCAGCTGCCTCGAGGAGAGTGGGCGATGTTGGGAAACTGCGACGAGCGGTGAGGCCGGCATGGCGTGGGAGGTCGTGGTAGCCAGGGGTATACACACCATGCCTGTGAGGCCATCATGGTGAGGGAGGTCGCAGTAGCCAGGGGTATACACACCATGCCGGTGAGGCCTGCATGGTGAGGGAAGTCGTGGTAGCCAGGGATATGCATGGCCACCGTAGTCCTGTTCATGCCACCACCTTGTGAGGCTTTTCTGGTTTTTATTAAATGCCGACATTTACACCCCCCCCCCACCCTGAACCATATCCCGATCGTGCTCATCGCATCGTGTCCCAGGGCAGCGCAACCCTCTGTGTTCTAGAACGGCCCGAAGGAGTGGATATGACAGAGCTACTTCTGAGATTCCTTCTTCTTCAAGTGATCTCTGGACCGCACGGTACAGGGCAGCAGTTTTCCACCGGCTCAGCCACATGAATGTAATGCTCGTTGCGTGACGATCGAACCGGTATCATTTTATTCTCAGAGGTCGAATTTGGCCAGATTTAAGAGCACGACCAAATTCTACACAATGGGTTTTTATTTTTTGTACAGTCACCGTGACAAGAACCATCGACTCGTTGAGAACCCGGTTTGGCCGAAGCCTGGGTTCGAACCCGGGATCTGAACCGTGCCGGCTCACCGCTGTGACCTCCGAGCTGCTCGCTTACCTCCGGCCATCACGGCGCTTGCTAAACACCGGTCGATGGATCGTTTGTCTCCGCCAACAAACCACACGACGCTCGCAATCTACCTGTCGTTCCCTTATCGATCGACGACTGAAGAGTGTGCGTCGTATACGTTGGCACGGGGGACGATCGTCGTGGGGCCCTGTTATCGTGCGACGTCGTAGTACGACGCCCCGTATGACGTGGCCTTAAGGTCAACGGTGCATTGCTGCACGCGTGCGATAACGGAGCGTGTCTGTTGACTTTGGTTCGAAAAGAAGAGGAGTGGTTTACGAGTTTACTGCCAGCAATGTTCCGAGGCGATGGCAGCTGACGTGCGCAAAAAAATGTATTTCTGCGGAGGCAATGGCGCAATATAATCGCAGGCGGAGTCAGAGCCCCAGCGCCACGGACTGCGCGCCGGGGCAGAGGCCACCCGTGGCCTCTTGGAGCGAGAGGGTGGCCCTCGAAACTTATCGTCGGTGGAGAAGGAAGGCGTAGAAGCAGCCCCGCAAGCGCTCGCTCTCGCCACGGCTGTGGGAAGGGCCTTCACCGGAGGGAGCTGTGCAGAGCCCCTCTCCACGGCTGGGCAGGCATCCCGGTCGAGGTGGGAGTAGCCACTTTTGACCCCACCACACGCGTGCCCAATTATACCGCTGGGTGGTGGTGGTGGTGGTGATGGAGGCGGGAATTAAGGACATTGCCCACGGCGTTTCAGCTGGCGTGCCCCCCATCATACAGCAGCGAACCGAGCAAAAGAGCCGTGCACGCGGGGCTCCACGGTGGCTAGGAGATGTTAACTCCCTCGCCTGGTATGCTGGAGGTTGTGGGTTCGATCCCGACCCTGACGTCTGCTGTATATTCGGAGTTTGCGTGTTCTGCCCGCGATCGCGTGGATTTTTCTCCGGGTGCTCCGGTTTAACCCTCCACGTTTACAAACGTGCGTTTAGAGTATTTGGCTGTTATACATTTCAACACGATAAGCCACTCTTCGTTGAGCTATCATTTGTGATAGCCAAGTCGCTTCTGAAAAACAGCTACGTAGTTCAGTGGGTCCTCACAGGGTAATAATAAATAAATAGTTTATGCGTTTTTTAATAGTTTATACACGGCCGTAACCCAAGGGGGCTCAGTGGACGCACTGTGGGAGTCTGAACGTGCGGGTTTTGTCTCGTGGCGATTCAGGGACTTTGTAACTTCACCGGCTGGGGAAACGCGACGACGTCGGCCCACAGCGGACAGACAGCGGAGGCAGCGTCAAGGCGGTTGACATCTCCTAGCCACCGTGACGCCCCTACTGCTGACTTCCCACAAAATGGTACTCATTTTATAGACCCCCGGACGGACCAAGGAGGCCTTAAGTGGAGGGGAATGAGGTGAGTGAGGTGAGGTGCGTGAGGTGAGTGAGGTGAGTGAGTTGAAGTGAGTGAGGTGAGTGAGGTGAGTGAGGTGAGGTGAGTGAGGTGAGTGAGGTGAGGTGAATGAGGTGAGGTGAGGTGAGTGAGGTGAGGTGAGTGAGGTGAGTGAGGTGAGTGAGGTGAGGTGAGTGAGGTGAGTGAGGTGAGGTGAGTTGAGGTGAGTGAGGTAAGTGAGGTGAGGTGAGTGAGGTGAATGAGGTGAGTGAGGTGAGGTGAGTGAGGTGAGGTGAGTGAGGTGAATGAGTTGAGGTGAGTGAGATGAGTGAGGTGAGGTGAGGTGAGTGACGTGAGGTGAGTGAGGTGAGTTAGGTGAGGTGAGTGAGGTGAATGAGGTGAGGTGAGTGAGGTGAGTGAGGTGAGTGAGGTGAGGCAGCACCTCTTTCCAGTGGATGCTCTCCCAACTTCCGTTCTTCAGCACTGTGAGGATGGCAAGGGCAGTGTGGCAGAGCGTCTCAATGTCTTAGTAGCTCCGATTAGCACGGTTGGCTTCGCGTGGTACGAAGGAAGATGACGTGCGTGAGTTTGATGGCGCGTGTGAGTTTAATGGCGCGCGTTTGATGGCGCCCGTGAGTTTGATGGCACGCGTGAGTTTGATGGCGCCCATGAGTTTGATGGCGCCCGTGAGTTTGATGGCACGCGTGAGTTTGATGGCGCCCATGAGTTTGATGGCGGCCGTGAGTTTGATGGCGCCCGTGAGTTTGATGGCGCGTGTGAGTTTGATGGCGCGCATGAGTTTGATGGCGTGAGTTTGATGGCGCCCGTGAGTTTGATGGCGCGCGTGTGTTTGATGGCACCCGTGAGTTTGATGGCGGGTGTGAGTTTGATGGCGCCCATGAGTTTGATGGTGCCCGTGAGTTTGATGGCACCCGTGAGTTTGATGGCACCCGTGAGTTTGATGGCGCGTGTGAGTTTGATGGCGCCCGTGAGTTTGATGGCGCCCGTGAGTTTGATGGCACCCGTGAGTTTGATGGCGCCCGTGAGTTTGATGGCGCCCGTGAGTTTGATGGCACGCGTGAGTTTGATGGCGCCCGTGAGTTTGATGGCGCGCGTTTGATGGCGCCCGTGAGTTTGATGGCACGCGTGAGTTTGATGGCGCCCATGAGTTTGATGGCGGCCGTGAGTTTGATGGCGCCCGTGAGTTTGATGGCGCGTGTGAGTTTGATGGCGCGCATGAGTTTGATGGCGTGAGTTTGATGGCGCCCGTGAGTTTGATGGCGCGCGTGTGTTTGATGGCGGGTGTGAGTTTGATGGCGGGTGTGAGTTTGATGGTGCCCGTGAGTTTGATGGCGCCCGTGAGTTTGATGGCGCCCGTGAGTTTGATGGCACCCGTGAGTTTGATGGCACCCGTGAGTTTGATGGCGCGTGTGAGTTTGATGGCGCCCGTGAGTTTGATGGCGCCCGTGAGTTTGATGGCACCCGTGAGTTTGATGGCGCCCGTGAGTTTGATGGCGCCCGTGAGTTTGATGGCGCCCGTGAGTTTGATGGCGCCCGTGAGTTTGATGCCGCGTGTGAGTTTGATGGCGCCCGTGAGTTTGATGGCGCCCGTGAGTTTGATGGCACCCGTGAGTTTGATGGCACCCGTGAGTTTGATGGCGCGTGTGAGTTTGATGGCGCCCGTGAGTTTGATGGCGCCCGTGAGTTTGATGGCACCCGTGAGTTTGATGGCGCCCGTGAGTTTGATGGCGCCCGTGAGTTTGATGGCGCCCGTGAGTTTGATGGCGCCCGTGAGTTTGATGCCGCGTGTGAGTTTTATGGCACCCGTGAGTTTGATGGCGTGAGTTTGATGGCGCCCGTGAGTTTGATGGCGCCCGTGAGTTTGATGGCGCCCGTGCGTTTGATGACGCGCGTGAGTTTGACGATGCGCGTGCGTTTGATGGCGTGCGTTTGGTGATGCGCGCGTTTGATGGTGCGCAGGCGTTTGATGACGCGCGTGTTCATGATCACAACGAAACCGGAAGGAGTGCGGCAGAGATTGGCGCCAGCTATCGGAGAGTGCGGCGATCGTGTCACCGTGATTCTCCGCGGTGAGTAACAACGTCTTTAAAAACAACGGCGCTGCTGCTACGCCTCTTGAAGTAAAATGCACGCGGAGCCACTTGCGTGTTCCGGGATTCAGCGGTGAACGGGGGACACCCCACACCCTGCGACTTGCAGTGCACTCCGGAACGGGGAAGGGTTAATTTGCCTGAATTCCAGCTCGGGGAATATAAATATATAATCGGTTTGACTGTCGTGCGACGAACGAGCGAGTGGGACGGCGCCGCTCTCTGCCATGTGCGGACCGGGAAGGTCACTGGATGGGACCTCGGAGGTAGTTCTGTGATATCCGCATCTTTCTCCTACACGAAGGAGCGTTGCACCGCTCGGAGAGATTTTTACGAGCGGATTCTCACCGAGAGCATAATTGAGATAAAATTATAAAAATATATAATTTGGTAAACTGTGATCTGGTGTCCACGTGGTACAACTGTGTGGCCTTACCCAGAGTCCTTTTCCTGTTCACCGTGCTGTCAGCCGAGTGTCGCTTCTGTTGAACACAAACAAAAGATGCACGAGGTCATCGGCAGCTCCCTCATCATCTCGAGCCATGGTCTATCCACTGCTGTCACCCTCGCACACCGCAATCGCTCTTCGCGTTCGCTCCACCTCACGCACACGCAACACAAACATCATCGTCATCATCGTCGTCCTCATCGTCTTTATCGTCGTCATCGTCGTCTTTATCGTCATCGTCGTCCTCATCGTCTTTATCATCGTCATTGAGCAGATTTCAAAATCCACCTCGGCAAGGTTGCTCGCAGATCTCCCTGATCGTCATTGTCATCGGCAGCTTTGATCAATCCACTGCTGGATGAAGGCCTCCCCTACCAAGTCACCGCCCTTCGACACACGAATCCGCGATGCCACAATCCGCCCAGCGCGGGCACACGAGCCGACGTCGTCGCTCCGTTTCCGCGGTAGGCGTCTCTTGGGGGCCGCTTTCCCGCTGTTGGCTGCCACTCGGCTGCCTCTCTCCCCCAGTGCCCGTCGCTTCGGCTAGCCGTGGGTGCTGCCTGGGCACTGCTCTCTGTGACTGTGCCACACAGCCAGAGAACAGGGCACGTTTTAATTTTTTCCCAAATTTTATTTAAATGACAGGATTAGCATCATGAGACTTAGCGTTCATTGTGGAACTCTCACACGGCAGTGCATCATCACCCTGTGCGTTCGAGAACGGCCCACAGAAGCAGATGTCAGAGCACTGCTTCTGAGATGCTTTCAAGCACACACGAGCGGCCCACCCATGCTGTCCCACACGCCCAGCTGCAGAGAAACATCTCAGAGTTCTCCGGCATCGATTCAAGTAAGCCGAACCGTGCTCATGAGACACTGTATGATGAAAACAGTCCAGAGTTTTGCTTGTCTAGAAACAATGCTGCTGATATGATGCGCTCCCAGAAGGCCATTCGGCTGCTCGGTTGTGCGAGAGATACGCGTATATTGTTTTACGTGGCGACACGAATTTAATGTGACAGGCCGTTTCGTCTGCTCATTCGTCTTTTTCAGAGAAATGGTTCATCACACAGATCCAAAACCAATATTTTTCATTCTGAAAGCTGAAATGTTGCCACGTTAAGTGAATAAACATATCAAATGTAACGTGAATTGTTCCACGAGAACCCCATTTAATCACGGGCGGCCGAGAGCCGGATGCGAACTCAGGGCCTCAGCGTCGCTGGCTCGGCGCTCCGAACCAATACGGCACCGTCCCATCGTGACAAGAGCCGAGGAGAATACAGTGAGCAACGCGGCAGTGCCGGTGAACGCGCCAGCGCCGTGATTTATACGACGAGAATGGGAACATACGCCTGCCACGAACGATCATTGGCTCCAGGCAAAGTACAAGGTAACAATAAAAAATAAAATCTACAGCGGTTATTTATTTCTCTCAATCTTCTCACCCTTCATCACCCCCCCCCCCTCGACTCTCACCCGCAAGCCCCACCAATCGCAAAGCCAGGGGCTCGGCAACACTAAATAAAAACCGTTACCGTGACAACGGCGGCTTACAGCGTGTGGAGGAGGGGTTGCCGTAACGACCGGGCTCACAGGTGCCGGATAACGCCCGGAGATTAGCCTCGACGCCGCATGCCGGCTCGTACCGGCCCGGCGCGTTATTATCGGCGTCGCACAAAGAACAGGCGCGGGGCAATTAGTGGATCAAAATTAAAATTTAACGTTCGCGAGAAAGCGGGCCGAGCTATTGTTCCCGATTTACGCGAAACGCCTCGGTGTGCCCCCCACGGGACAGGCGCCGCGGGACGGGACAAACGGAACGAGCGGCGAAACAGCTGTAGACGCCGCCGCCGCTTACAAACAGCAAATACGCAGGACGGACGAGGCAGCGCGGCCGACCCGAGCGAAGCAGCGCCAGTGACTCTCATGGAGCGAATGAAAGGAGGCCACGGACGGAGGCAGTGCAGTGGAGCCGAAGGCCATTCATTAACGTAGTGATGAAGGTGATGATGATGAAACCAGTCCATTTTCTTTCAGTGAGTGGTACATGGCTGAGTCTACAGTGAGTGGTACGTGGCTGAGTCTCCAGTGAGTGGTACGTGGCTGAGTCTCCAGTGGGTGGTACGTGGCTGAGTCTCCAGTGGGTGGTACGTGGCTGAGTCTACAGTGAGTGGTACGTGGCTGAGTCTACAGTGAGTGGTACGTGGCTGAGTCTACAGTGAGTGTTACGTGGCTGAGTCTTCAGCGAGTGGTACGTGGCTGAGTCTCCAGTGGGTGGTTACGTGCCTGAGTCTCCAGTGAGTGGTACGTGGCTGAGTCTCCAGTGAGTGGTACGTGGCTGAGTCTCCAGTGAGTGGTACGTGGCTGAGTCTCCAGTGGGTGGTACGTGGCTGAGTCTCCAGTGAGTGGTACGTGGCTGAGTCTCCAGTGAGTGGTACGTGGCTGAGTCTCCAGTGAGTGGTACGTGGCTGAGTCTCCAGTGAGTGGTACGTGGCTGAGTCTCCAGTGAGTGGTACGTGGCTGAGTCTCCAGTGAGTGGTACGTGCCTGAGACTCCAGTGGGTGGTACGTGGCTGAGTCTCCAGTGAGTGGTACGTGGCTAAGTCTCCAGTGAGTGGTACGTGGCTGAGTCTCCAGTGAGTGGTACGTGGCTGAGTCTACAGTGGGTGGTACGTGGCTCAGTCTCCAGTGAGTAATACGTGGCTGAGTCCCCAGTGAGTGGTACGTGGCTGAGTCCCCAGTGAGTGGTACGTGGCTGAGTCTCCAGTGAGTGGTACATGGCTGAGTCCCCAGTGAGTGGTACGTGGCTGAGTCTCCAGTGGGTGGTACGTGGCTGAGTCTACAGTGAGTGGTATGTGGCTGAGTCTCCAGTGAGTGGTACGTGGCTGAGTCTCCAGTGAGTGGTACGTGGCTGAGTCTCCAGTGAGTGGTACGTGGCTGAGTCTACAGTGAGTGGTACGTGGCTGAGTCTCCAGTGAGTGGTACGTAGCTGAGTCCCCAGTGAGACTTACACAGAGACCCACATAATTGTATAGGGACTGATGGACCTACACAGAGACCCATAGTCGCACAGAGACTCGCAGACTTACATAAAGACCCATTAACTAGCACAGACCGGTTTGTGGTTAAACTGGGTGGCCTCAGCCCAGTCATGTTGTCACATGGGGAAATATGCCAAGTGATTTCGATTTTCAGCAAAACCGCTGGAATGTTGAAAAGCGACAAATATTTTGAGAATTTTGACAATTGGGTGGGTGGGTGGCTGAGCACCTGAGTGGGTGGGTCGGTGTGTGGCTGAGTGTGTGAATGGGCACCTGAGTGGTCGGGTCGGTGTGTGGCTGAATGGCTGAGTGGGTGGGTGGGTGGCTGAGTGTGTGAATGGGCGCCTGAGTGGGTGGGTCTGTGTGTGGCTGAATGGCCGAGTGGGTGGGTGGGTGGCTGAGTGTGTGAATGGGTGCCTGAATGGGTGGGTCGGTGTGTGGCTGAATGGCTGAGTGGGTGGGTGGGTGGCTGAGTGTGTGAATGGGCACCTGAGTGGGTGGGTCTGTGGGTGGCTGACTGGCTGAGTGGGTGGGTGGCTGAGTGTGTGAATGGGTGCCTGAATGGGTGGGTCTGTGTGTGGCTGAATGGCTGAGTGGGTGGGTGGCTGAGTGTGTGAATGGGTGCCTGAATGGGTGGGTCGGTGTGTGGCTGAATGGCTGAGTGGGTGGGTGGGTGGCTGAGTGTGTGAATGGGTGCCTGAATGGGTGGGTCGGTGTGTGGCTGAATGGCTGAGTGGGTGGGTGGGTAGGTTGGTGGCCGAGCGGCTGAGAGGTTCGGTGGCTGGGTGTCTGAGTGGGTGAGTGGGTGCGTGGCTGAGTGGGTGGGTGGCTGAGTGTATGAGTGGGTGGATGGCTGAGTGGATGAGTGGGTAGGTGGCTGAGTGAGTGGGTGGCTGGGTGTCTGAGTGGGTGAGTGGGTGCGTGGCTGAGTGGGTGAGTGGCTGGGTGGCTGAGTGGGTGGTTGAGATTATCACAGTGTAGAATTGTGGGTGGGCAACACGATGACAAGGAACAAAGCAGACAAATAATGGAACAGATTCCACTTTCCGCGTCTCATCAGAAAAATTAGCGCGCCCGCCAGTGGTTGCGTCCACGCCCAGGGGACTCACATAATCCTCGATGAGTTCTTTGATGGCGGCGAGTGTGAGGATGAAGATGAGAGGCACCAGGGTGGTGTAGCGTCCCGTGGGAGACACATCCGGGATTTGCTGGGGGGCGAAAGAGGCGAAGACGTTGTCGGGACAAAATAAACGGCGTCCGTCATTGTATTCAAATTACATTCGACACAACGGACGGTACGATTATCGCCGGACCTCATATCATTAGATACCTCACGGTGTCACCGCGTGGAGGCAAGCGGCAGCCTTGTACCGGGCGCTGGCCCACGAGGACCCAGCTCCTTTTTCAAACAACATCGTGGGATCTTGAACGTCCACCGGCGAGCAGAGGGGCGCGCGATACCACACGCCGAACACAAAACCCACCGCGGCGTTAACCGGGGTGGCAATCGGGGCAGCCGCCAGGCTCCAACCGCACGCAACCACCCGCCCCCGCTGCCCTAGACGGCCGATCAACGTCCCTTCAACGTCCCCTCAACGTCTCCTCAAAGTCCCCTCCTGCTGCTCAAGGAGGGGGTGCCTGGGCCGGCGGGTTTGCTGGAGCGCTGTGGCATTGTTGCTTTTGTCAGCCGTGCAGAGTCTCAGCCGTTTATTTATTTACACCTCCACGGCCACAACGGGGCGGCACGATCAATGTCGATCGTTAATCCAGCTCAGCCTGGAAAAGAATAGCCACCCACGGAAACGGAAAGACGCCGAAGACGACGAGGGGGAGGGAGAGAGGGAGGAGGAGGCCGGAGGCAATAGCGGCTCGTCTGGGTGACAGCAGGTGAGGCGCTTTCAGGCCCCGCCCTATAAACTACAGGGACGCCGACATAAAGGCAGTGGAACGGGCGCCACGAGGAGCGGGGCGGGCAAGCAGGCAGGCGGGCGCCACGAGGAGCGGGCGCTACAAGAGAGTGGGCAGGCGCTACAAGCAGCGGGTGGGCAGGCGGGCGCTACAAGAGAGTGGGCAGGCGCTACAAGCAGCGGGTGGGCAGGCGGGCGCTACAAGCAGCGGGTGGGCATGCGGGCGCTACAAGAGAGTGGGCAGGCACTACAAGAGAGTGGGCAGGCGGGCGCTACAAGGAGCGGGGGCTACGAGAGAGTGGGCAGGCGGGCGCTACAAGGAGCGGGTGGGCAAGCGGGCGCTACAAGGAGCAGGTGGGCAGGCGGGCGCTACAAGGAGCGGGGGCTACGAGAGAGTGGGCAGGCGGGCGCTACAAGGAGCGGGTGGGCAAGCGGGCGCTACAAGGAGCAGGTGGGCAGGCGGGCGCTACAAGGAGCGGGGGCTACAAGAGAGTGGGCAGGCGGGCGCTACAAGGAGCGGGGGCTACGAGGGGTGGGCGGGAGCCAGAGGGCAGGCGGGCGCTACGAGGAGCGGCGGGCAAGCGGGCACTTGGGGAGTCAACTCAGTGGGGTTCTTTTGTTCAACCGAGAGCTGTGGGGCAACCCTCACACCTCGCCACCACCGACCCCACCACTCTCATCGCCAGCGCCAGTTATATAAAATAATCGCACCCCCCCCCACACCCGCCGTACCGTGCATGTTCAGCGCGTGTGGGCATCACGTGAATAGTGTATGGTGCCCAACGGGGGATTTGCATACAGGGCAATCATGTGAGAACTACCCCCAGCACGACTTCTATGCGGCAGCAGCAGCAGCGTGGTGGTTCAGCAGTTCGGTGCCAGTGTCGAGGTGTGCTGCTGAGCACGACCAGAGGGAGGGGGCTTCAGGAGAGAGTTGGTGTCGTTTTGTTGTTCCTCCTCCATTGAAGGAGCGCAGACGACATTATTAGCAAGCCACTGGAGCTTATGTACTTTTACATCTAGATTCAAATTAATTTAAAACTTCCTTTTGTGTTTAGTTTGTTGCCCTTCCCCCGCACCTCCTATTAGCAAAGTTGGCTATGTAGGGTACGAAAGAAGTTCAACAAACGTACAAACAGTGGTTTAGTATAAACTAAACGTCAATCTATTTTTATTTTACCAAATAAGGCCATAGTGTGGATTGCATGCCCACAATCACATGACCGTGGCTTGTCTGTAATATATATATCTATGAGTCTCTTTGTATGTCTGAGCTTCTGTGTCAATGTATATCCGAAGGGTCTCTATGTATCTCTATGGGTTGCAATGTATCTCTATGGGTCGCAATGTATCTCTATGGGTCGCAATGTATCTCTATGGGTCGCAATGTATCTCTATGGGTCGCAATGTATCTCTATGGGTCACAATGTATCTCTATGGGTCGCAATGTATCTCTATGGGTCTCTATGTATCTTTATGGGTTGCAATGTATCTCTATGGGTCGCAATGTATCTCTATGGGTCGCAATGTATCTCTATGGGTCGCAATGTATCTCTATGGGTCGCAATGTATCTCTATGGGTCTCTATGTATCTCTATGGGTCGCAATGTATCTCTATGCCGTTGTATGTTTCTCTATGGGAATTAATGACTCTGTATCCCTTTGAGCATGCATCTGTCTGAGTATCGCTATGAGCCTCTGTGTCCCCATGTATCTCAATGGGTCTCTGTGTATCACTATCTCTAGGGGTTTTAATCAATGGTCCATCGTTTGAATTGCATGGCCACGATCACACTACTGTGGCTCGTCTTTCATTTTACATTTGTAGTGACACAAGGCCGACTGCTGCCCAGCAGCGGCAACTGCTGTGGACAGTTAGCGCACGCGCCGTCGAGCGTACACACGGTGTGTGTGTCTCTACATCTACACGGTGTGTGTGTGTCTCTACATCTACACGGTGTGTGTGTGTGTCTCTACATCTACACGGTGTGTGTGTGTGTCTCTACATCTACACGGTGTGTGTGTGTGTGTGTCTCTACATCTACACGGTGTGTGTGTGTGTGTGTCTACATCTACACGGTGTGTGTATGTCTCTACATCTACACGGTGTGTGTGTCTCTACATCTACACGGTGTGTGTGTGTGTCTCGACATCTACACGGTGTGTGTGTGTGTCTCTACATCTACACGGTGTGTGTGTGTGTGTGTGTCTCTACATCTACACGGTGTGTGTGTGTATGTGTCTCTACATCTACACGTGTGTGTGTCTACATCTACACGGTGTGTGTGTGTCTCTACATCTACACGGTGTGTGTGTGTCTCTACATCTACACGGTGTGTGTGTGTCTCTACATCAAGACGGTGTGTGTGTGTCTACATCTACACAGTGTGTGAGTCTACATCTACACGGTGTGTGTGTGTGTCTCTACATCTACACGGTGCGTGTGTGTGTGTCTACATCTAGGTGGGGGAGCGATAGTGTAGCGGTTAGCGCGCTGCGCTATGAACCTGGCGACCCGGGTTCGATTCCCGCTCACGGCCAACACCAGTGACGATTATCTGAACCGGTCCCGGGCCTCCCCTAGGTCGACTCAGCCTCAAAATGAGTACCTGGTGCGGTGTGTAAATATCGCTACTGGGGAGACAAAGGCGGTCGGGCGTGGTGCTGGCCACCCATAGGTGCTCGCTAACAGCACTTGCCCCTACAGTCTGTTAAGGCTATATGGGGGATCTTTGTCTACATCTACACGGTGTGTGTGTGTCTACATCTACACGGTGTGTGTGTCTCTACATCTACACGGTGTGTGTGTGTGTGTCTACATCTACACGGTGTGTGTGTGTCTACATCTACACGGTGTGTGTGTGTGTGTCTACATCTACACGGTGTGTGTGTGAGTCTACATCTACACGGTGTGTGTGTCTACATCTACACGGTGTGTGTGTGTGTGTCCACATCTACACGGTGTGTGTGTGAGTCTACATCTACACGGTGTGTGTGTGTGTGTCTACATCTACACGGTGTGTGTGTGTGTGTCTACATCTACACGGTGTGGGTGTGTCTACATCTACACGGTGTGTGTGTGTGTGTGTCTCTACATCTACACGGTGTGTGTGTGTCTCTACATCTACACGGTGTGTGTGTGTGTCTACATCTACACGGTGTGTGTGTGTCTCTACATCTACATGGTGTGTGTGTGTCTCTACATCTACACGGTGTGTGTGTGTCTACATCTACACGGTGTGTGTGTGTGTCTGTACATCTACACGGTGTGTGTGTGTCTCTACCTCTACATGGTGTGTGTGTGTCTCTACATCTACATGGTGTGTGTGTGTCTCTACATCTACACGGTGTGTGTGTGTGTCTCTACATCTACACGGTGTGTGTGTGTCTACATCTACACGGTGTGTGTGTGTGTCTCTGCATCTACACGGTGTGTGTGTTTGTGTCTCTACATCTACACGGTGTGTGTGTGTCTCTACATCTACACGGTGTGTGTGTGTGTCTACATCTACACGGTGTGTGTGTGTGTCTGTACATCTACACGGTGTGTGTATCTCTACATCTACACGGCGTGTGTGTGTCTCTACATCTACACGGTGTGTGTGCTTCTACATCTACACGGTGTGTGTGTGTCTACATCTACACGGTGTGTGTGTCTACATCTACACGGTGTGTGTGTGTGTCTACATCTACACGGTGTGTGTGTGTCTACATCTACACGGTGTGTGTGTGTGTGTCTACATCTACACGGTGTGTGTGTGAGTCTACATCTACACGGTGTGTGTGTGTCTACATCTACACGGTGTGTGTGTGTGTGTCCACATCTACACGGTGTGTGTGTGAGTCTACATCTACACGGTGTGTGTGTGTGTGTCTACATCTACACGGTGTGTGTGTGTGTCTACATCTACACGGTGTGGGTGTGTCTACATCTACACGGTGTGTGTGTGTCTACATCTACACGGTGTGTGTCTACATCTACACGGTGTGTGTGTGTCTCTACATGTACATGGTGTGTGTGTCAACATCTACACGGTGTGTGTGTGTCTACATCTACACGGTGTGTGTGTGTGTCTCTGCATCTACACGGTGTGTGTTTGTGTGTCTCTACATCTACACGGTGTGTGTGTGTGTCTCTACATCTACACGGTGTGTGTGTGTCTACATCTACACGGTGTGTGTGTGTGTGTCTCTGCATCTACACGGTGTGTGTGTGTGTGTGTCTACATCTACACGGTGTGTGTGTGTCTCTACATCTACACGGTGTGTGTGTGTGTCTACATCTACACGGTGTGTGTGTGTGTGTCTGTACATCTACACGGTGTGTGTATCTCTACATCTACACGGCGTGTGTGTGTCTCTACATCTACACGGTGTGTGTGCTTCTACATCTACACGGTGTGTGTGTGTGTCTACATCTACACGGTGTGTGTGTCTACATCTACACGGTGTGTGTGTGTGTCTACATCTACACGGTGTGTGTGTGTCTACATCTACACGGTGTGTGTGTATCTACATCTACACGGTGTGTGTGTCTACATTTACACGGTGTGTGTGTGTGTGTCTCTACATCTACACGGTGTGTGTGTGTCTGTACATCTACACAGTGTGTGTGTCTCTACATCTACACGGTGTGTGTGTGTGTCTGTACATCTACACGGTGTGTGTGTGTCTCTACATCTACACGGTGTGTGTGTGTGTCTACATCTACACGGTGTGTGTGTGTCTGTACATCTACACGGTGTGTGTGTGTCTCTACCTCTACATGGTGTGTGTGTGTGTCTGTACATCTACACGGTGTGTGTGTCTCTACATCTACACGGTGTGTGTGTGTCTGTACATCTACACGGTGTGTGTGTGTCTGTACATCTACACGGTGTGTGTGTCTCTACATCTACACGGTGTGTGTGTGTGTCTACATCTACACGGTGTGTGTGTGTCTGTACATCTACACGGTGTGTGTGTGTCTGTACATCTACAGGGTGTGTGTGTCTCTACATCTACATGGTGTGTGTGTGTGTCTGTACATCTACACGGTGTGTGTGTCTCTACATCTACACGGTGTGTGTGTGTGTCTGTACATCTACACGGTGTGTGTGTCTCTACATCTACACGGTGTGTGTGTGTCTACATCTACACGGTGTGTGTGTCTCTACATCTACACTGTGTGTGTGTGTCTGTACATCTACACGGTGTGTGTGTGTGTGTGTGTGTCTGTACATCTACACTGTGTGTGTGGGTCTCTACATCTACACGGTGTGTGTGTGTGTCTACATCTACACGGTGTGTGTGTGTTTGTACATCTACACGGTGTGTGTGTCTCTACCTCTACATGGTGTGTGTGTGTCTCTACATCTACATGGTGTGTGTGTGTCTACATCTACACGGTGTGTGTGTGTCTGTACATCTACACGGTGTGTGTGTGTCTCTACCTCTACATGGTGTGTGTGTGTCTCTACATCTACACGGTGTGTGTGTGTGTCTACATCTACACGGTGTGTGTGTGTCTACATCTACATGGTGTGTGTGTGTCTCTACCTCTACATGGTGTGTGTGTGTGTCTCTACATCTACATGGTGTGTGTGTGTCTCTACATCTACACGGTGTGTGTGTCTGTACATCTACATGGTGTGTGTGTGTGTGTCTGTACATCTACACGGTGTGTGTGTCTCTACATCTACACGGTGTGTGTGTGTCTGTACATCTACATGGTGTGTGTGTGTGTCTGTACATCTACACGGTGTGTGTGTCTCTACATCTACACGGTGTGTGTGTGTGTCTGTACATCTACACAGTGTGTGTGTGTCTCTACATCTACACGGTGTGTGTGTGTGTCTGTACATCTACACAGTGTGTGTGTGTCTCTACATCTACATGACTGTGTGTGTCTGTACATCTACACGGTGTGTGTGTGTGTCTCTACATCTACACGGTGTGTGTGTCTGTACATCTACACGGTGTGTGTGTCTCTACATCTACACGGTGTGTGTGTCTCTACATCTACACGGTGTGTGTGTGTCTCTACATCTACATGGTGTGTGTGTGTCTCTACATCTACACGGTGTGTGTGTGTGTCTACATCTACACGGTGTGTGTGTGTCTGTACATCTACACGGTGTGTGTGTGTCTCTACCTCTACATGGTGTGTGTGTGTCTCTACATCTACATGGTGTGTGTGTGTCTCTACATCTACACGGTGTGTGTGTCTGTACATCTACATGGTGTGTGTGTGTGTCTGTACATCTACACGGTGTGTGTGTGTGTGACTGTACATCTACACGGTGTGTGTGTCTCTACATCTACACGGTGTGTTTGTGTCTGTACATCTACACGGTGTGTGTGTCTCTACATCTACACGGTGTGTGTGTGTCTGCACATCTACATGGCTGTGTGCCGGCAGGGCTGAGGAACTGGCGCAAGGGTCACGGAAGACTCATCGGAGGCCCCTAGAACCATCTGGTGGGTTCGAGAAGGGAGGTGTGGCTAGGACGGAGCCAAGCCGCGCCGAGTAGAATAAAAGCAGCGGAGAGCTCCGGGCGGCTGATTCAGGGAGTGGACTCGTCTCATCGTCTTCGCCGTCGCCTTCGCCCGATAATTGTCTGTCTCGGTCGACGCCGTCGGTGCACCGCGGTCAGGGTTGTGTCTAAGCAGGGCTGTACGGCAGTGTGGTCGAGACAGAGGAGGCCGGAGTTGGTGTAACGGGAAATAAAAAGAGAGAGAGATGGTGCCTCCTGCGACTACCTCGTCTCCGACTGAGTGTGCGCGCCCCACACACATGCACACACGCACACACGCACACACACACATGCGCACACACCGAGGAGGACACTACACATTCATAAAGGAGATGTGCACACATCGGCTTGCTGTTGATGTTCTGATGCGGGTGATGGTGCCACCACCGATGTCTTTGACGAGGAGGAACATCAAAGCCAGGATGTGCGATGTTTGGGTCTCCAATGAGATGTTTAACATGCACGCCCGCCGTGGTGACAACAGGAGGGACGGGTTTGGGAGACCCCGCGACTCCATTCCTCCGTTGCTTCGGTGTACAAGAGCTCAAACATAAAACTCTTGGCCAGGAACTAAACATTCAGCGACCCCACAACCTCCCCATGATTCGTCACAATTCGGGGACAGTCAATTTAACAACTCGATTCTGTCCGTAGAAACACGGGGGGGGGGGGGGGTGTGCCTTACTTGCAGTAAGGCAATGAGTAGAAAGAAGGCATTGGCAGCTTTCCTGAATTGCTCGAACAGGAACCGCGGCAGGAACGTCACCACGTTGTACTTGGCGGTGCTGGGAGGTGGGGGAGAGAGGGACACGGGGGTGGAGACGCGTCGGTTATCTGGGTGGAACGCTCCCCTTCCCCCGTGCTTCGTCCGCACTTTTCCCTCTCACACTTCCCCCGTACTTGTCCAGCGCTTCTCCCACACTTCTCCCTCCCACACTTCCCACGTGCTTCTTATTTACGCAACCTTTACCTAAATTGCGTGTGCCACGAGTGCGACGTCTACACGGTGACCGCGTGGGGCCCCGGGGCGGGCCACCGAGAGGGCGATTGTGCTTCAGCAAGGGGCCAACAGCGCGCTCGGCGCCGTCGTCGATCCGGTTAAACACAGAAGGCGTCAATTACGGCATTTCCCGTCGCCCGCGCTCCGATCTGTGTGCACTGGTCGCACCGTCAATGGATCTGCAAGTGTAAATGTTTAACTTTGGCCACCGGCTTTGTAAACAGGGCCACCCCCGACATCCCACCCGACCATTTTTATTTCGAGGCAGCTGCAATAAAATAGCGAGTTAGTAAAGCTAGCGTCAACATTCTCCTGTTGCTGTTGTACGTCACGAGGCTCCGCGAATAATTCAGGTCAATCACAATGCGTGCGGTTTACCTTCCTTCCACTTTGCACTCCTGTCGTGTTTTTGTATTGTTTGTTGTTGTGGTGTTCTTACCCCGTGCCCCTACTGTACATCTGTGAAAGAGAGCTTTATAGCTCACCGGATTCCTCCAGTATAAATACAGATTCTGATTAAGAAACATATCGGGCAACGTTTCAGGCAATGGTTCTTCTTCACAGGACATGAATCATTATATGTGGGGAGTATCGATTTTATAAGGGTTGTACAATACTTTTAAACGAAGGTTCTCTTAAATTTGAATGCATAAAGAATACATTATGGGTGCAATTGTGATAATTAGAAAATTCCGGTCTCCGAGAGGGATCTTAAGAACATGCCAGAAAGAAATGTCTGTTCTGGACAGATCCGATGCACCCCGCTCGGGTGCAGAGTAGAACAGTGAGGGGTTATGAGTCGAGGGAGGGTCAGGCGACAGGGGCGGCCACTCCACGCGGCCCCCCCAATGCCCCCTCGGCGTCCACGCTCGGGACCCCGCGCCACCGCGCGGACGGACGTCACGGTTGAAGAAAAGCGCCTTCACAGAGGCGACGGGGTGCATCATCGGATGCCGCGACGCCTCGCCATCCTTTCCTTCCTTCCGCCAGATCCCACAACCATTGCAGAATCGACAGCCAACCAACCACCACGCTTGGCTCCATCTCTGGAAGCTCGGGCGAACGCCCCTCATTGGGCGATGCTCACGAGGTACCACCACCCGGTGCCGGAGAACGACCAAATATTTTTCGAGTCGTTTTGACGCGAGCCTCTCGATCCGCGCCGCGGGGACACGTGGCGCGTGCAAACGCGCTCGTCGTGTAAATCAAACTTTGCGTTTCTAATGCTCGCGGCCGGCACAGGCGCCGTGCGGAGTGAAACGCCAACGGTCGTCACGACGTTAGTCCCGTGGCGGTCATCGTGGACCCAGGGTTGGGAGACGCGCGCACGAGACAACAGGCGCAAGTGAAAGACGTCGTTTAGCCCGACAGGTGAAAGTGACTGGGCCGGGGCAGGAGACGCCGCTCAGAACGATGACGGTTGCCAACGGTGGAGAATTAGGCATGAACGAGCGGTTGCTTCGGGCGGTTGCTTCGGGCGGGGGCCGGCCCCCCGCCGTCCGCGTGACTCGGGAGCCGCGTCGTCGTCGCCGCCGCCCCTCGCACTCTCGACCTTGATTAATCTTCGCGAGGGTCCCGGGGTTTGTCGGAGCGCCATCAATAATTCACGGATGGCAAAAAATAAATAAATCGAACGTCGTGAGGCTTTCAAATCGAGTGCCAACGTGGCAGCCCCACTCCCGCTCAAGCTGACTGCCTTTGGGGCTGACATGGCCAAGGATAAAAAAGATCACGATAATAATTTGCGAGGCTCTTACAGGCTATCAGCACTTACCCTGAAATATGCATGAGGCACAGATATGTGGGGAGTGCAGGGGCCAAGGGCTCGCTTTTTACAACGTTCGTAAGAAAAGTTGACGCGCTTTGTTGACTTCTTTCTGGCTTTCCCCCGTGAGGTTATCTGACACTGCGCAGTGGAGGTGGTGGCGGCGGTGGCGGTAGTGGCGGCGCACGCCACTGATCCAAAGCCATGCAGGAGAGGGTTGGCGGTTCGTAGAGATTTGTGAAACTCACAAAGCGACTGTCTTGCTGTATTATTATTATTTTTGTGTAATTCCCAGGGCGCTAAGCGACGTTCCCGTCGCGCCTTGGAAGCGGAGCATGCTTGGCCTGCTCACGGCTCGGGATGGGAAAACTGCCTGGACATGCCACGGAGGGTCTCTAGGCTGAGGGTGCGCACGAGGTGGCGGCACAAATAATGGGTTCATTGCCCGGGTGCGTGCGTGCGTCCGTGCGTGCGCGCATATCTGCATACGTGTGTGCGTCCGTGTGTCCGTGTGTGCGTGTATGCGTGTGCGTATTTGTAAGCGTGTTTGTTTGCGTGTGTGTGCGTGTGTTCGATTCCTGTTCACGGCCAACACCAGTGACGATAATCTGAACCGGTCGTGGGCCTCCTCTAGGTGGACTCGGCCTCAAATGAGTACCCGGAGCGGTGCGTAAACATTGCCACTGGGGAGACAAAGGCGGCCGGCCGTGGTGCTGGCCACCCACCCCATCGTGCACCGTGCCGGCCTTCGTAGGTGCTGCTCGCCAACACCACTGCTGCAGAAGGACCTCCACCAGAGGGACCCATAGAGAGTCCACGTAGAGGATGTGTTTGGCCTACATCTTCAAGGAGGTGGGAGTACCCACACTTTACCCCACCACACGATGCGCCTGCGTGCGCTGCTGGGTGGACAGGAGTAGGCGGGGGAGAACTTAAACTCAAAACTATTTTTAGCTAATTTTTATTTTATTTTACCAGGTAAGGCCCACCGAGCAACCGGGCCACAAATGATCGCTCAATGAAGTGGCTTATCACGTAGAAATTGATAGCAGCCAAATACTCTAAATGCATGTTTCTAATTTGGAGTAAAAAACCGAAGGACCTGGAGAAAAATCCACACGACCACGGGGGAGAAGACGCAAACTCCAAATATACAGTAGGCGTCAGGGTCGGGATTAAACCCACGACCTCCTGCATACCAGGCGAGGCAGGAACATTTCTTAGTCACTGTGACTTGGCCAACTTGCCCTCGTGTTCCATCAGCCGCGCTGGGATAGACGGAATCGAACCAGCGACCTCGGGATCGCGAGTGCAGTGCGCTCACCGCAGCGACAGCGTCGGCTCAACATCAGGAGGGATTCTCACTCCAATCCAACGCGAAAAGAAAAAACCCACTCTGTGACATTGGTGATGAAGCCAGATCGCCTCATCCCAAGGACGATGCGTAATTAACAATCGCTGTTCGGCATCGGCAATAACGAAGAATCATCACTGAGTGTGCTTTGGTGGCATTTGTAGAATTCTTAGAGCGCAAGGCTGTCACACAAGGCACGATGTTTCACAGATGAGCATAATTTCATCAACTCAGACTGTCGCCTCAAGAGGCTGGTTGTTAATTACCGGTGAAACGTCACGGTACTTGAATTGTAAATGTTGTAGTGGGTTTAGTCTCCAACACACCAGTGTGCTGAACTAGTAACTAACTGGCACGTTCTGTTTACGTGACAAACCTTACCGACTGGCTGTGTCGGGTCGTGGGTGGGTTTAATGACACACATTAATATTTACGCGACAAAAGAAAACTTATTATGGATTAGTAATTTGCGAGTAATTTTCACGTTCGGGAGGTTTGTACGGCGACGCCGGCACGCGTGTCGCAGGACGGTCTGTAAGTGCGGGACGACGTGTGGCCCGAATATTCCGAGGGGGAGTTAGGGGGCAACGTTCGTGGCATCTGCAGCAAATGTTATCACGTGACCGTGTTATCCGCGAGCCTCGTGCCGCCACTCGCCATCTGTTCTATGTTTGCGACAGGTGCCGGCAAACTGGCACTGCGTCAAACCCCGCGGCCTACGGATGGTGGTGGTGGTGGTGGTGCTGGCGGTTGCGGTGGTGGTGGTGGCCGCTACGCTGCTGCACGTGTCCTGCCGTACTCCAGCGCTGTAGAGGCAGCAGCAGCGAGGGTTGGTGGGTCGTATCTACGTTGAACTTCTTTTGCACCATACATAGTCAAACGTGCTAATCGGAGGTGCTGGGGAAGGATAAAAAACTAAATGCAAAAGCCAGATCATTTCAAGGTGCATAGCTCAGCGGTTTCCTAATATTGGAAAAGCATTCCAGACGGCTGCCAAAACGCATCTGAAAGCGCCCGATGCAGTGACCGTCTTTGTTAGATTTCTAGCCAAAAGCCGATTCGAGGATGACCAGAGTTCGCGTGATGAAGGTTGATGTTCCTTGAAGAGATCAGCGAGGTTCATTTGTGGCAAGCACTTTGTGTGCAGTGAGCGCCACCTTACAATGTATTCATTCAGCAGCTAATGCAGCTCGGCGAGCACCGAACGGACACGGTCGGATCTTGCAGTACCCGTCACGACACGTGCCAGAGTTGTGTGCACACCGCAGCTTGCTAATGTTTTTGTTTCGAGACGTCCCGTAGGGTAGCGAGCTGCAATAATCGAGACTCGTCGCTGATACTATGCAACACGCCGCCGTGTTGGCGATCACACAAACATTGCGAAACTCCCTTCCCGTGGGCGTCGAGGTGCCACCATACCCTGGGTCACCAGGAGAAGTCTCAAGGCTCCGGTCTCTGGGGCCGCCTGGTACCGCCGTGACTGTTTGGGTAACTCCAGAGCTTAGCGAGGCACCTGGAGAAAACCCCATCGCAACCGAGGAAACAGTTCTACTGAGTCCACGGGGCCGTCCAGGATGGAGCATTCTAACATTTGACACCACGATTTGATGGTCGGTTTATGGGGCCTGTTAACTCGCTCAGGGAGTGGGTTGATGTTTTTTTGTTCGTATTAAGTTTAACTTGTGTGTATACCGATGTAACGTTACATACGTTTTAACGTGTCCATCTGTGAAGCGCTCTGTGACCACTTTATTGTGAAGGGCGCAACACTAGATAATGTTTGATTGATTGCCTTTTTCCATTGTGGGCCCGTGGTGGTCGGTTGAAATAGAAGAATGGATCGTCAATAACGTGCGTATCAAATCGCTTGCACGCGAGGACCTGGTAATTAATAACAGTGATTATGATGTCCATCGGTAAAGTTCTGCATTTCATCCGTAGATCCCACCAATGCGCCCACCACCGTATATGCAAAGCAGGAGACAAACAGAACATACAGGGTACACGGCCAGGACTGTGCAGGGGTGAAGGCCGGTCTACAGAGGTGTAGAGGTGTATTCTCAAGACAGACTCAACAAGCACGAACGACTCTGATTGTCTTGTGAGCAAAGGCAAAGCGATGTTCCAAAGCTTGGGATCTGTGCAGTGGCAAATTCCCGACCACCCCAGGAACAAAGCCTTGGTAGAAGGTGATCCGAAGATCTCAGGGACCTCGTTGGAGAGTCAAAAGCTATTGCAGAGCTTACCCACGGCGTATGTACGTCGCACTGTACTGTATATGTACACAGGGTGGAATGGTGGCGCAGCGGTTGCCGCACTGTACAGTGAACCCGGTGACCTGGGTTCGATTCCAGGCTACGGCTTCTGAAAACGGCCGCACGCTGGGACGCAGAATCTCCACAGGCCCGCGCCTGCACCGTGTGACTCTCAAATTGTTCGAGAGATAACGGGCGACGACCGGGGTGGCGCCAGTGTCTGTGTGGGGGGGCACCGCCGACAACGATCCCCGGCCAACATCAGTGGCGAGTGGCACCGATCGGCGTGGTGAAGTATGGTCAAACAGCCCGTGCCCATCACTCGCAGAGCCCTGGGATGCCGCACTCACCTGACGTGGTTATCGCGGAATTTTTCTGACTGAGTGGCGTTGATTGCGATCACCCGGAGATCCTTATTGACTTGGGAGGCCATTGCTGAACCTAGGCAGAACACACAAAGACAAAATGGTCCCTCTTAGCAGAGCATTGGGTAAGTGCTGTTAGTGAGCACCTACAAAGGTTGGCACAGCACACGACGACGGGGTAGTTGGCCAGCACCACACCCGGCTGCCTTTGTCTCTCCAGCACACAACAAAGCCAAAGTTCCCCCGTGTAGCCTTAACAGATTGTTAGGGAAAGTGCTGTTAGTGAGCACCTATGAAGGCCAGCACAGCATGCGAGGGGGTGGGTGGCCAGCACCACGCCGGGTCGCATTGGTCTCCCCAGTGGCGATGTTTACACACCACACCAGGTAGTCATTTGAGGCTGAGTCGAACTAGAGGAACTAAAGGAGGCCCATGACCGGTTCAGAAAATCGTCACTGGGTGGCGGTGAGCGGGAATCGAACTCGGGTCCTCAGCTTTGTAACGCAGTGTAATAACCACTGCGCCACCGCTCCCCAGCTCACACACAAGCGCACACACAACACGCTCACATACGACACGCACACACACGACACACATACGAGATGCTTACACACGACACGCGCTCAAGACGCGTGCGTTGCACTCGGACGGCACCGCTCTGCTTGACGGTGTCACCAGAGGTTCGCGGTTCGAGGCGAGTGGCCACCGCGGTTGACACTGCGGTGTGCGTGGTAACCGTAGCCGTGCGCCGGATCTCCGTAACGTCATTTGCAAAGACCGGGCCATTGTGCGCCGGGCGTCAGAGTCCCAATTTTGCCAATTTCGTAAATCACCCACATATGGCTCAAGTTGAACTACACACACCCACAGAGGCAATCATCGCCCCGTTCTGGCAGCAGGATAATGGCCCTCCGGCCACTCTCAGAGATTGCGACTTGTCCTGCTCTCTTGACTTCTCTCCCTGGGTAGGCAATACAGACTTTCATTTCAACGCTCATTTTCAGGGAAGCTAATTTCTGGTAACGTTGGTGCCAAGCAAATGTTTTTCCAGTCGTGTTCACACACAGCAGACAACAACAACAGCAACACGGTGCTGCGAGCCAGAAGATCCCCACCGAGTCTAAAGGTTCTCACCCAGGCGGGTCCTGCACTGGGTTGCCCGGCCCATTTAAACATGGAAATGTTTATTTTCCGTCACGGGAGAGGAGACCGGAGTAACGTGGAGACGATTCAGGGGGCACGTTTCCGTCCGGCACGGCGTCCCGTTCGCTGTGGAAGCCCCACCCCGGCCGTGCGAAGCGGAACGTCGGACATCACGCGGGACGGAACCGCGCCACTTGGGGGCAGCTCACGCGGTGTCCACCGATTGCATTCAATAACCCACTCCGCCGCACCGCCACCTGACGGCCATCTCGCTGTGCTTCGCCATGCCGACCGGAGTGGCTTTGTGGTGGCGGCGGGGAGCGGTGGAAGCGACGGGCACCCACCCGGCGCCGTCTCCGCGAGGCTGCCGCTGGTGCGGATCCAGGGGGCGGGCAGGGCGCCGCTCCGGAGCCGCGTGCGGCGGCTCTTTAAGCGACTGCTTTGTGACAATTATTTATTAAGGACAACCACCGCCGTCTCGTATTAGTTATTTGACCGAACAAAAAAAATGTGTCCCTTCTGGTTATTTTGGTTGCCGGCCCCTGGTGTAGAACGGCGGTAGTGACTTTAACACCGCGGTGGTTAACGAGCCGGGCGATCGCGAGTAGCGGAGTATCGCTGTGACGGGGCCATCTCCTCCTCCTCCTCCTACTTCGTCTTTGTGAGTCAGACAGCGAGACCGCTTTATCTGCTTCGCTGCTCTGTTCTGGGTGGTGACCACAGTCGCCGCATGCTGACCGTAAAGTTTTTAATTTCCCATTTTTCTGCATCGTCGACGTGGTCAAGTATTCGCTTCAGCTGCCATGGTGGGTGCGGATGTGCTTGAGGGTTGTGGCTCAAAAGATTAAAACCAGGATCTTCTGTGGCGGGTCGGTCACAAACTAGGCTCAGCCACGCTTAGCTTCTGAAATATGATGACAACGATGACGATGATAACAGTAACAACGATGATGATGACAAAATCAAAAATGATAACAATAACAATGATGATGATGATGACGATGACAACAGAAGATGACGATCGTGATGATAAAAGATTAAATCAATGGTGATAATGGAAAGTGACGCTGATGATGATGACAATGATAGAGGATCCTGAAAATGCTCATGGTTGATGGCGACAATGGAAGAATACGATGATGACGCCGATGACGATGCCGATGGTGATGCTGACGGTGATGCCGATGGTGATGACAACGCCGATAACGACGCAGATAACGACGCCGATGACGACGCCGATGACGACGCAGATGACGACGACGATGGTGATGCCGATGACGACGCCGATGACGATGGTGATGCCGATGACAACGCCGATGACGACGCTGATGACGACGACTAAGGTGATGCCGATGACGACGCCAATGACGACGCCGATGACACTGACGACGATGACACTGACGACGACGCCGATGACGACGCCGATGACGACGGTGATGACGCCAATGACGACGACGCCATTGACGACGTTGATGACGACGGTGATGATGACCAGTGGGTGGAATGTGCGCGAGGGCGGGCGGACACGGTCCACGGGCGGGTCTATACATTATTTAACAGCGGGGGAGGTTGCAGCTTAGGAGCGTGAAAGCGCGGAGTGGCGCCATGGGGAGTTGCCCCGGCAAACGCGACCCCCCGCCGCCGGTGTGTGATTAATGCATGAGCGCCGATTGTGAGCGAGCGGCGACACCAGCGCCGTCACGCCAGCTGCCAGGACGCTGCGCGCGGGGCGTACGGGCACGAGCACGTACGTGTCGCCGGTGGCTACTCCGCTGCTGCCGCTGCACGCGGCTGCCTGTAGCGATCCAGCGCTGTGGAGGAAGCAGCGAGGGTTGGTGGATTGCACGCGGACGTCGTCACGAAACTTCCTCCCGCGGGCGTCGAGGAGGAGCCGTACCCTGGCTCGCCAGGAGAAAGGCGGTACAGCAATAGTGTGTACGGGATCGAGCGTTGCCCCCTGGCACACGTGGGTTTTCTCCGGCAGCTCCATATCACTCCCACGTGTATAAGCGCTCAGTGATTGGCCGATAACGTCTTCACGTGTAGAGGGCCACAAGAGCTTTGGCAATAGTTGGCACCGGCTCACCACATCGCCGCCTTCCCGCTGCTCCTCTCCTCGTGCCCGAGTCGCCCGCTCTGTCTCTACGACAGCGCAGAGAGACTGCTCTGCGATGGCGCGTTACAAGTTATTGTTAGATTATACTAAGGACACAGTTTGGTTTCAAACATCTCGTATTTCTGGATATTCAAGGTACAATTTCGGATCTTTGTTTCGGAGTTTCAGATATTTTTTTGCATTCTTTAATGCGCTCTTTGCGCAAAAGGGAAGTGACGCCATCCGACGTCACGTGCCACCACAAACCGACGTCAAGCCCGGTGGATTTCGCACTCTTGGATCAACCCGAAACAACGTTAACGGCTGAGTCGACCTAGAGGAGGCTCAGAACAAGTTCAGATAATCGTGATGGGTATTAGCTGTGAGCAGGAATCTAACTTGGGTTTCTGGGCAGCATAGCGTGCTAAACACTGCACCACCGCTTCCGTCGCACGCACACGCACGCACCTGTGCACCCATACGGCCACAGACATATTTGTTCACCGCGTATTATTCACTCCGTGTAGAGTTTTATCAACAAACCTCTATTGTCACATTTCTCTTGGTTGCTTTCCTGCACTGAAGTGTCATTGTTCTCTCCATTGCAAACCTGCGTCCCGAGTCTGCCTGGCAGAGTGAACGTGCGTCACGAGGGCTTCGCAGCCACACCTGCTCGTAATCGTCTCGTTCATGCGCGCATCTCGTTCATGCGTGCATCACGTTCATGCGTGCATCACGTTCATGCGTGCGTCACGTTCATGCGTGCATCACGTTCATGCGTGCATCACGTTCATGCGTGCATCACGGCGCGCGTCTCGCTCGTTACGTCTCGCTCGTTACGTCTCGCTCGTTACGTCTCGCTCGTTACGTCTCCAACGTTACGTACGTCTCGCTCGTTACGTCTCGCTCGTTACGTCTCCAACGTTACGTCTCGCTCGTTACGTCTCGCTCGTTACGTCTCGCTCGTTACGTACGTCTCGCTCGTACGTGAGCTGCGGGCGTGTTGTGGGCGATGTGGATAGCGATAAATGGCACCTTTGTTTCTACTCGGCAAAGGAATTCAGAGCCGTCGTTTGAGAGGGACGTTGGCATAGGGCAGCAGTGGCGCAGCGCGCTACAAACCGCGGCCGGGGCACCGGGACACGGCGAACATCGGTGGCGAATATCTGAACCGGTTGTGTGCAACCCCTAGGTTGATTCAGCCTGAACCGTGGCAACTGGTTCAGTGCGTCAAACATCAGCAATGGGGAGATAAAAGTCGACCGGGTGCTCGCTAACGGCACTCGCACCAGCGACCGCAAGGCTACGTACAAGGAGCCTTTGTTATTGTGTGCGGGTGTGTGAGAGGTGTAAGGCACGGAACGTAACGATTGGGTCAGCGATGGAGATTGATGCTCATGCTCGCGATTCGTGCACCGAACCACACGGGAGAGAATAACATATTTTGGCTTCACGGAACTTTGCGTGCAAACTGCACGGCAACGTTTCTTCTTCGGGTAATGAGGCACATCAAATAGAACGAGCGAGACGGACGATAGCTGTGAGATAACAGCAAGGAGGTAGATACACGTGCGTGAGTGAGTGTGTGAGTGTGTGAGTAAGTGTGTGAGTGTGTGAGTGAGTGTGAGTCAGTGTGTGTGTGAGTGAGAGTGTGTGAGTGTGAGTCAGTGTGTGTGTAAGTGTGAGTGAGTGAGAGTGTGTGAGTGTGTGTGTGATTGAGTGTGTGAGTGAGTGTGTGAGTGAGTGAGTGTGTGTGTGAGGGAGTGAGTGTGTGAGTGTGTGAGTGAGTGAGTGTGTGAGTGAGTGTGAGTCAGTGTGTGTGTGAGTGAGTGAGTGTG